GGTCAGTACGCATATGTCTGCCCGGTTCGACAGACGGCCCATCTGGCCACAGCCAACAAGACAGATCCACCCGTCTTTCTATACCATTGGGCCGTGAACAAGACAGTCATGCTTGGCGCAAATCATGGAGACCAGCCGCCATACGAGACATATAATCCTGAAGTGCGCACTATCTCAGCCACACAAGAGTCCATCTCAGGGCATCTTCATGCCTACATGACTTCATTCATTGTCTCGGGCAACCCAAACAAGATCCAAGGCCAGCGTTTTGCTGATAGACCCGTGTGGGATTCTTTTGCAAAGGAGCAGAAAACCATGGTCTTCGGTATGGGAAACGATGAGAGAGCGGGAGGTACCTCGAAAGGTGTCGTGGCGCAGCTCGTGAAGGACACATGGGCGGAACGGGAATGCGAATTTTGGTGGAGACAGACAAGTAATTACGAAGACTGAGGCAAAATGGCGTCCGAGGTTACGGTTTGATAATCGGCCTGTGCGGTGTCGGGTGATTGCTGCTAAGGCGAAGTGATCACTATTTTAGACGAAGATATCTCCACGTTAACAGCTCTTCAATGGAACTTTTTGACGGACAGAAAACGCACGATCGCTTCTCCCTGTGCTCTCGCAGCGGCAGGAGAGAGATCTGCGGATATCCTGCTTCGTTCGGGCTGACCACAGCGAACTGAAGACAGAATGCCAGAAGACTTCCACCTTGGTCCTAAGTAGCGTTCACTCTCACCTTGCCTGAGTCGCGATGGTGTTGCTGAAGACTTGCTGCGCTTCGGAATTTCCGGTCACAGTGAAGGCAATGCTTCGTCATCTTGACCGACATTGGAGTATGCTGTAACGAAGCTAAGCCTGAGGTTTACACGCAGTTCCGTAGTCCTCCCACACGACTGATCTTGGGTATCTCGAATGAGTCATTGTGGTGGCCCACTCGTGAACGTTCCTTGCGCCAGCCTCCTACTGAATAATGATGGTTGGTCACACATCGCTCCTCGAGAGGGCAGAGAGCGAAGGAAGAAGAGAGTAACTCGACATGAAGGTGGCAATACGATTGGTCCCGAGAGCAGCCAACCATTTACCATGTGAGTGATTTCCATTAGCTAATTGCAACTAGGCTCGTTATCATAGTTAATGAAGGTTCATGACGGTCGCATATCCTGAAACAAAGTTTTCCATAGCCACGACAACGCTATGGTTGGTAGCGAATTTGAAATTCCGCAGTAAAGGTGTAAAAAGAGATTCCATAAGGGTCGCATACTCTACACACTAAATGACAAACACTTATCACGGTTGGTCAACGACCTCGACCACAGCAATACGTAGCGACGCGTTAGTAACTTTTAGGGTCAAACGCATGTTCACCCTCGAGGCACGGTTTTCTGCCTCGAAGAACCGCCCAGACATTCCAGAAAGAGTCCAAAATCACAACAAATAGTAGTTTCATCATTTGTCCAAGACAAATCTGAACTAACGTGATCCACCTACTTCGGCACAAATATGTGGTGTTGAAGAGGCGATCCCCGGTATCAGTTCCCTCCTCGACCGGTATACTTGTTCTCGGAACTCGTCTTGTACTGGCTGTGAGAGGTTCTGAAGATGCTCTTCTTGTAGGGTTAGGAATTGATTGTGTTGGTACCCTGATGTTAAGTTGGACTTGCGGCGCATCAAAACGTACGAGCCAAGCCTTCGGATAAGACGTGCATCGCCAAGCGCTTGTTGTTTGGTAAAGCAGATTTATAACCACGTATGCTATAGGTACATCTGCTTGCATCACGTCCAAGAAAGAGTTGGGCGCTTATTGTAACACTTATCGATTCTGGCGTTCTGGCGTTCTGGCTCTGCGCAGCGCTCAATGCACCTCCACTTATGGCTGTGGGCGCCCACGATAAGTTCGGAAGCTGACGGCCAATCACACGTCCCAATATCACGCCTATTCAGCTCTACTAAAGCTTGGCGACGCTCCTTGCGCGACCAAAAGTCCAGTTGCGCTCGTCCACTCTGAGGCAACTGGATCACCTACAGTAGGGGGTCATGGCCTAATTGGGAGTGTCACGTGCGTTGTTCGGGGACTCCCCGCACTCTTTAACAAGAAAGGAAGGTGAGCCGAGCCTTGGCGGGTCGTCTTCGGGTTCGTAACATTGAAAAGTAAAAGTAGTTCCGAGAGCCTTCAGGATTGTTGCGAGCCATGACTCCTCCCACACCCAGGCACGTAACGGCGGCACCACCCACTCTGATCTGGATAGTGGCTTGGGCGTAGGGTCTATGCTTTCATGATAGGCACCCACCGGATCTCCGACATAATATCGTGCGTGAGGGCTCAGGTAGGTTGGGAAAACTCGCCCACAGCCTGACCTGCGATGGCCATACCGATCGACGTGGCTAGAGAAACGATGATGCACACGGCAAAACACGGCGCGGTGCCCATGACGGTGAACCATTGCCGTCCCTAGAAGTCGACGGGCAACGCGACGGGCGGGCCGACCTTGATGGGATTGATAGCTGAGTAATTGCATGTCGAACAGAGACTATATCAGGTGACTATGACCCAACTATTGGCGTCTGGCCTAGCAACCACTGTAGATGAGTGTAGCTAGCTCGTGGTTGGAACTGTGGCTGCATGAGGTCCGACTGGTGCGTCTCAACGGACATCAGTCCTCGCTCTCAGTGTTGGATACCAACTGTTCCCTGTGATCCGTCTAAGCCACCGAATGGGGGGTTGTTGTCCGGGGCGTTGAACACTGAGGCGTATGCAAGGTCAGGTGTAGATATTATGATCGGGGTAGCGCCTGGCTCCTGCTCGAAACCGAGTTTGCCGTTCCATGCCATGTTCTGTCACACTTAGCTCAAGTCCGGTCAACTGCGGTCCAGAAAAACTTGCCTGTATAGAAAGCCGTATGCCGTTATTGACAATAACCATGTCCCAATCACGATCTGTATCAGGTCAGCTGGGAAGAGTACAAAGAAGCTGTTTTCATTTACTGCCGATCAGTACGCGCTTGGTTGCCTCAATGACCTTAGGTAGGGCACCCTGGATCGGATCAGGGGACAGATCACCTTCCCCCCGAGGGCCTCCATCACCAATGAAGGATAGCACATCCAGGGGGGCATGGATTGCCTGCTTGAAATCAGTGCTGTTGAAATAGGGAGTGTTTTACTGGTTGTAGGTAAGCTCCGTAGGGTAACCAATAACATTGCTGAGGATTGGACATGTGGCTGTGATCTCATAGATGTCAAAGCAAGGATTGACCTCGAAAAGTGCATAGTTGATCAAAGCAAAAACTTCGCAGTAGTCCCTGCAGTTGAGTAGTCAAAGTGAAGTGACGGCTGTGGTCCAGAGGTTGGATAGGCGTAGTATTGTTCGATGAAGGAAGATAGCTGCAGGGTTGGTGAAGACTCTCTGTATGTGCAATAAATGAGTCATTCAGACCCAAGATGTTGTTGTTCTTCGTCGCAAATGGAATTGCGACATATTCCTCCTGTACCGCGAGGAAATCGCCGATGCAGGCATTTACCCAACAAATTGATCAGTACACAAGTCCATGAAACTGGAGGACGGTCGACTTACCGTATGCCAAAGCACCTGAAAGGTTGAGATACGTTGTGTCATTCTGGTCCAGCATCGAAGCCGAGATGTATGGAACAAAGCAACCCGGCGTAACTCTTTCCACTGACGTAAATCTTGCTGATCCACCCAGAGCATATTCTCTGGACTAGGGCAACTGTCCGGGTTCTCACAGGACGGGGCCGTTCTCCAAGAAGAGTCCATCCGAGTGAACTGCAGCTAGGCCCCCCGTTACACCAGATGACGACATCGTCAGATGGCTCGCCATTTTTGGGGTAAAACACGAAAGAACAAATTCCGCGATGCATTGTTGGTATTTATTGGAATGTTTCCGGAATACATCTCTCCGAGTTCAAAAGGTACCTCCGGCAGCGAGTCGACAAGGTATGCTGATTCGCTTGTCAGTCAAAGTTCTGCAAGAAAAGTGACGTCTTACGCTTTGTCGCATTGGTAATGTACCGGTAGCTATCAGAACGCTCTTCCAGCGATCTGGGCTTTGGCTTCGTAACAGCATACTTTGCTGGTCGCGCATAACGTTCGTATACACGATCACTCAAACGCATACTTGCACTGACCACGGCTGCCGAGCTGCTGCCGAGCAGCACAAGAGAGGTAAAAAACGGCTCTCATTTTTCTGGGATTGAATGTAGGCTGTTACGGAGCATCGATCCTCTCCATGCTTGCCGTCTATCCGCCTCGAAGTTTGGTCGTTCCCCAGATCCGTCAAGCCATGCCCCGGCTACCGGTGGGTAGTATCGGGGTAGGTAGTAACAACTCATAAATAATTGGTATTTAGAGCGACTTAGTGGCTAAACTTCGTCATCTCGAATCGTCCCTCCTCCCAATGAGAAGTCAGCTACGCGGCAAAAGTTACATCGCTTCACACCAACTCTAAATAACGCCCTCCGCGAAGGTAGCATTAGAAATCTACAGAAAGGCAGATCAATAGTGTAACGGGCGATATAGGAATCGATCCGGCCAGGAACAGTCCTGCCAAGGATTCCCAGGAAGGGTGGTGAAGATGGCGCATAGCTTTAGGCAGAGAGATCGGCCAAGTAGGTACTCGCCTGGTCCACGACACAACCAACACCTCCCCCGCCCTACTCAGGTAGGCTTCTTGGGTAAACAGGGTAGATCTGAGTACAGCAATCTAGTATGGGTCGGAGAGGTATAGACTCTGGAGAACACGAATGCAGAGTGTGTCAGTGTAATCGAGCAATCCTATGCTCTCACGCGATGCAACGTCCTTGCGGCAATCTTCTCTACATGTGGTCAACCACCCAGTTCCGCGTCCACCCTGGCGGCCCAAAACAAGTGCACCAGCTACTCCGCACGCTCGTCGAGTCTAAACGGGGTCCGAAAATTATTATTTGGACCGCCCGTCTCGTCTCTCTCTTTCTTCGGTGTATCTCCTGGCTGGCGTAAAACCGCAACAATGAGCCATCAAAACGAACCGATCGAGCACGGCGACGATGGGGTGTCTAACGAGAAACGCGTCCAGACCACTGATGATGGGCCTGGCGCGTTTACGGACATCGTCATGGAAACCCGGCAGAAGAACAATCTCCATCGCAACCTCAAGGGTAGACACATGCAGATGATTGCCATGTCGGTATCCTGAGATTTTGATCTTTTGTACGCTGACAGAAGACAGTGGCGGTGCGATCGGTGCCGGTTTATTCATCGGCTCTTCGAGCTCTTTCACGCAGGGTGGTCCGGGATCCGTGCTTCTCGGATTCATGATTATCGGTATGTTGTTTCCATCTCGTCATTGCAAGCTAACAAGTTCAGGACTTCAGGTGTACACGATGATGCAAGCCCTCGCCGAGATGTCTGTTTTGTATCCGGTCAACGGCGCCTTCACGATGTACATTTGCCGATTCGTTGACCCCTCCTGGGGTTTCGCTTGCGCTTGGGAATATGCTATCTCCTGGTTGACCGTCCTGCCCTTTGAAATCTCCGCTGCCTGCAATATCATCCATTTCTGGACCGATGTTGAAAATGTCAACAATGCTGCTTGGATCGTACCACTTCTCACGGCACTCGTTGCAATTCAGTACTTTGGCGTTCGAGGCTACGGCGAAGTCGAGTTTGTCATCAGTATGATCAAAGTCACTGCTTGTGTGGGCTTCATGATTCTCGGTATCATCATTAACTGTGGAGGTGTTCCGACCGACAACCGAGGCTACATCGGTGCTAGATATTGGTAGGTCCAACCTGAGTTCATTAGCCAGGCTAACAGTACAGGCATTCACCCTACACGGCGTTTCTCAATGGCTTCCACGGATTCTGCAGCGTCTTCGTTAACGCAGCCTTTGCTTACACAGGTACCGAGCTGACCGGTCTTGCTGCCGCGGAGAGCGAAAGGCCCCGAAAGGAGATTCCAAAGGCCTCGAAGCAGGTCGTCTGGCGGATCCTGATCTTCTATATTATTAACTTGTTCTTAGTCGGTTTAATTGTGCCAGCGAACAGTGATCTTTACGGCAGCGCTGGTGCCGAATCCCGACATTCTCCTTTTGTCATTGCGATCCAACTCGCTAACATCAAGGCCCTCCCATCGATCTTCAATGCTGTGATCCTGATTGCGGTTATGAGCGTCGCAAACTCGTGCACTTTTGGCTCGACCAGGACAATCCAAGCTCTTGCGGCAAATGGTGAGTCTTCAGCCCTGAAATTGTGCCCTGCTAACATGAACAGGAATGGCGCCCAAGATTCTCGCGTACATCGATAGAAAAGGCCGGCCTCTGTCTGTGACCATTCTCCAGCTCTTGTTCGGATGTTTAGCTTTTATCAATCTTGCACCAAACGGCGGCACTATCTTCACCTGGCTTCTGTCTTTGTCGGGTCTGGCCATTATATTCATCTACGGCAGTATCGCCTTAGCTCACATTCGATTCCGCAATGCTTGGTAAGTTCTCGGATGTTGAAAGTCCTGTCGTTCTGATTGCCTGCAGGAAATACAACGGCCATTCCCTCGACGAACTTCCTTTCAGGGCCGCCTTTGGTGTATGGGGCTCGTATCTTTGCGTCTTGATCAGCGTCCTGGCCTTGATGGCCCAATTCTACGTGGCTCTCTATCCAATTGGTGGTCCGAATCTCGATGCCGGAACCTTCTTCCAGCTCTACCTCGCTGGGCCTCTCATTATATTCCTCTACTGTATTTGGAAGGTCTGGAGTTGGTTCAAGCGTCCCGCCGACCGTCCTTTCTTTATCGCTTTGAAAAATATCGATATCTACACCGGAATGAGGGAGGAGCAAGCTGTCATCAGTGGCTCGAATGTATCGTTGGAGGATCGACGTGCCAGCATCATGGAGATGCAGGGTGAGAAGACCAAGAAAACACCAATGTCTTACCTCAAGGCTGCTGTCGGGAACGTCATTTGATGCGGCATTGTGGCGATGCGATCGGGATAACGCTCTTAGCGCCGGGCCCGAAAAGCCAAGCGCAAATCGCTTCGGTTGCAAGATGCATGCCTTCAGATACCTTATTTCACACTGAACTTGTAGGTCACCCGAATGCTATGATCGGTCATCGCTTTACCAGCATGTGTTGGCGGATTTCGGATTTCTCATGCCATCGTCTCTCAGAGTATATAAATGTCAGACATTGAATGAAGCTGGATACGTTATGAACACCAAGTCACCTAAACAACATCTTGCTGCTTGAGCCTCGTGTTATCTTGCCTCAATAACTCCATCTGCTCGTCGAGTCTGGTATTTTCCTGTAAAACCTTCTGATAATGAAACGACACTGATTGAGAACCATGCTCAAGTCATTGCGCTTCAGCCTCTTTCCGTGCACGAAATGCTGCTTGCCTGATGTCTTGCTTTGATTAAAGCCTCTGATAGACCGGCGCGGCTCCTTACGCTCGCCGGTTTTGTTCTCTTCGTCGCTCTTTGGACTTTGGCTCGAATGTTACATCTGGTTCCAACAGCTGTCTTCTGCCATCGGCCGAGTCATCAATGACTGGGCAGACTTCCCGCTGCGACATAGCCCGCTGTCATAGCTTGCAAAACGTTTGTACTACATGAACCAGGGAAAGGGGCCCAATGACAGCCTGAGGCTGCACGTACAGTTGATAGTCTGCATTTTCTAGGCCCGCATCTCGAGGCAGTCATCAATGTCAAAAGGTGCTCTGCGAGTTGCCGAGTGCGTTTGTATCGCAGGAAAGAAATGTACGTGTTGCAAATGTTGGAAGTGCTACTGATAGTTGAGGTAGCATTGGGGACAACGCTGATATCGCTGCTAGTTCAACACCATCCATCACTGGGGCCGAATCATAAGCTGTGGTGGTGTGTATTAAGACATCCGAGCACATACGAGGCTCAGTGAATTATTGTATGCTCCATTGCGCAGTTGTTCTGGTGGCAGATACGCAGATGGCGTAGGGGATTATTCAGAGCGGCTAGCTGACTTGTCCCGCGGTGCGCCACGATCCAGCTTCCTGGTGAAGGCTGAACTCTGATCTAGTACAGGTAAGTTCATCCGGGGTGCGCTATCATATTCACCAGTGACAATTCTGCCTGCATGTTGGAATTCTGGTGGTCACTTGGAGTAGAAAGAGCGTCATCTAGGGCAGCTGCTTCAGAATACTGTTGTACAAGTTCTGTCACAATGAGGGACACATGCGTAGGTAGTATTTTGGGAGAAGGAAGTTAGCGAAATAACAGATATAGGCAGCATTCTTATTATCCTAGTCTTCGTCCGGCACCGGAAACGCTATGGGTTAGGGTTAGGCCTTCGCGTACATGCAAATCAGCCAATTGCTGTGGCGTCAACCAGCCTTCGATATCTTCCCACGTGGACCCTGTCACAAAGCTCAAGAGTGCAGCTCTTAGCATCTCCGTGTCCGGTTTCGACAAGGCAGACACAACTGTTAGCATGCGAGCAAGGAAGGCGATATCGTCGACATTGTCCCAACCCTTCAAGTCAGCATCCAAGCCCAGAGCCCACATCAAGTATACTAGACAACTGCTCAGATCGACGTCACAGCGTCGGAATTTCCTACGTAAAGCCCAATATTGCTAAATTCGTTCTGGGCATGACCAGATCTCGAGGCTCCACGAACTGTACAGAGCTTCCCGTTGTGTACATGATACATCGTCGAACTCGATCTAACGCCGCGCTATGTAAGTTTGTGTAGACGCCGAAAAATTCGCGACCAGCTTGCATGTCCCATAAAGCTGCCGCCCTGTACGGGAGAAATGGACCTGTCTCCAAGGTATGCATTGCTTGGGCGTGGATTGAGAACGATGTGAGCCCTCGTGAAAGCTCTCCATTTGTCATGATGTCTTACCTGTTAGAAAAGTTCAGGTGAATGCTATTAATTCAAAGCGCCCCAGTAGCGCGCATTCGGAGACGTGGAATTCAGTGCAGGCTGGACTCACCAGTCTAGCTCAAACTGAAGCTGTTTGTCGTAATGACCCAAGTGCCAACCGCCACGTGCGATGAGTGAAGCACGAAGACCCGCTATGTGCTTCCGCAGCTGACTCGGTGCGTGAAACGTGGAATTGTAGCGGCGGATGTGTGTAAATAAGGAAATGGGGCCACGCAGCGCATAGATACTGACATCGCTTGTAAGGTGCTTATTGTTGCTCAGCGGAAAGCGTGGTGAGTTGATTGCGTTGGTGTCAGACCAGGCTCTATCCGGGGCCGGAAAACGGCTTCCTCAAACCTCAAGACTTTATATTCGCTCGCTCGTCTCGGGTGACTTTGCAATACCAGATCGAAAAAATATCATTATCATGGCGTACTACGAGTTGAAGTTTCTTCGTGACTAAACTCAAGCTCTAAAGTCCAAGTGCTGTTAGGATCTTCAGTAAGAAATAGCCAGAGAGGTCACTCTGTTTATTCCACTGTTTGGATCGTTTCTCAATACTAGATTATCAGGTTATTGTTTAGTAGCCATTTAATATTCCTAGGGTCGGAAAATTGGTGTGTTACTCAAGGAGTGGATCCAAGCCTTACCGAGGCAATCCACCTATCTATTGACAACACCAAAGCGTTCAAGGCGTACCAGAGGGAGATCTTCGAGTTACCCATTGCATATTTTGCTACAATTATCGACTATTGCCATCAGTTAGACAAAGTTTCGCAGGTGTCGGTGGGATTATTTGCCTCACTCGTTGTTGTCTCGTTCTTGAGAATCTGCCAGGCTATTCTAGCATACTCGATCGACCTATCATTGCCCATAATGCCTGCGCCCGTCTTGTTCATAATATAAGTGAACGTTACACCACGATGGAGGTCATAGATAGCAAAGCTTCCACCCCATCCTCCCCAGAAACACATCTTTTCTTGTGGCAAGTAATCGAACGTCTGCGCCGATAATCCACCGCCAATCCCAAATCCGATACCAAACCGTAATAGCAGGTTCAATACCCGGTCCACTGACTCGGCTTGAGCCCGGAAGATCTGGTCAACGGTATTGCATATTAGGTCATGGCCACACCTACTCGAGATTTACAACAGGGAATTGATACGGAGAGAGTAGAAGCATATACTTCGTATAGTGTCCTTAAGTTCTCGGTGCCAGCCCCTTTGTCCCACCACCACTATACATACTGCATAGTCAGTGCGCGCATCCATCATATTATACATCTACAGGAGCTACAACTGGACTAGTCTCCATAGTATCTCGCGGATCCTGGCCTCCGGCGATTCCAACGCCACCCAGCACATCCTAGAAGTGACTGTCGCAATACTGTAGCAGCAAGACATACAGACGCCCGAGCCAGGAAGCCTGTACAGTATGGGTACAGTCTGACATTTTTGGCGCACAACTCTACTACAAAGTCATCGGTGTGGTAGCGCTGACCTTTCGTTATCTGGCGTGACCATTGGCGCTCTAATCATAACTATCTATGTACACTGCCTACTGTATTTACTTTCATAGACCTAGCCAGGAACCCTTTGGTTCCGGCTGACTCTAGAGTACACGTGGTGGGGCAGTGACTCCACATATTCTTGGCCTCCATTTGCCTGCGTCGTCTTGGCCGATTTGTGTGTAAGAGGCCTACGGAAATAGAATTCCACCTTTTTCCGACAACTAAGAAAAATGCTTTGCGCTCGCAAAGAGGGACAAGAAAGAAGGCCTTTGATGACACTGACTCGGCAGCGTATCTATCGAGACTGAGATGGCAGCGGTTCTAGATTTCAAATCCATCCCAGCTGTAGAAGGGCAGCCACGAGGGAATGCTTGGAAGCTATGGGGCTCCGACGATGGTGTGGGAAGTATGTACCCCTTCTGCGTTGTAGAGAAGTAAAACTTAGGTGCCGCAGCTTTGAATTACTTGACACCTAGCGTTGTACTTGAGGCTGCGAAAGAGATCAAGTTAGGGAAAAGCGTTCAACTTGATGCAAGGCTAGATCAGTTTGAACAGGCCTATGCTGGGAGAGAGGGGTTCCAACATACAATCATCGACTACAAAGGCGACAACCCAGGAGGGCTCAACTTCTATGGTCATGACGATGTGTTACGCTTTAATACCCAAGGAAGTTCTCAGTGGGACGGATTACGCCATGTTGGAATACAAGAGTCGGGCCTCTACTACAACGGCGTTCGACACGAAGATATGAAGAAGGGTGGAAAACTCGGGACACACAGTGAGTCTCTGTGGCCATAAGCTCTTGTCTCGTCTGCTGACATTGGACTCTAAGAAATTGTAGAACGTGGTGGTATTGTTGGGCGAGGAGTGTTATTAGATTACCACCGGTGGCGAGCGGAGAGTGGTAAGCCACCTGCACCAGTTACAGAGACATTCGCAATTACTGTGGAAGAGCTGGATCAAGTGGCACGCAGCCAGAACGTCAGCTTGCGGCTTGGCGATATTCTCATTATTCGAAGCGGATTCATGCACTGGTACAGGCGAGCTTCCTCAGAACAGAGAGCCAAGGCAATGGAAAGGAACAAGTTCATTGGCGTTGAGCCTAGTCAGCAGACAGTCGAATGGTTCTGGAACCATCATTTTGCTGCAGTGGCAGGGGACATGATGGGCTTTGAGACAGTGCCAACGAACATGGGGGAAAAAGACAAGGTATTTATGCATGAATGGTTTCTTAACCATTGGGGAACCCTGATTGGTGAGCTATGGGACCTAGAGACACTGTCTCGATCCTGCGCAGATGCTCAGAAATGGTCTTTCTTTCTTACAAGCGCACCGCTTCACGTTGTTGGTGGAGTAGCGAGTCCACCGAACGCAATAGCTATCTTATAGTCACAACGATCTACTCACTAAGGATTTAATCTGAAGGTAGCACCCAAAGTCAAATAGCGAAGGCGTACAATAGTATAGCCAGCAAGCCCTGGGGATTGATGTCAATAGCCGGGTGGAAGAACCGTCGCATTTCCACGGAGAACACATGCTAGAAGGGAGCTGGAGCTAGTCGGCTATTGACGTGCAACTTGATTAAAACATCTATGAGATCTTATTGCAAGAGCCTACCCAATTAGGATCCCTGAGATGTTCCGAATGTCAAGATCAAAGTGTCTGTAGTCCAATTGTTGAGCTTATTGCCTCCTTCGCCTCCTTGTCGACTGGTCCGTTTCGACCTCGTCGGACTATCGAGACTTATACCGAGGAGCCTTGCTGAGACCACAACCTTCTACCACGTCCTCCGTAACCCCCTCGAGCTAAGGCGAAATACTGCACCAGCTCCATCACCATGGATATAGGTTCGAAGATTTCAACATAGGGGATGAGCAAAGCTAAAAAAGATCAGGCACTACCGCCGCTACAGCTGCAGGTACTGCTCTCCTGGGAATGTACCTTGCGGCCAAGACCCAGATAATGGAGGACTTGCGGGTCGAGCGTGCAACACGCAGGTATGTACAGGAGATGGGCAAGTCGGGTAAGAACAAAACCTCAAAATTCTAAGGTCAAGGAGATATGTTGACTTTGTCACAGACAAACGAGGCAACTTATCTCTTTTCCTGGTTTTGGAGCACAATGCCCGGACAATGCCATCTGCATCCTCGATCTCTTACGCCCCGACTGGTTATGAGGAGACATGGTCGTCGACATACTCCTCGGTGCTTTGTTTTGCTGCTTTTTTTCGAAACCTGGGAGTGAAAGCAATGGAAGTAGTGGCAATCGACTGTACTAACAAACCAGTCTTCCTCCATATGTGGCTCGCGCTTGCATCTCTAGGGGCGATACCTGCATACATCAACTATAACCTCTCGGGCGAGCGTCTAGTCCATTGTGTCAGCGTGTCTCGGTCCAGGTTCCTAATAGTAGATGAAGAAGTTTCTGATAAGGTTGCGGCGTCCGCTCCGATCATCAAAGACATGGGTATCGAGATTGTCAACCTGGATCGCAGCATGAGAAATATGATAGAGGCGTTGCCACCCTTCCGGTCCGACTTCGATCCAGGCATGAATAAACAGACCTCCATCTCATGCATTTTCTACACGAGGTCAGTCAAAAACTCCACTGGTATCATCCTATACTGGTGACAGCTCTGTTTGTCAAGATATCCGCTAACGATCGTCGCCTACAGTGGAACTACGGGACTTCCCAAGCCTGCCGCTTTTCCATTATACAAATGGTATGCCTGTGGCCTGATGATGGCAGACTTCCTCAAATTTACTCCCAAGGATAGATTCTATACCTGCATGGTGAGTGTGAACAACTCAAGATCCCCTGGGTTGTCGTCTGACAAATGTCTTATTCAGCCGCTATACCACGGCTCTGCGAATGCATGCTTCATGATCTGTCTGTTCACTGGAGGTTGCTTCTGTATAGGGTAAGACTTGACTTGTGGGGTGCTGCCGGAATATCAGCTTACATTCTCAGGCATCGTTTCTCGGTTACTCGCTTCTGGGACGAGGTGCGCAACTCTAGAGCAACAGCAGTTAATTACGTCGGAGAGACCTGTCGTTATCTATTGGTAATTTGGGAGAAATCCAACGACTGCTAATATGATAATAACAAATTTTTCAGTCTTCTCAGCCTTCCCCTAGCGACCGCAACCATTCAGTACACTCCGCCTTTGGAAATGGCCTCAGGCCGGATATCTGGAAGGCGTTTCGTGATCGTTTTGGTATAACCAACATTGTCGAATTTTATGGAGCCTCGGAGAGTATTGGATCGACGTTGAACTATAACTCGGGTGGGTTAACATGAACCCAGTTTAGTTTGTTTCACCGTGCTTACCGAAGCTATAGGGCCATTTGGCGTAGGGGCTGTTGGGAGAGATGGTCTTCTGCAAAGGTATCTCAAGAGGAACGATGTGATCGTAATCCAGGTCGACACCGATACCCTGGAACCGAAGCGTGACTCGGCAGGTTTATGCGTGAGATCTGTGAAAGGAGAACCCGGAGAGTTCCTGTTACAAATACGGCAACGTGAAGCATTCTGTGGATACTACGGGAACGAGAAGGCCACAGAGGAGAAGATCTTGCGCAATGTGCTGAAGAAAGGGGACATGTTCTTCAGAAGTGGTGATCTCCTCAGTCAAAATAGCGACGGGTTCTGGTACTTCGTTGATCGTCTAGGGGAGACTTTCCGTTGGCGCTCTGAGAATGTTAGCACAATGGTATGCTGGTCTCGGAAAACATAGTTGCACGTTTTGCTAACTATCCATTCAGGAGGTCACCGCCGCCATGGCCAAATATCCAGAGATCGCCGACATCGTTGTTTACGGTGTCAATCTACCTAAGCATGAGGGAAAGGCGGGCTGCGCATGCATCGTGCCAAGAACAGGCGTCAGTATAAATCTACAGCAGTTATTCGAACATGCACTTCAGTCACTGCCAAAATATGCGGTTCCACTGTTCATCAGAATCACCAGTGAGATTCCTAAATTGGAGAACAACAAACATTTGAAGGCACCCCTGGCAAAGGAGGGTGTCGATCCTGAAATAGTGCCAGGACACGATCAGATGTACTGGCTCAAGGGCGGAGTGGCAGGGGCCAAGACGTATGTTGAGTTCACAGAGTTGGACTGGTCAAACATAAAATCAGGAAATGTATCACTATAGGGCTACAGTTAGGTGATAGAGCCATTGGCAGGGTAGTTTAAAATGGTTCAGAACAAGACTGGTGTTTGAGACGCAACCTGATGCTTTTGCTAGAGAATCACACGACTACCTTCCGTTGATTTCAGTCATGGTATGATTTCCGAATCACAATGAGTACTTGTTATCCAAGTCCAAGTCTTACGTATACAGGACGGGACGTATCTTTTCGGCCAGTAGAAGGGAGTGGAATCGGCGCCTCGATCCCTGGAACATAGAGGGCTACTGATGAAATCTGCCACATCACAGTTTGAAACAGCAGCATCTGACAGCAGCGATTAATCAGCTGATTCCAGGTTCTCTGCGCGACAGAATTCCTCGGACTCGGAGTTTGGTCGGAAATGTAGCGCGGATTTTGGATGTCGATACCCTTGGGTATTATTGATGGGGAAACCACAACTAGGTTGGCATAAGACTCCGCAGGCTTTCCACTTTCGGAAGCTTTTAGGTTAGTTGATATAAAGCGTGTCTCTACAACGAGCATCATTATTTGAGTTACGTTGTTGATGTACCGTCGTCCATTTGATCCTAAAGTACTATACCTTTGCAGACAATAAATATGGGAAGCATAGGCCCCCAGAACGGCATTGAGGGCGAAAACTTGGATGTGCTCATTATTGGAGCTGGTTTCACGGGTTGCTACTTACTTCCTAAATTGCGAAACTTGGGGTTCAAGACAAAGATTGTGGAAAGCGGTTCGTATTTTGGAGGAGTATGGTACTGGAGTAGGTATCCTGGAGCTCGAGTGGATAGTCCATATCCTTACTACAGCTTGTCATTGCCCGAGGTGTATAAGGATTGGGAGTACAAGGAGTTGTTTCCTCCATGGCACGAGCTACAACGCTACTTTGCCCATGTCGACAAGACGCTGGGCTTGAGTAAAGATGCAATCTTCAATTCCAGGGTTACTTCAGCAACCTTCAACGAGGACGAAAACACTTGGACTGTTGAATGTCACAACGGAAAGCTTTTTAAGACGAGAATTCTGGTCGCCGGTATCGGGTTTGCGGCCAAAGAGTACGTGCCTCAGTGGAAAGGCATGGACAAATGCAAGGCCCGAATTGTTCACTCATCTCACTGGCCAGCGGATCTGGATATCAAGGGAAAAAAGTTGGCTGTCATCGGAAATGGAGCAACTGGTGTTCAGTTGATTCAAGAATGTGCAGATCAAGCTTCAGAATTGACTGCTTTCATCAGAACCCCCAATATCTGCCTTCCAATGCAGCAGAAGCCCCTGATCAGCAGCGAACAGAAGGTTCAGAAACAGTCCTTCCCTGAGTTATATCAACGACGCCTGACGACGGTTGGCGGCTTGGAATTTACCGCTCAAACCAGAGCTCATGCGGATTTTACGCCCGAGGAGCGAGAAGAACTACTTGAAAGACTTTGGAAGAAGGTATATTATACTCCCAACTCTGTGGGTTAATGATTACTAATGTTATCTCCTCTCACCAAATCAGGGTGGATTTGCTCCCTTTGCAGCATCATTCAACGACACTTTGACTAGCCCTACGGCCAATGATACTGTTTACCAGTTCTGGCTGAAGAAAACCAGGGCCCGCGTGCCAGACAAAGCAAAAGCTGCGATCGTGGCTCCTTCAGTTGCTCCTCATCCGTTTGGGGCGAAGAGACCATCGCTCGAACAGGATTACTACGAGAAGATTAGTCGGCCTAATGTCAGCGTGGTATCAGTCAAGGAAACGCCTATCACAGAGTTCTCTCAGGATGGCATCGTCACCGCAGACGGCAAGGTCCACAAATTTGATATCATCGCGTTGGCCACCGGATATGACGCCATCACTGGGAGTTATAAGAATATTGACATCAGAGGGCTAGGCAGGCGTGAGCTGAACAGCAAGTGGAAGTCGGGTACTCGGACCTATCTAGGTATGGCCACGCAAGGATTTCCAAATTTGTTCTTCACGTACGGACCACAATCACCAGGACCCTATGTGAACGGTCCGTCTTGTACAGAACCACAGTGTGATTGGATTGCAGACGTCTTGTCCAAATTACGGGATCAATGCCTGTCGAGGATCGACCCAGACGAAAATGCAGAGCGACAGTGGAGCGAGACTGTCAATGCTATCTCTAAAGCAACTCTCATCCACGAAGTCAAAAGCTGGTGAGTGCACACTGGATCCCGACTCTAGTATTTATGCTAATCTATTTGTCCTAGGTGGACGGGAGCAAATATCCCCGGCAAGCCAATGGAGGCATTGGGGTACCTCGGAGGTCTTCCCAATTACTTGAAAGCACTCAAAGACTCTTTGGAAAACGACCTTCAAGGATTCAAAGTCTCTTGAGCCAGGATAGTGATTGATTGTACCTTGGTTTGTTTGAAGCAGCCTCTAGACAAGTTACATCTGCACAATCGTAAATGTCATAAGAAATCAGAAAAGTGGGTCTCTGGGAGACAAAAAGCCTTCTACGGCCGGGTGCTAACTATAGGGTTGCTCAATTCTCTCTCGGAGGCGCATCGAGCGTAGAGAACAACTTTTTCGCCTCTTCAAAATCCCTCAGAAGAATCTCTCTCTTCTTTTCAGAGCGAACTTTGATACAAGTTTGGAAATGATCAGGGTGCAGAATTGCGCCCCCCGAATATCCAGTAGCCCAATCAGTGTTAATCGGAACTGGCCTACCCTGGTCATCCTTAGCTGGTGCAATATCAAACCCCCAAATCAGCTTTGAAAAGGTAATAAACAGAGACCGTTCTGCAAAGTGAATTCCAGGACACAAACGTCGACCAAAACCGTAACCGTAGTGATCCCTGTCTTCGTAGTTCGCCGCGTTGGAGTATGCTGTAGCAAGGCCGTCTTTCCCTTCATAGTTCTTAGGATCAAATTCCAGCGCATTTGGAAACTTCTTTTCGTCGTGATGTAATCCTGATATATTGACGATGATAGAACTTCCTTTCGGCAAGGCGTAGTTGTCGACCACCAATTCTAAAGATGCACTCATTAGCTTATACTCCATCAAATAGGTAGTCATGTGTTGAGTTTGGAATTGCAGAGAGCTGAACCTTCTGATAAAGCATGAGGGAAAGCAATCGGCACAATTGGCCTAAAGCGTTGAACCTCTTTCATCAAATAATTGATCATACGGAGCTTTCCAAAGTCTTCCCAGCAGGGAGTGCGATTCTCACCCACGACCTGGTCCATCTCTTCCTGAGCATCTTTTAGAATATGCTGGTTTTGTGTGAGCATCTGCACAAGTGTATTGAAAGCGCCTGATGTGGTATCGGTGCCTGCATCAAGTACCGTCGAAAGGAGGTACATAACTTCGTGTCGTGTGAATGCATCATCACCTTTCTGCTCGAGGACCTTGTCGGCAAAAGTGTCCTTGGAGCCGAGTTTCTCCCTACGCTCAATGACATGGTCTAAAAACTCGGCATATAATTTGTCGCTCTTTTTAGCAACATTCCGGCATTTGGACCGCCAATTGTCAAAGAGCCGCTCGGGAAGGTAGTTCAGAAATGGGAATATATCCACCGGGGGTAGCTTGCCGGGCATTATAACGCGAGACAGATCGTGGGCGATATCGAGAACTCTATGTAAATGCACTGTGTCGGTGGAAGGAGTACGAAACCCATAGACTAAATGAAAGTCAATAAAATAGACTCCGACTTCAAACAATGATAGCACGTACTTGTACTCATGATGAGGCTATTGGTGTATCTTGTGGAATGATCGGACCACCTATCAGAGTCATTCAGAATATCGACCATTAGTTGAGCTGATTCTGCGATAATGTAGGGCAGGTGCCTTTTTTCGCATACTGAGTCCATGTAGAACTGATGAATGAGCTTCCGTTCTCGACGGAATTTGGCATCGTCCGGGTTCATAAGAAGGAGAAAGTCTCCTTTGTATATCAAGTTGTTCACAGCATACGCTGGGGGCCGGAACCCACTGATGGAGTTCTTCTTATCCATAATCTCTTTGACAAGACGTCGACTGGAGATCACGATCATGGTCCGGGAGGCAATCTTCAAAGAATAAATTTGCCCATATTCCTTAGCCCATTTCGCAAACTGGAGATACCCTTTATCTCTAGGAAGCTGGTGAAGATTTCCAATGATAGGGAGGGTAGGAGGCCCTATATTCTGGTCAATTGTTGGTCTTTGCCGGCTAGGGAGAGAATGATTCTGCCCACAATGACGCACCTGGAGGAAGCCTGGCATTTCGTCTGCCCTGAACCGTCACACCATATATCAAACTGATGATAATGAGCAGCACGACAACCCCAGTAGTGGGGGCATTCGCCAAGGGAATCATCGTCATTCCTGGCCGGTGAGAATTTCGCTTCTGAGATCAATATTTCTTGTTATAGTCTGATGCTTGATACTGTTCGAACGAGAGATGCACCAGAAGTTCGAGACTTTATGGAGAGGTATTGATCGTCCACGCACAAGCGAAGATATCTCGGCCTCCGTCTTCGGTTGATGCCTATGAACAATATCCGGCTGCCTGTATGGGAGAACAACGTTGATCCAAGAGACTAAAGACTACAACCACTCACAAAGACAACCCGTTCTTGCTTCTATTCGGGGCATTAGGTACAATGCTTTTATGCAGATTGCAAACCGAGACTATGTTCCGGGTGGACTCAAGATTCCCAAAGGCAGGCAATGCAGCTATGGCTTATCCTTTAGCCCAAAATTGCTCATCTCCTCCTAGCCTTTTCGTCAGCATGTATGCATAGACCAGTGATTGAGCGTTTTCCGAATGGCCAAGACATTTCCGGGCAACAGAGTCAAGATGCCTGTCGCGGAGTTAGTCACGGTCACTTTCGATTTCCGATGGCCAATAGCGGATCGCGCCCGTTGAACTTTATTCCCACACGAACCCGAATCCCTTGTCACGTTGGTTACGTTGTATATGATGTCGTTGAAGGTCGTCTTTACTAGCATCATACCACTGCCAATCATACCGCCACCATCTTGACTTTTGAACCGAGCCATGGTGAAGTCTTTTGTGCCAGGCCAAGAAGTTGGCAAGAGGCTGCTCCCTCAAGCAGTTGACTTCATAGCTCAAACCGACCCAAAGCGGGTCTTCCTCACGTTTCACACCGGGGGAGATGACTATCGCCAAGGATGGGAACATCTCAACTTCGAACAGTTGGCCAAAGCGGTCGATTGGACCGCTTGGTGGATTCAAAGAACAATAGGAACGAGTACTGAGGCTGAGGTACTGGCGTACATGGGTACCCAAGATGTACGATACAGCATTTTTACGATTGCTAGTCTGAAGACTGGACATGCTGTAAGTTCTGATTTACCCTTCTATGAGAATTTCTAACACCTGCAGACCCTGCTACCGTCGCCTAGGAACGCAATTGAGGGCCATTTGCATCTCATCAGGGAAACTAAGTGTCGGCATTTGGTCTATAGCAAAGGCCGTGATATCAATCTGAGTCAATTACAAGCGAACACCCAGAACTTGCAGTTCTGGGAGATTCCGAGCCTGTACCAGATGCTACATGATCCTGTGGAGCGGTTTTCCTTTACCAAGGAGTATGAGGATGCAGAGAATGAAGTCGCTGTTATTATTCACAGCTCTGGATCTACAGGTACGCTTAGAAACGTGAACTCTAGTATAAGCTTGCTGCTTACTGACCTTGAAAAGGGCTGCCGAAACTGATTCCCATGACGAACGGATATTTGAGTGTTCAGGACAACTTCTCTACGTTGCCCGAGCTTGATGGTGATCGAAGGGCAATTTGGTCTATCCCAAGATCCGATGAGCGGTCCTTGTGTGTCAACCCTCTATTCCACCTGATGGGCTTTTACATGTTTCAAGAATCCATTTTTCACGGTCTACCAACAGTCATGGGGCCCGATCGGCCAATGACCGCGGAGCTACTCATTGATATTATCCTTACCACTTCGCCTACCATAGCCGTTCTGCCTCCATCCCTCATCGAAGATATGAGTCGTCTGCTGGAAGGACGTAAGGCACTCAGTCTACTCAGAACCATTATTTCAGGCGGAGCACCACTCTCGCCTATTGTTGCCCATCGGGTGGCTAAATTGACTCGTCTTTGTACCGCATATGGGACGTCAGAAATCTGTCTTGCAGCCTGCATGATACCTGAAGATCCTCAAGACTATCAATACCTCGAGTTCCACCCTTCATACGGTCTAAGTATGGACCCAGTTGGAGAAGAAGACCTGTATGAAGCTGTCGTCTACCGCCGTGAAGACCGTAAGATCCACGCGGTATTCCACAGCTTTCCCGACTTAAAGGAGTACCGGACCAATGACTTATTCACTAAGCACCCCTCAAGAGAAGGGCTCTGGCTATATCATGGGCGGCGTGACGATGTCTTGGTACTGAGCAACGGAGAGAAATTCAACCCAATAAATCTGGAGAAGCACATTGAAGAGCACCCCTTGGTCAACAGAGCTCTCGTTGTTGGTCAAGCAAAATTTCAAGCAGCAGTTCTTGTCGAACCTGACTGGGACAAGTATGAGGAACTGCGATTATCAGAGACGGAATTAATTGACCAGATTTGGCCCGTCGTCGAAGAAGGGAACCAGCTGGTGCCCTCACACGGCCAGATTTGGAAAACATTCATCAAGGTTTCCGTGAAAGGAACTCCCTTCAAGACGACCCCAAAAGGATCGATCCGGCGACAGGCCGTGGTTTCAGACTATGCAGATGCCATTGAAAATCTATATGCCGGAGCTGAGCAAGTGGATGGTCTATCTTTGCCCGAAGGGTCCAGCCTCGAAGATATTCAGCAATTTCTCAAGGAAACAATCGCACCGTTACTGCCAGATCTGGATCTCTCGGCCACATCTGATTTTTTCTCTTCGGGTTTGGACTCTCTACGAACGCTCCAGTTGACGAGGCTGCTCCAAGGGGTGGTCGCAAAGCAATTTCCTTCCAGGAAGCCCTTGATTACAGTTCAAAAGCTGTATAAAACACCTACGCTGGAGAAACTGGCACAATTTCTGGCCAACCTACTTGATCCTCTTTCCCAAGTTGATGCAGAACTAAACGATGACGAGCAACAAGAGACAAACTGGGATGAAGCGGTTCAGACACTGGTGAAAAGCTACAGTGCAAATCTCCCCACCTATATCCGCAGCCTTCCTAAGTATCCCGAAAAGCACACCGTCTTTCTCACAGGAAGTACAGGCTACATTGGAAGTTTTATCCTCAACCAGCTGCTTCAAGACAGCAATCACGTGGAGCATGTCTTCTGTTTGAACAGATCCGCCAGTGCTTACGAAACAACCAAGCAAAGCTTTCAGCAACGCGGACTCGACTTCTCCTCAAAAGTTCAATCCAGGGTAACTTTCTTGCAAGCTCAATTTGGAGAAGACCGATTCGGCCTCGACACGTCTCAATACTCGAAATTACAGTCTTGCGTCAGTCTAGTGATCCACAACGCTTGGAAAGTCGATTTCAACCACCCTCTCGAATCTTTTGAAGATACACATATTCAAGGAACACGGAGGCTAATCGACTTCGTAGCCGAGACGGTTTTCAAGCCTCATATCATTTTTATATCGTCCTTATCAGCAGTAGGGCGCTGGGACGAGCAACATGGACCATCTTGTCCCGAAGTGCTGATGGACAACACAGACGTTGTACTCAAATCAGGCTATGGTCTTTCCAAGTACACCGCGGAGTGTATCCTTGCAAATGCTGCCGAAAAATCTGGCCTCCCAATCACCATTACACGTGTAGGTCAGATTGGTGGACCTTCTCGTGGACCTGGTTTCTGGAACAAGAAGGACTGGGTGCCAGCCATAGTCCTTACCTCCAAAGCTATGTCTAAGGTTCCAGACAGCCTTTCATATATGCCAATCGACTGGGTGCCGGTAGTAAGTGATCCTGTTCACTCTCGACTCAAAGCTTTGGTAATGCTAACGAGATCAGGACTTGGCAGCAAAGGTCATTTGGGAGTTTGCCGAAACTCGCATCAAGCGGCAACAGGATTTCAGATGTGAGGTCTTCCATCTCGTGAATCCACGAACAGTCACTTGGCGACCTCTTCTGCCAGCAATACATCGCCATTTCGCAGCCCAGGTAGTGACCTTCCCGGAATGGGTGGATTTCCTCAGTAAAGTTGAAACCTCAGACACGGAACTTGAGGAAAAGCCAGCACTAAAGCTGCTCGACTTCCTCAAGTCCCTTGCAGGTCTTCTGGAATGGAAGCAACCTCCATGGGAAACAAAACGTGCGGAAGGAGCTAGTGCGACATTGAGGGATCTGCCAGCCATTGACGAGAACATGATGGACCTATACTTGACCCAATGGGGGATTTGAGCCACCTTCAAGCTATCGAGTCGTAAGACTCATTGTGTATAGCCATAGTAGGACGATCTTACTCGCAACTTATTGTGGCTGCTTATAGAATAAGTTACTGGCAGCCCTCAGGTTTAACACGTAATCAAAACAAGCTAGTACCAGCTACATCTATCTGCAAATACTGTAACTCAACGAAGAAACACGATGAAATGCGATAGAAATCATATCTTTAGCTATGGTCCTTGCCTAGTATCTTCTAAGTGAGTAGATTCTACGAGGAAGTTTGTAATAACTAAACTAAGGTATGATTCATTGTCCAGCAGCATTGAGCAGGGGGATAAGAAGCCTCTACTATTTCTGGTAAGGCGGGCCTAGAGTGGCGTTTCAGATTCCGACACGACAGCAGTCACGGTACTGTCAGACAAAATGATGCTACACAATGTGAGAACTGTAGATGTGATGCATTTTCCTGACTATAGGTTGTATACATCCACATGCCATCTTGCCTCGAGACTTAATGACTCGCATTCTACTTCTAATTCGGCCATGACCACTTATCGGGACGCCTATAAGGTTGAGTAACTGCCTGTCTGCCAGAGAAGAAAATATCACGAGAGTGAATAGGTGCTCCAGACCATTTTTGCTGGGTGATTTGTCTACGGAAAATGCAAGATTTCCGGTTCGCCGCAGAATTTCCGCCCCCTTTTGCAGCCTTGTAAATAGTGAACAGAGCAAATTTAGGCCAAGGTAAATAGATGACAAAAGATCGTCGAAATCTATTCCATCACAAATTGAAAATTGCCAGCAGGTTAGACCAAAGATAGTTTTCAGATGCCATGACTTCTCTCCCTACTATCACCAACGGTCCTGCCGTGAGCCACGATGCTACTTCCATGTACCAATACGGACAGGGTTTATTGTTCCAGCCGCGGCCTATTGAGGTCATCGTCATTGGCGCGGGCCTTAGTGGTATAGCAGGGGTCAAATTATTCAAGGAGAAGTTTGGAGACTCTCCTATCAAATTTCGAATATACGAAAAGAACCATGACGTTTGTGGTACTTGGCTGGAAAACAGGTATCCTGGGTAAGTTGTCATCCATCAAGATGCAAGGGATACTGTTGATTAACGAAGGACATCTAGTTGTGCTTGTGATGTTCCGGCTCACGGATATACCTATCCCTGGGAAGGCAATCCTTACTGGTCGCGAGGCTACGTTGGATCAGAAGAAATCTTTGACTACTTCAAAGGTCGCGCAGAGACTTACGGAGTCTTCGATTACGTTAAACTCAGCCATAAGGTCATCGGTGCTGTCTGGAATCAGCAGATGGGTAAATGGAAGGTAGAAATCGAAGACCTCCAAACCAGACAAACTTTTTTCGATGAGGCTGAATTCTTCATCAATGCTGGTGGTTTTTTGAAGTGAGCCCATTCAAATTTCTCGCGGCAGTTATGGAGGGAAATTAATGGTTATGCAGCAAATGGCGATATCCTGACATAGCCGGCATCGGCCAATTCAAAGGTCACTTGGCTCATTCTGCCTCCTGGGATCAGACCTATGATTATAATGGAAAAACAGTCGCGGTTATTGGCTCAGGATCCTCTGCTATCCAGATTGTGCCGAGCCTTCAGCCAAGTAAGTGCTCATGATCCCCGAGTTAAGTAATGCAGTACGAGAATTGACAAAGTTATAGTTGTCAAAAAGCTGATCTCTATCAATCGATCAGCTACCTGGATCACACCTGAAATGGGCGCCGGTGGAGGCCCAGAAGGTAGAGAAACGACATATACTAAAGAACAGCAGAAATACTGGGCCGAAAATCCAGAAGAATTTCTTCGAATGAGGAAGGGTATAGAGAACTCAATGAATCACCTTTTCGAAATCCATTATGTCGACTCGGACGCGCAGAAGAACATGGCAGGGATCTTTGGTCAGCAGATGAGAGAGCGGCTATCCGCAAAGCCTGAGGTCGCAGATCAGCTGATACCAAAGTTCAATGTCGGGTGTAGGAGGTTCGCAGGCTCTTCGAGAACAACGAGGGAGTCATGGCACTGACGTTATGTTGCAGAATCACTCCAGGCACCGGCTATCTCGAGGCTCTCGCTTCCAAGAATGTGGATGTCCATTTTGGGGGAGTATCAAGAATCACCCAAAGTGGTCTCGAGATGGAGGATGGCACGATGCTTGAAGTTGATGCAATTGTCTGCGCTACAGGATTTGTACGTCCCATCTTCTGTTCTCAATATGCTCTGGGCACCTAATACAACACAGGACACATCTTTCAAGCCAGCGTTCCCTCTTATTGGGCCGAATGGCCATGACCTTCGTGACGTCTGGAAAGACGAGCCTCCTTCTTATCTGTCTGTGGGAGCCGCTGGCTTCCCGAATTATTTCAGTTCGTCTACACTTTCTGAAGCTTTCTATGGTAACTACTCTGACCTTGTCACAGTGATTGGAGGCCCAAACTTCACATTTGCCAACGGAGTTTTTCTCATCAGCGTAGAAACTGCTTGGAACTACATCTTTCAAGTTATTGAGAAAGTGCAAACCGAAGGCATAATATCCCTTAGTCCTAAGCAGAGGGCTGTGGATGACTTCCAGGCTCATAAAGATAGCTTGATGAATGACATGGTTTGGACTGGCCCTTGTGCATCTTGGTGAGTCGATCTTTGGTGAAGACTGTTTCCACAAACTTACCACTCACAATTTTACAATAGGTATAAACTTGGCAAACGAGATGGCAAAGTGTTTGGTCCCTGGCCTGGCTCCTCAATTCACTTTATTGAAGCTATGAGCCGTCCCCGCTGGGAAGACTACGATTATGAATATATAAAGGACAACAGATTCAACTATTTTGGAAGGGGAATGACTATTCGCGAGTCCAAGCATGGAGATTTGGCATACTACTTGAGAGAACGGGGCCTTTGCTATGATGAGGCGCCCAAGCAAGAGAGCGGGCTTTTCTGAGCACTGCTTGGGAGTTTATATATATCTTGCGTAATATTTCCTTATGCCTTATGCCAAAAATGAAATCATGATCCATCAGTGCACCGCCTCCTAGTAACGAGCATAATACTCCCTGTCTCTCCTTCTCCTATTGTTTACTGATCACATCATATGGGAAAAACTGTCTTCCAATGCCCAGGGCACCAAGTAGATACGTTGGTTTATTGTTCCTTGGCGCAATATGCTGGCACCTGTAAATATGATTAATCTGTAGCTTGTCGCACATCATGAGCTCTGCACCTTGTCACAATGCGCAAATAGCCAAAATACTACACGCGTTAGAAGCCGGAAATTGTATTGAGAACTCTCCATTTTACGTTTGGAATGAAGGTACAGATGAACTTCGAACGGATTCCACGTTGGCTTTCTGTACGTAGCGATGTAACATGTTCATTGACAAAATAATGTTAGTAACTGAATCCGCCATCGATATTAATGACCTATTGCAACGCATCAGATTCACTCATAGTTTTTACACCCCAGTGAAGGAGGAAATAAAGGCATGCGACGACTTACCGAACCACTGATATATCCTGATTCATTGCTCATGAGAAAAACAATCACTTTTGCGATGTCCTCGGGCTGGGCAACTCGGCCCAGTGCCACCTTGGAAATAAGCGTACGCTTCATCTCCTCTTCGCCCAGGGATTTAATGAGAGGTGTGATAACGATTCCACTAAAGAGAACATGGCGGTTAACACACGAGAGGCTTGCTTGAATCAACCATATAAGGAGTCAACTCACGGGGCTATGGCATTCACACGAATGCCCTTAGAGCCTGCTTCGCCAGCAGCACCCTTGGAAAGGCCAATCACAGCCCATTTGCTCGAGGAATATGCGGTGGAGTAAGGGTTTCCTGCCAAGCCAGAGATCGAAGATGCATTGACAATGGAACCTGGGCCTTTCATAAGACGTAACTCGGACCTAAGGCAATTTTTGACACCGTCGAGATTGACTTTCAGGATAAAGTCCCAATCTTCATCTGTAACGTTCTCCAGGCCATGGTGTGTTTGACCATACTTCATGGTTCCAACGGTCCCAGCGAGATTGGCAGCACCGTCCAAACGACCGAAAGTTTCAAATATGCTCTTGAAAGCCTGATCGACTGCTTTGGCATCGGTAACGTCGACGGAAAGGGCATGAGTATGGCCTCCGCCCACCAATTTGGTGATTTCTGCTGCGACGGCATTGGGAGAAGTTATATCCAGCAAACCAACATTCGCCCCTTGCTTGGCTAACAACAGCGCAGTTTCCCTGCCCATACCAGATGCTGCTCCTGTTATGGCATACGCCCTGCCCTTGAGGTCGGGATAGCTGACAGACATTGTAAGGGTGAGTTTCGTGAGGATCAGCTTTGTGAGTATAGGAATAGAGTATTGAGTAGTTATCAGGATGGCAAATTAATATTCTTGTTGCGTGATATCCAGATACTGAGCCATTTTGTGGGGATTCATTATATGACCTATGTTTGCTTGGAGTGACTCTACTTTGGAGTTCAGGTCAACTTCCCCTTCCCCCCTTTTCCGTGCAAAAGGCTAGGAAGGCTTTAATAATTCGGAAACAACACCGAGCTAAGACTTTTGGATAAAGACAATGTTTTACGGGGGAGAGGAGGGATGGGGAGGGAGTATACAGTGGGTGATATCTTCTCCGATTTTAGTGGGTCATCACCCGGTTATGAACATTTCCTTATTTCATGTTTTGATGCCCACCAGCATATAGTAGTGAAAACCCTTTGCTTGCTTCTGAAAGTTAAGCCATTCATCGATAATCGAAATACTTCTAACACAATGCCGCATTTGGATGGAAAAGTACTCGCCGTGACTGGTGCAGCCTCTGGAATAGGGAGAGCAACGGCGCAGATACTTATCTCTGCTGGTGCTTCTGTCAGTCTGGGGGATGTGAATACGGAAGGCATTCGAGAACTAAAGGACTCATATCCCCAGGAAGTGCAAGACAGAATCATCACATTTGAAGTGGATGTTTCAGATCGAAAAAGCGTCTCTGCATTCGTGGCCCACACGATACGAACCTTCAGCCATATTGATGGCCTCGCACACATTGCAGCAATTGCAGGGCCGAGTTTGAGTAGGAAAAAGATATGGGAGGTAGAGAATTCTGAGTTTCAGAGAATCTATCGAGTGAACGCCGAAGGTACTTTCAATGTTCTCTCGGAATTCCTAAAGCCTGGGATAATGGCAGAGGGAGGAAGTATCGTTGTTATTGGAAGCTACTCTGGGCTCCGGGGAATGATCAACACAGCGACTTACGGCTCGAGTAAAGCTGCTGTGATGCATCTGGCTAAAGTCGCTGCGATTGAAGCCGCACCACGCAAAATCCGCGTTAATGTGGTGGCTCCGTAAGTCAATCTACCCTGTCTTCTATACTGAGAGCGCTGGCTGCTGCCGCTGGAAAATCGATTTCCTCTCAGACTGACTCGAACCCACTAACAAGCCTACAGTGGCGTCATTGATACCCCCATGTTGGCAGGAGTTCGGAATGGTAACACGTCCACATCGGCCACAAGCCTGCCCTTTCCTCTTTGTCGTTGGGGAGAACCTGCTGAGATTGGAAATGTGATCGTGTTCTTATTAGGAGGGAAAGCTTCATATATCACAGGCTCGGTCTATTCAGTAGATGGGGGATGGTGTGTATGATTCAAATTAGCATCGTGGGTCGTCCATCAGTCTCTAATACAGACATTTCACTGAACCACGGCGAATAAGATAGGACGGGAACTACATCGTCTCCATATTTCATCAGTGTTTTCCATTTTGGAGTCTCTCTTACATGAATAATCTAAGCTTTGAGATGCAAATACGCTCTATCGTGTGATGGGCTCTAAACTAATCTCTTGTAGTTCTATCATGTGGTTGGCAGACCTTATTAGGCTCTCTGCGCTCGAACTCGGTTCCGGGGGGCTGGACCCACATCTTTAGCTTCACGCGTCTCCGTGTGAGCAACGGAAATAGGATTATCCGTATTCAGTACCAATGGATAATAGCGGAAATAGCATCACCCCCATGGAGTACTATGGATGATGACGGAAATCGTCTCGTATCCAGGAAATCATTGTCCCGCATTTCCGGTAAGAATGTGTATGCTTGGGGGTTGTGATGCTTCATTGTATGCCAGGAGAACACCACAAGCAAGTGATGAGTTTTGCGTCGTGAACCTCGCATGTTCCAATGATCACTGCTAAAATCCTAAACCTGGCATCGTAAATTAATGGTCAGTAGGCCTTAAACATTATAGTCATAGGACTCCAGACGCCGCGGCTCCCTCTCTGCGCATTGGTTTACTCTCGATGGCGTAGACCTTCGAGAAGGAGATGCTTTGAATCAGTCTTAAGGTGACTTCTATTCCGCTGGGCTTAGAAACCTGGGGAGGTGGGGGTGAAGAGGCAGGGGCTCGAGGAGGGGCCCCGCATCTGATGAGCACCTAGGCTCCTGGCTAGCCTTCAACATCATTTGCTTTCCTAGCACTTGTATGCTCAAGTGACTATCTTAGCACTATTAGTCTACGTCGATGAGCACTGGCAATATATATACCATGGAACCTGCTGCGAAACGGCGACGGGCAAATAAGGCTTGTCAAGCATGCCACGACCGTCGAGTCAAATGCACCTTTGACCAGCCCGGGGCCGCCTGCCTCCATTGTAGGATAAGCGGTCTGGAGTGCATGAGGTGCGACAGACCGATGAACCTGGAAAGCAACATTAAACCGAGTCAGAACAGCAAAGGGATGGTAGCCGATTTCTCGAATTCAGCTAGTGTGTCGCGATACAGGCATCTTGACACATTCCCGCAAGGGCTGCGAGCTTCTTTACCTGCTTTTCTGCGCCCTTTCAGTAGGAATCCTCATCATAATGAGGTACAGTTTCTTGAACAGAGAGGGGCGTTCTCAATCCCCGAGCCAAAAATACTATCAGAGTTGATCGATGTATACTTCGATCTTGTCAATCCATTTCTACCACTCTTCGACTATAGCGAGATATTAGCTCTGGTACGTCAGCCAGGTGAAGACGACCCGACGTTCAACGCCACTCGAAACATCAGTCTCTTGGTGCTCCAAGCCATTATCTTTGGTGCTAGCGCTGTAAGTTTCTCTTTCACCGCGACTGCTAGTCGTTTATCTGACATGTTATCAGTTTGTGCCATTGGCCACACTAAAGCCCATGGGCTTTAGCAGTCGTGAAGAGGCCCGGATAAACCTGTATCGTAGGGCAATTGCTCTTCATGACCTGGAGCTGGAAGCAGACGATGTATCGGTCGCCCAAGCACGGCTTATTTTTACCCATTGGGTAGAAATTGAGGATCAGCGCAACCCGTGGTATTGGATGGGATCAGCCGTCTCCAAGATACAGTCAATGGACCTTCGTGAGATCCTCGGAGATACAACAATCTGCAGAAGCCGCCTGGGGACCTTGAAGAGGCTCTGGTGGAGCTGCGTGATTCGAGATACGATACTGGCACTTGGGGGCAGATTTCTCCCAAGATTCAGGCCTGAGGAATGCGAGATTTGCATGCTCTCGTTTGGCGATTTCCCTTCAACATGTCAACCTAGCCACATCACTGCTTCCTCGACCACTCCTTACGCAATCGACAAGGGTACCATCAGGGGTAGGTCCGTCGCGATCTCAGTCGAGATGGCCAAAATGAGTCTCTGCTTGAACAGGGTACTCTGGGTACAGTCGTCAGTATCCTCTATCCTTCGATCGCCTATGCTCGTGAAGTTGGGGCAGGACCAGAGGATATACCGAAAATTGATGGCAGCAGAAATCGACGCTTGTTTTCGAAAGGTCAAAGCTTGGTTCGTGGGACTACACGAAGATGCTCGATGGCAAGCAGATCAACCGAACCAGGATCAGTCTCATAAAGGTTCAAATCTTGGACGTGTCCTGCTAAGGATGGCATACTACACGGCAATAAATTGTCTCTATCGGCCTCAAGTGCTTCCGTCTGACTCCGAAACGGCATTTGCTGTTCACACAGAGGAAAGGGAGTATTCAACATACTGTCGGAAACTGCTGTGGGCAGCTCAGGGTGTGGCACGCTGCTCAGAAGATCTTGTGAGAAACCATCTCGGGGAACATCTACCCTCGTTCAGGTGAGCCCCTATGTGCTTGATAATCATCAAAGCTGACGAAAAAATGCTAATTTGTACTGACTGTAGTACTTCGTTCGTCATCCCAGCGCTAGTGGTTCTGCATGCGAGGTTCAGGCACAGCCAGAATAGCTCCTCACAACACAAAGCCATGCCAGGTTATGCAAGCTGCATGCTCCTCCTGAGGACTTTGAGAGCTCGATACACATGTGCAGAACGAGCGAACACTTACTTAGATCGTCTAATGCCTGGACATGGCGAGAATGACGAGTCCGATCAATCACCAGCTCAGACCCTTACTGAAACAACCACCCAGCCGTCATCCACGGGTTTAACACAGGCCTCGCCCCAGATGCCGCCAAGGACTTCGGTCAACCTTGATGGGCGGCTTGAAGATAATAGACAAGCATCTTCGAGTGGCTCCGACCTTATAGCCTTACAAGAACATTATGGTACTAATGACACTCCATCTGCCGCGTCATCCGATTACGAACACCTTGCCCTCCTCAACCAGGAGTTTCTAAGTTTCGCTGAGCATCAGCGAGATGCATTTACAGGAACGACTCCTCTGGACCTCTCTTGGATAGAGACAGATGACTTCGAGGACTCCTTATTTGATATGAGCATTCTTCCCACTCTTCCACCCAACGATTTCGACGTAGAAGAGGAGAATTTAGTTAACACATTCGGACTGAATAATAATCAGGAAGAGGTCTTGACAGGTTAGCAGGAAACTAGTCATTTAGAGAAGGAGATGAGCATCTAGTTCTAGTAGGCTCTGAGCCGCCGGTATATGGTATCATATTGGAGGTCACAAACATCCCCAAAACTATTTATCCGCTGCGTTGATTCTCTTCCAGCTCTCATGCTATAGCTGCCCGCGAAAGGCCGCTTCTGATATTGTCCATGCTAGCTTTTCGGAAACTGATGGCTATGACTAGTAGCTTTGGTCATCTACCATTCACATCTTCGAGGGCAATGTCAAATAGTGGGATGCTGACCCAAGCAGCTGGGTGGCGTCCTCCACGATCTCAGCTACAATCTCCGCCGCTGGCTGATCCGGCTTGTTGACTAGGCCGGATACCATTCCCATGGGTCTGATTTTAGTAAGGATTAAGTCGCTACAAGAAAAATGGCTGGGATTTGAGGTGGCTCTTACCTTTTGACTGATTGGTCTTCGATCTCCTCGGTCAGCTCACCAGAGGTGTGTAGGCGGTCAATTTCGATGTCAAGTGGTATCTTCCCCTTGCTTGTAAGTTGTCTGATCTCATCCTGCCGGTGGCTTTCCCAGTGTGCAATATAGGGAGTACGTTGAATCCGTAGAGGCCGACCAGTAAAAATCAAAGTTCTCATCGTGGAATCAAAATCCCCATTGATAATCCTGGGAAAAGGTCAGTTTCAAGTGGCATCCTGGAGACAAATTACTTGCGCTTCTTTTGCACTTTGCGGTGCCTCCGATTCTTTCGCTGTCACGAATCGAGTGCCAATCCATACAGAACTAGCTCCCAGCATGATAGCAGCAGCAAGGCTTCTTCCGTCGAACATACCCCCGCCGGCCACCAAGAGAACAGGCTTTCCTGTCATTGGAGACCGATATTGCCTGCAAATATCGGCACATGCGGGCAGCAATATGCTAATGAAATTAGCCCACCTTCAAGCGTTCACTTTGACACATCCGTCTCACCTAGATGGTATGTCACCAGTATGGCCGCCAGCCTCGTAGCCCTGTGCAATTATACCATCGGCACCTGCATTGCATGCCTTGCGGACATGCTGTATCCTCTGTGATCAGACATCCACACTGTATGGACAAAGGTCACGTATAATTTACCTTGGGATGTCCGACAAGATTCTGTATCATGGTTAGCATGCCGACTCTCTATACACCATTGATAACACACCATGTACAACACTCCACCTCTGTGAAGCTTTTCTACCACCCATGTTGGCGGTACACCAACGGCTGACACAAAAAGCTTGGCGCCCATTTCTACCACGACATCAATAAGTTCGCTCAGCTTGCCATTTGTATAGTCGAACTATTTTTTCCTTGTTAGAGCGTAGTATGGGAAGATTGGATATTCGTTTTCTCTGCTTACATTTGTTCTGCGTGCATTTCCACCAACTTGAGGGATCAACAGGTCAACGCCGAAGGGGGTATCCGGTGATTTGAGACGACTCTGTTACTAGGTTAGCTCTCATTCAAGGACGACATTTCTCTCGCTCCCCAGACCTTTACATCTTGTAAGATATCCTTCAGCTGCTGGGGTGAATACAGAGCACCCCCCACAACACCCAGACCACCGGCATTGCTCACTGCGGCAACGAGAGAGGCTCCCGATACCTGGCCCATGCCAGCCAGCATAACGGGGTGCTTGATGCCCAGCTGCTGTGTCAATTCGGTGGTCAGCATTTTGACTGAGCTCGAAAATCAAGTGATGACACAGGGGGAAGTGTGGTCTCAGGATGTGCTCAGGATGATTATAAATGTGGATAGGGTCAGTAATTCAACATTTGTTTGATTGTATGTGTGGGCCGACAGAAGCATTGGAGTAGGCTGGGCGAATCAATGCCTATTAGGTTGAGCATTGATAGTGGAATATCCATTCAGTAGGCCACACGGAATTATGAAAATAGTTTCGGACCTCAAAGATCTCCTATCCCGAGAAAGTGTCGGTCGAAGTAGTCGGTTCAGCATAAGAACCACGGGATATCTTACCGAGGCTACTATTTTCATCTACCGAGCTCCTGAGGTTATCTAACATACATTGCTACAGAAATGTCAAAAGGTATTTTCAGTCAATGACTGTAAATAATATTCCAAGACCCTATTGGCAAGTGGTAGGCTCACGAAAGCGGTCTCATTAGTCATATTCAAGTTTTCCTGCCTTAGGTCCCATATGTAAGCCCCATATCTAGCCATTCACGTCGGACAATCGTAAGGAGATCAAGGCCCCGAATGCTGCTGCGAATTGTCTTTCCCAGCTCACCAAGAGCCTGGATACATGATATGTGGAGCTCTTGGAATCTACCAGCATCTTCAGCGGGTAAATAGCACCAGTTATCTGCATGCATAAGGCCGGCTGTGACTATCATATAAACTATGCATGCATTCACTCTGCCCAAGGAATAGTAACAGCGATAAAGCTCCACACAGTTGCAAATAAGTACTGCAGCATCGGTTGCAATCTTCCTTGAGCTCTCGCTTGGGTGCTTTGTCTTTTCTCTTGCGGCTTCATTTTCGGAATGATGGGATAGGTATGGACGGTGGAGTAGAATCAGTGTTGTGTTATATAGCATACTGGATTTGAAAGTGGCTCGTCAGTGTTTCAGTGTGAATTACATTGCAAGCGTCACAGCTAAAGGGAGAATGGTGAAACCCACTAAAGTTCCAGCGTTGCTGTAGAACATTGCCTTCGCTGGAGGATGTGATCGGGGGTAAGACGGAGACCAGAAGGTAGGCTACTTGACCATGATTCTAGCTCTTTCATAGGGCCTTGAATCCATTGCGATGATATGTGTTGCTTAGCCCGAGCTCCAAGATAGCTTTCAAGCAGTCAGCACATGTACCCATGAGTGGCACCGGAGGGAACTCGTACAGCTCCCGAAGAATATTTGAAATCTGCACACAGAGCATGGAAAAGTACTTGAAATGGTCCATTGCACCCACAGGACTAAGTGATAGTCGTCCAGTTTGTGGTTCGAAAGAGCTTGTGCTATAGTAACTGCATGTAGGTATCGACTCGGATGTTGGAAAGCCGATGACTTGCTCATTTGCTTGTATCAACACAGGTCGCCCCAAGATCAGACACCACAGGCTAGTATTGACTTGAGTACTAGAGATCCTACAGACGAGGCGGGTGAGAAGCTTACATATGAGAATTGCAAATTGCCCAATACGTACGTTGACGACTTGCGTGGATCGAATTCTGGGTCTTGGTTGATGGAAGATTTCCAAGGTTGGCACTGTTAGCCAAGGGGATATGGAGACCAAGCTCGTAGAGAAGCTGTACGGCCATGCCTGGATCGATATAGTGTTAGCTGGTCATCACAAAATCACAGCCAAGGAGATGCCGGACCTGTGTATAGCCAACCTACTTGCCTGTCAGAGCTGCCTTCGAATCTGTGGAGGACGGTGAACTCACCTCTTGAATCGTTTCCCTCCGCCATTTCATACATACAAAGCACCAGAATGGCGTGGGCTGTTGCCAAGGTCGGGTTATCAATGTCATTCTCAAGTAGCCTTCTGGCCCTCTGAGCGAAAAAATCTGCTGGTCTGTAGCCTCTGGGGGTCCTGAACGAAGTGCGAGATGCCGACAGTGCGCTGACTGCGAGAATTGCGTTGACCAATGCTGTGCTGCAAAGCTCTACATTTTGTTCGACCCTCATCTTATTCTTAGCCTCAAAGTATTCTTCTCGACCAATGCCGTGAAGTGCAGGATTTTGCCACGAGAAGAACAAATCTTCCAGAGACTTTTCATCATCGGTATTTATCTCGGAAGTGATGATGGCAGCTTGATGGGCCCGATTTGATTCAGCTGGGACTCCTCTGGACGGCTGACATAGGGACTCCAGCAGGGCGTTGCGCGAATAGTGCAAATGGCTTGTTGGCCCGTACCAGTGAGTACCGCGATTGGGTGGATGGTGTAGTCGTCCATGGAGACTGGAAAAGCTCAAAGTATTCGAATCTATTGTGTATTCCACGATAGTAGCTTCACTGCTTCTTCCTTTCCCATGGGAATCAGACGCTCTTATGATGCGTGTTTCTTCCACGACTGGAGGCCCAGTGCCTCCAGAAGCCCTCAGTGCGGGCAGCCAGAGGCTCTCAAGCTCGTCATCAAAGTCGATGTCGCACTCCGACCCATCTTCCGGACTGCTTGGGACATTGATGATGTCGAAGTTACTTGCCCTGTCAGCAATTTGGGCCCAGTACCGTCTATCAGGGCCAGAAGATTGACTCATTGTGTCTTTAGACACAGCAATGGTCCCCTCAGGAATGCCAGGGCTCCGTGAACCTACTGGATTCGGGCAACCTGGTTCTTCTATCTCTTGACCCGCTTGAGCCACAGGTTTTGCTGGCTCAGGTTGAGTATTTGAGGACGGGCCTGGTTTTGACGCATCCTTTGACGGCTGGCGGGACGATCTCGTGGACGCATAAACCCTAGTTGTGTCGTGTTAGCAATAAAGATGGTGGTATTGTCGGCTTTTCAATCAAGCTTGCTGTGGTAACCTGCCTGCGTCTATCATCTCCGAAGACACAATTCATCTTATATAACATGCAATTCGAGCATTTGGGAAGTGCGTTGTCGCACTATGGACATTAGTGTCGTTCTAGTACAACGTTACGAGGGATACTGCAGTATCTACCTTCACCTTTCGCTTGCGACAAAACAGACAAGCGTTGGAAGAGTGACGACGGGTTGGCTGTCGTTCTTTGGCTTTGTTTGGAGCGATGCTTCGACTAGGTTCCCTTGCAGTTGAGTTGGACTGAAAGCAACTCTCTGGTTCTTGCGTTGAGAGCATTTTGGCCGTCCTCTTGCCACATACAAAAAATTCATGGATTGGAGCAAGAGTCAGAGCAAGATGCGAATTTCCCAAGCATGAGGGTCACTAGGCACAATACAGTTAATCCCCTCGTCAAAAGCCAGGCCAAGCGTGAGGAGACACATAGATCAAACATAGCCGTCTAGTGACTAATGTCGTTGTTTCCTCAGAGTACTACGAATAAGGTGTAAGCTCATTAGTCAACTGAATTATGTGGGCTGCTGGCGGAAATCCGGAAAATGGATATATCCGAGAGGCAGAGCATTTCCGCATCTTGTCCTGGGAGCCGGTGAGTCACCCCTGTCAGAGAATGCGTGCTGTGGCGACGACACTCAGAAGCAATGAACATAGTGCTAGGCTGGGTCAACATGAGATGATGTAACGGCTTGCCCCTTTTTCGCTGGCGAATATATAGCATGTCTCTTGGACGCGGTCGAGTAGTGCAATGTCGAGGCGAACATGCTGGTAATCTGCATTGGTCTTCACACCTAACAGACGAAAGGATAGAAGGGGCTTCAGCAAAACCCCGATGTGCAAGATGCGCCGTTTAAGAGTCTCGTTTAACATCCGCTTGGGCTGTCACTGAATAGCCGCATGGGATACCACATACGGAGAACTGCTTAGCTTCCGTCGGTTTCAAAATCCGCGGGAGTCAAAGGCTAGAGTTGCATGTACCTCACGAAGCAATTGGATGAAGAGAGCTTCCACAGAACTTGAGGAGGCTGGGACTATTAGGGAGATGCCCTAATGAAGTTGAAAGAGGTTGATTCGACTGACTTCCTGTCGGTTTTGTGATGCTTTAAATAGTCAACATCTCATTTGATTGCACCACTTCACGTTCACTTCGAGTCTATGCAGTTGATTTTTGTATGATCGTCCTGTCTTGTGTGGGCTCGAGCTAGTCAGTAACAGAAAGTCGCCGTCATGAGTACGCTATTAAATGGGTACGTCATTGCAGTCCTTCATTCGCCTAGTCTGACCATCATCAAAGAACTGCCTTCATCACTGGTTCCGGAAGCGGAATCGGACAAGCTTGTGCCGTCGAATTTGCTCGGAGTGGATGCACCGGAATGCTCATCACTGATATCAATGAAGTGGCGCTGAAACACACTGTCAACTTGATCTCTGAGACAAACTCCAACATCGAGGTTTTGACGGAGGTAGCTGACATCACGGCCGACGACGTTGCAGAACGGTTGGTTCAAAGAATAGTATCGCGCTTCGGGCGACTGGACTATGCATTAAACGTAGCAGGTATTTCTCTCCAAGTCGCTGTCAAGGATGAAGCTGATGGACAGAGTCCAGGCATTATCGGAAAACAAGCCCCGATTCATAAGTTGGATCTCAGCACCTATAAACAAGTTATGGATGTTAACGCAGAGTCGGTTTGGCTGTGTGAGCGTGCTGAGGTTGCTCAGATGATGAAACAAAGCCTTGGGCCTACGCAGTGCGTATGCAGATCATGGTGCATGTACTTACTAAATGCTCTCCAGCGACGGAAGACCAGGCTGTAGAGGCGCGATTGTCAACATTGCATCTATATGTAGCATGATCGGAATGCCCAACTCTACTCCCTACACCATGTCTAAACACGGTGAGACACATAATTGCAGTGGAGAAAACATGTTTTAACATACAATAGCTGTTCTCGGCATGGTGAGATCGGACTCCACGACATTCGCTAGCCAAGGGATTCGAGTCAATGCAGTTTGTCCTGGGTGATTCACACGAATAGGATTAACAGTATAGTATATTTCTAATACATATTTGCGCAGGATCATTGAAACTCCGATTATCAATCCAGGTGCTGCGAAGTTTGCTCTGGCGTATGTCGAACAGTTCACCGCCATGAAGCGCCTAGGAACAGCACAAGAGGTTGCAGATGTTGTTGCCTTCCTTTGTAAGCGTTTAAGTATGGGCATCTCTTTACATATACTAAAAGAAAACGAACAGGCTCCAGCCGAGCAAGCTATGTATCTGGTGCAGGCTTCTTAGTATGTGTATCAGATAGTTTTGGTTGAGTTACTGCTAATATATGCTTTAGGTTGATGGTGGGCATACGGCTCAGTGAAGCTCTAAGCTCTTATGGAATTAGGAATGGATAGAACAAGAAGAACAAAATTCATGTCTCTATATTCTCCTGAGTCGGTAAATAAGATGTAACTCCGATATCATCAGTTGCTCTATGAATATAACAACCAAACACGTGTGAAAAAGCAAAGGTATTGAGGTGGCTGTAATGACAATCGGGCGCAGATATATAGAATAATTTTTTGGGAATGTTTCCAAATCAGCTCACATCAACAATCTGGAAGACGCATTTTTGATGCTCAATGGATATATTTATTAGACTAAACGCGGTTATTAGGGACAGATGCTCAGTCCACGTAGAAAGATCTTATCGTCAATAACAGGACGGGCACAACGTCGCTATGAATAGCAGTTAGCAAGATCATGAATCTCTATGACCTGACTTGACGCGGTAAATCAGCTATAGCTATCGATCATTGATATGCCATCGAGGTGACTGGTTTAATGACCTGCGTTCCTCGTTGTGGCGTTAAGTGGAAAAGAGCATCGGACATTATCCAGGTTTACTAGCATAGGTTTCACGAAGTTAAACCCACTTCCCCGAATCAATCTCAACGCTATACAGTAATCTAGTCTCACGGGCCTGGGTATTACTACTGACCGATACGGAGTACTCGGAAAACGATTCAAAACTGCAGACCCCATTCGGCATCCGGAAAATGGTATATCTCCAATATGTTGCCAATTAATCCAAGCCTAGTCGTACTGTTCAACGTTCTTCAATATTGGCTGTTGCGAACTGACAACGATAAACAGACGAAGTCAATGAGCACACGATCCAAATGACCAACGGCATTTTGTGGGCTGGCTCGAGCATCAGGGAAGGAAGCTCGCTTCCAGACAGCACTTTTAACGAATGGTATAGCAAAATCCACATTCCAGACATTTTGGATACTGGCAAGGTCGATTTTGCCATTCGTTTCAAGGCCTTAGATGCATCACGGCAACATAAATATATGACTGTCTACGATGTTCCCGATATTAACAGCCTGCAAAGCGATGAAATCATGGTTCAGGCCCCTTTCTTACGCTTGCTATTACCGATATTCGGGGACTTGATGCTAATTGTGGCTGCATAGGGACTTTCTGTTGTGCACCCAATTCCTGGTGACTATGATGTTGCCAGCGCTCTCGAAATTGATTTGAGGGCATATGAGATTGTGCAAACGGTCGAAAGTGCGAATGCAATTGGGAGACAAAGTCGAGGATTAGTTACAACATGTGTGGACGTTCCTGCCGAACTTGACCAGGAATTCAACGACTGGTTCAATCAGCAGCATCTAGGTAATGCATAGTATACGAAATACCTTGAGTGACCTCTGACTATCAACCGCAGACATGGTATCTATGATACCAAGCTTCATACGGGGTACAAGATATAAGCTCTTAGAGGACCACTCCATTACCAAAACGAACCAAAAGACTCCTCCAAGATACGCTACTTTGTATGAATACGATACCACAGATTTTCCTTCCGCGCAACTGGCGATCGTTGCCGGCACAAAATGGAGTAAGAAGGTTATCCCTCAATTGACAAGAATAGAAAGAGAGGCATGGGAAGTAGTAGAAAACCCATTTCGCTGTGCAAGCCATAGTGGGCAACACAAATTAGGGTCGAGTTAGGATATATCACGCTCAGTTTTGGAGTTATCTAGTCTTGCCTTGCAAATAAAATTTCATCCCCAAGTTTAGAATTCTCTTACTATGCCCGTCGCGCATACTCCCACGCTTGTAAAGCCAGTCAGTGCATTTGGGCGAAGGTGAGCCTTCTATCCACAAAGAGCGTTTCCTTACCACGAGCCACTGTAGGATGTTGGAACTGGAAGAGAGACCAGTCAGTTTCGGGGTCAGTAGTAGCTGAGAGCTGTTTGGTTGGTGGGATCGAGGACTTCAACTGTAAATTTCCGGGGAAAAGCCCTTGATCAAATTGGACCTCCGTAATCCCGCAGCTTATGGAAATCCGGGGCTGGCAGAGTTTGCAAGGCCAAGTATGAGTGTGCTTTGAAGAGCTTCATAACAGAAACATATAACTCGAAGTGCACAAGAAAAGCCAACCGCTCCAGTGATCGAGATACCATTCAATTGGAGCCCCAAATATCTACTTTTCAACATGTCCGACGAGAAGATAGAGAACCAGCATATCCAACAGGTTCCAGAAAACCACATCGCTGTCCACACCGACACATTTGATATCAGCGAGGATGCCCTTGGTAATGAGTTGCCCAAAAACTACTACCGAAATTGGCGTTTTATTGGGGTGACCATTGTATTCCAGACTCGCACCGTTTGCAACTCAGGAGACTCGCTCACATCTGATAGGCTTGCATCCTGTGCAATAATGCTCAGATCTCACCTTATGTGCTCTCAGCAAATTCCTACCCTTATATCGAAAAGGACTTAAGATCCACACACAATGTCATATGGATCAACCTTGCCTACGTCCTATGTATCGCAGTGTCCATGCTGATCACGGGTGAGCCTCTCCATATTACTTGCCGATCGATGACCTGCTCCTACTCTACTATCTCCCCAATCCTCCCGGAAAGGAATCTATTCTAGCCATGGTTCGATGAAGAGCTTCGTACAGCGGCTCGCTGACAACATTGATTATTTCAGGCCGCTTGACGGATATATTTGGCCGCCGCTGGTTTTTGGTGGGTGCTAATGCCTTTGGTTGTCTTGGGTGCATCATAGCCTCCACCGCCAACAACATCAACACAATAATCGGTGGTACAGTGTTCATTGGACTGGCTTCTGCAGTTCAGCTGAACTTTCCTGCTGTGATTTCGGAATGTGCGTTGCATCCCTTGACCATGGCTGCAACTAGTCTGGTGCTGACCGACCATTATCAGTGGTTCCCAAACGTCACCGATCGATATATGTCGGGACGATATACGGTTCTTCCCTTGCCTGCTTCGGTTTTGGGGCCGTTATCGCGTACAAGCTTTCAGAGCATCATCCTTCAGGATGGCGGTGGTGCTATCGAATTGGTATAATACTGTCTGGTTAGGAAGAAAGGCTCCCTGGAGCTCGTCCTTGACTGATAGACCGCAGGCCTTTCTTCTTTGGCATTCTTTTTGTGTTATCACCCACCGAAGTTTCACATGTTGCATATGAACAGGTCAAGACTGGATCAGATCAAAAGACAAGACTATGTGGGCTTATTTCTCTTCACGGTCGGTTTGACATTATTTGTTCTGGGAGTGAGCTGGGGTGGCTCTGTCTATCCCTGGAAATCAGCAAAAGTCATTGCCACCATGGTTGTCGGTGGCTGCACGTTGATCGCTTTCGCTTTGTACGGTTCGTCAACACTCTCGCAAGGCGTCTAGTTTCAACATACTAACGTGACACTCCGAACAGAGAACTATCTGGCCAAGAATGTTGACCAGCTCTTGCCTACACATCTGTAAGTAGCTTTACCTGAACAAACTTTCGAGCAATTGCTGAACGAAATATGATAGATTCTCGGCCCCGGGATACATTTCGATGGTAATTTGTGTATTGATCACCAGTGGAACCATGACTGACATTCGGCAAGGTGATCCTTTCCGCAGTTGGCACTGTGACAGCATACTCCGGACAAGTCTTCTGGCCGCAGGAAGTCCACGCCATCATCAAAGGAAGTCCTGAGAGGTTGGCCCTCTTGAGCGTATGTGCAAACTTTGCCGGCACCGCGAACACAGGCTGACCCTTCTCGCAGAGTGTGATAGGAAGCACATGCCTCCTGGGTTTCTTTATTGGCGGTTTCATCTTCCGGTATTGTACCTGGCATCGAACGATTCTCATAGGGTCGGCTGGCATACTGGCGGCTTTCTGCGGTGCAATGATTTCAGTTCAACCTGGAGATGATAAAAAGGGACCAGCTCTCATCGCCTTCGTGATGCTCCCCATTGGCACCATCGAAGTCGGCTCCAGAGCGCTACTGCCGCTCACTTGCCCCGACGAAGATATCGGCGCGGCTCTTGGCGCCTTGGGCTCCATTGGGTATGCATGTGCATCAGTAGGAAGTCAGTAGCCTACCCACCGCTCATGGCTCGCTTCGAATGTTGACAATGATCCCAGTTGCTGTCTATTCGGCAGTTTTGACAAACAAGGTGAAATCTGTTGCTCTTCCAGAGATAGCGGCAGCCGCAGTCAAGGCAGGGCTTCCGGAGTCATCGATCCCAGAGCTTTTGGCAGGGTTCCCTAGCAATCTTGCTAGCGTTCCAGGAATAACCAAGCAGATTATGGCTGCAGTCGCGGTGGCGGGTGCCCAAGGATATGCTGATGCATTCCGGTGAGCTCCAACCGGAGTTTTCAATGGCCAAGCTGACTGTGGTTTCTAGTTATGTCTGGTACTGCGCACTTGCTTTTGCACTATGTGCATTTGCCGCTTCTTTCTTCACCATCAACTACGAAAAGTATCTTACCGACAACGTCGCTCGGAAGCTTCAGTACGGAACTCCACCACGAGTCGATCCAGAAGCGACAGAGAAATAGGGACATCCAGCTGCAAACTTCACATGGCCGTCTTTGAAATCAAGCTTAGAGATGGAAAAGTGAAGTGAGAGAATGGGACGCCGCCTCTCGGCGTAGGTCAGAAGAGAGCCAGGTTGCTTTAGAATCGTTGCCACCATACTTGTGGAGACACTAACCTCACAAGTCAGCCATAGTTGAACAGGACGCAATTGCTGAGGCAAGCATGAGTATTTCAGTAACCATGTATTCAAGTACGTTCCTAATTGCAATCCAAAGTCTGAGCTCGTTTCGGCTTCATGCATGGACAATAACATCAGGCTCGAGAAGTGATCCAGACCGGCCCCACTGGGCTACAATCTCGGTGGCGTGCTTGGCAAACTGCACGTGACTCAAAGTTATGCACAGCCGGCTCTTCTATCGTATGACCAAGTTGTGCACAGCGAGTGACAGCGGGATAAGTACTTCAGCCAAATTCTAACGCTTCTAAGTGCCAATGAGACCAAGATTTCGTGCCTGTAACTTCAAGCCTCGTCCTCCGTGGATCACACCTGGCCCCTCATTGGAGTACTTTCTGTGGGGATCCCCGCGTCGAGGTCGTTGCTCCATGGTGCGCCTCAATTTTTCCATCCGCGCCTCGTACCCCCCATCCTTCTCTTTCGTCCCTCTTCATCCGCCCTCGTCCGCGATCAGTCCTTCCACCCCTGTTTTTCTCACTCCACGCCCTTCAGCCCTCCTCGAGCATATGAGCTGATCGTTCCATCGCAGGACGTCAAGTACGCACATGATCGTTAACTTCCCAATTTTTAACAACTTATGTCCGAATCTACAGAATGGTTAGTCCGCAGCCTGTCTCAGCAACACAAGTCCGTGAGTCCAGCGTCTCGAGAGCAGGTCACTCCCCGAGCCAGCATGATGAACTGCATAACGACCATACCGCCAGAGGGAAAATCCGTGTGAGAGCTTCGGCTGCTTGCAACTCTTGTAGGCTTCGCAGAGTTAAGGTACGATTGTCAAAATCCGTCCGGGATGAAAACAGCATCATGCAATCTGGTCATCCCCTTCGGTGTTCGAAAAAATTCTAACTTTCATGCCTAAAAGTGCCTGTTTGACCAGGAGCATGTCCAATGCAAGCACTGTCGTCGAAATAATCTCACTTGCATTTTTGACCACAATGATGGTCGGAAACGGTAAGCATGGTCGCCTGGCCGTTTATTGCCATGATTTCTGATGAGAAAATGACTACTAAGGCGCCGTCCTAAAAATGAAGTCGCCACTTTACGGGATCGCGTGGCTGCTCTGGAGGCTACGCTGCAGCATCAGAGTACAAGACCTGACGTCCTTGCCAGTTGCAACTCCAGTTCTTCCACCAGATATTCGAGCCAGCCAAAACCTTTCGATGCCAACGACAATGAGATTTTATCAGATACGATACATGTCTCTGTAGTCCCTTGCCAATCTCAATCTCAGCCTGACCCTACCACAGAGCTCGACGCAGATAAGGGCCACTCGTCTGCACGTTCACTGTGCATCGATTCTCGTCATGTCGGGACGAACTATGAGGACGTGGACCGGGGTGAGCAAACAATGGACTTGGGGCGCAATAATGCTCCGAGTGATGATCCATCCTCGCCTCGAGATGACAGTAGTCACTCATCAGTTTTGTCAGCCCTGTCGACGTCCACGCAGGACTACCTCTCGCAACTCTTCTGGACAACATACAATGATACATTCCCTTTTATCAACAAGGAACTTTTTTTACAAGCGAAAGCGCAAGATAACCGCGACTACTATTCGAAGACATTGGAACTATGCATTTGGCTTGCTGGAGTCCGCTTTGCCGATCGCACGCGCACTGACATCGCAGTGCTGTTTGTGCCGCATACCGCCGAGTGCAGATTATATCGGCTTGCAAAGGAGGCTGTCGAGGCTGACATGGAGACTCAAACCTGCCTCCCGCTCGTACAAGCCTTCCTTCTTTTGGCAGATATGGAGGCATCTCTGGGACACTACAGTGCTGGGTGGATGTATATTGGTGAGTGTGGCCCATTCTTGCATTGGGATTCTCAGGGTGAACTCTGCAAACGAAGGCTAATTTCAGCGGATCGTAGGCACGGCTTTCCGCATGGGCCTCAGCATGGGCCTCGACTTAGACAGCACTTACCGAGAGCTTCTCCCACACGAAGCCGAAGTTCGCCAGTTTACCCATTTCATGTGCCTCGTCATGGAAAGGTGAGCTACGCCCACTGGCCTTGACCCACGCCTATGGCTACTGAACATCCCACAGGTACTTCGCAGTGGTCTTGAAACGATCTCCAATGGTGAAAAGTTTTGATGTGAAAATACTCGACTGCTATTCTCAAATGTTGGTCTCATCTAGAGAGCTCCCTCGTCCTCTTCAATGTTGTCTTCAGCTATTTGAGCCCCGAAGAACTTTATATGAAGTCATCGCCGCGAGCAACGCTATGCAGAACCTTGGAGCTCATCGAAGTGGCCATTTTGTCCATCGCGACCATCTCAAGGCCATGGCCTTGACAAGAGAGCTTCAGAGGATTTACCACAATCTCAGTGGAGGGGCAAGCTGGACGCCGGAAAATGTCAATCAGGCCCATGGCGGTTTCTTCCTCTTCCAGTGAGTATCTTTGTTCTAGCCCCAAACCATTCGACGCTTATTCTTCTGCCTAGTCAGCGATACTACATAAACTTGATCCTGATCCATCAACAATTCGCCCAGTTCGCATCGTTAGACCCTCTTGATGATCTTCATACAAGTAACGGTATTCTTAACACCAACGGCGAAGCTCCCAGTCGCTTGTGCAAAATGACACGAATGTTGTGCCTTGCCTACTCCATCACTCTTACCCGGATTCTCAAGATTCATCATGAGAAGCGCGGCGGACGTCGAATGGTCTTCCAGGTTCTTGGACATGTCCAAATCGCGGCGAATACACTTCTCAAGTGCTTGATCCACATAAAAGACACAAATAAGCAGCAGAAAGCGCTCGGCTTTCTGGAAGACCTTGTGGTCATCCTAGAAAGCCTCGAACTCTTGTATCCTGTTGCCAGTGCCTCCCTGAGGTCACTTAGGCGTTCGTTGATAAGGCAGCGGCAGGAACTTTCTTTCGTTTCTAGCTTATATCACTCTCCCGATCGACTGCCCAGTACCGATGCAGAATGTGAAACCATACAAGGGACACATGTCACAAAACCTCTGACCATGAATAAACTTGCTACCCCATACAACACGGAGACCCTCTGTATGTATCAGCAATCACCTTGTGTACATACTACATATCCGATGGAATTACATGTTCCATCAATCTCCGAGGATATATCAACGGCTCTGGATGATTTGGCTACGAAGAATGGGAAGGAGAGCTATTCTTCCGTGGGCCACTTTGTGGAGTTCTTACCGGCGGCATCACAACCTGATGTAGTCACCCCTAGGGGTACAGAGAAAGGCGTGACCAATGTTCGAGACTCCAGCCTAGACACGTATCAGCATCTCTCATTCGATACGTATGACGAAGACAACCTCTTCTTCGCAGAAGAATTCCTCAACATTGATGCCGAAGCGAATGCAGACGACGACTTGGACCTCGATTCGTTACTGCCGCAAGCTTTTTGGCAGACCAGTCACACTCTTGGGGCCTTTTCGCTAGCAAGTGATCCCACCGTGGGAATCCATGCACACATCGACGTGTTTTGAATACCTACACTTCCCAGATTCGAATTAATACTGACTCGATGGCGACAACTACCTATACTCCAAAGGGCTCTGTGGTGGCATTGTTGTTTTCATTCATAGGCCGGACTCGCTTACTATGACAATCATGACTCGCCGCCTGAATTCTACTAAGAGGTTTCCAGTGCTAGCCCTTCATGAGTGCACTTTATAAACGTCGACCACCTCTTTCTTTGGGATCAATGAGAATTACCTAGAGGTGGAAGATTCTCATACAGCATAGCGAAAACAGTCAAGAAAGAGGGCGGCAATCAAGGGAAATAACATTCAAAATGTGCAATTTTGCCCTGATGGTTATTCTATTGTGTTCGCATGCAAGAGATACGACTTCAAAGCCTGTCTTAGCTCCAAAGAGCTACTGAGTATTCCCGCCAACGCAATCAGTCCCTTTTCTTGATGCGTAATGCCAGTATAAACTGGATAAATTGATATCTTGCATAGGACTGCGGCAACCTTGAGTCTCATTCCGTGTCGCTGGCAACGCCATCTACTTTCTGATATGAACTTTCGTTTGATTGGTAAGGGTCTTAGCATCCATACCTATTGGAAAGCTCATTCTTCTGCTCTTCGTGCGATCTTGAAAGGCCTTCATCGCTGGGTCGAATTTTTGACTGAAGCAACTCAGAAGATAGTATTGCCAATTCCGTTACTAAATCTCTGAGTCGACAGACACCGGATATAAACTGTACGGTTCGAACTGTTCTACTTCTTTTTCTTTCGGGTCGACATAATCAGCGCTAGCACGTCAAGAACAAGATTGCTTGAAGATGATAGCGTTCCGAATATTTGTATTCTGGTTGTCATATCGCACCGGCTATCGGTCTTGAGAACCTTAGAGCACGTCTCACTCAGCTCGTTCGAGTTCATTAGGATCAGACCAGAGCGTAAAACTCGTCTCATATCGTAGAAGAAGAGCGCCAGCGAAGCCCACGATAACACAACATTGCCTGTATTATTTGTGTGGTACAGGTACCAGGAGCGCAGCTTGCAATTGTATTGTGCCAAATCGACTATCTTGTTTTGATCATCTGCGAGTATTTAGACTCGTCAATTTACAGTCATAATTCCACTAGTAAAGCCCGCAGGAAGCTTCCAAACCGTTCTCCGGTGCCAACTCACCTAAAGAATTGATGGCTAGGATATAATGAGTTATGCACGCATTCAAGGATGGTCTTCCGCCATGACGAGTCTTTGATCTGGACCTGGAACGTCAAACGGGGATCATCTATGAAATAATGGAGTCTGCACCACACTCTGCCATTGGCAAACAATGTTCAAGCAAGAGTCGGCATAGCCATTACTACATACCAGTGAACAACTTCAGTAGCTCACGGGTCATACAGTCATAACTCCGAAGAAGTATTGGGTCGAGTGGAGCACTACCTCAGACTTCCTGGGAATTGGGTGTTTGATATCCGAGAGATCGAACCCATGAAACAAAACAACAATCATGGTGACAATTCTTGGTATAAATGCACTCATAATATATCGCAGCATAGCTCTTATGCCTGTAGTGGACGTTTTCTTACTTTCATATTTCACAGTGTTCAGACAAATTATTTGTCTTGTCGGAATTTGTACCACCTCAAGATATTCACCGTAGGTCATGACCTACTGAGGCTATGATGCTCTGGATCATATCTTTGCCCTGGTCCCTTCAGTCGCGTGGCGGATATGGACTTCTCGCAATAGCATACCCTGTCCAGGAACTGGGAAAGGTGCGCAGCTAATGGTGGTTGCCACGAGCCTGGCCGGATGTGTCTTGGACGCGTTTCTCCATCTATGCATCGTTCCGCGTTGTACAATATGATCCTGAGAACAAGTAATCGTTCAGTCCCGACTGAAGTCGCTAAGAGCAAAAAGGCTACTTACTCCAGGATTCAAGCGCACCACCTCACCACTGTCCAATTCGTGATCGATTGATCCAATCGTGCATACTGAGAAGTCAATCGACACGGTTTGGTGAAAGTCGGTTACTCCTCCCGGCTGCAGATCAAGAACGTTCAGGTTCACCCCTTTAGGAACAACAATTTCCTGACGGTTTTGACTACAATCTCCATCGCCATCCTCAAAAGCCGTCACATCGGCATCACCTTCGAGTACCACGGGTACACCCTGTACCGAGTACGACCGAGCCATTTGGCCTACTCGAGCAACATTGAAGTACGGCAGTAGCTTCTGCTCCCGATGGACACTGCTGCCATTTGCATTGTGGGTAGTAATAAACCTTCCACAACGTGGTAGTTTGATCTCAGGTGACATATCTGTCCGGAGTATAGACAAGTTTAGGCTGTGATATGTCAAGATGGGATATCAGTGGTGTGTTGATAAGTATGGATATTGTAATCCACTCAGCTACGGAAGCCGAGACTGTTAAGTGTTCACAGGCATTGATCCACCTCGTTTCGGCTCATTGTGCATATCCTTGTTCCGAATTGAAGCCTGAATGGAGATGTCGCGATATAGTGATTGCCCAATTTCCGAGCATCGATAATCCGGAATATTACGGCCTAAGATCCTTATATTTTGCCATTATCCTCCCGCTTTGGGGACTTTCATTGCGCAGACTCAAGGGAACAGTACACCCTTTCACACAGTCCTAAATCGAATTGTTTTTTCTACAAGCTTGGCCTTTGTCAATTCGCCCTTTTCAAAGTTTTCCTTTTTAAATCCATAAAAATGATCCCCCCAAGATCTGAAGCGCATGCCACTCGCAATGAACAGACTCGCACGACGTTCACATCACTAGAACAAGCGAGCTTCTTGCCACCTACTAGTGCCACCATCTCTGCCCAGGCCACCCGGGCGAACGTGCCTCATAAAGTAGAGGATGTACCGGAAAGCAACGGCGCCAAAATACACTGGCTGGGTGACTCGAATGCTAAAAGTGTCTTGCTTTACTTCCACGGTAAGCGACAACTGTACCAACAGACTGCTATATCTAATTATGATAGGTGGTGGCTATGCGCTCCCCCCTGTTGAGGGCCACGCGCTCTTTCTTTTTGAGACGGCGAAGAGGTTCCAAGCAACAACTCAACAGCCCCTACTGATCGCCTTCCTCGAGTACAGTAAGCACATCACGGTCAATAAAGAGAGCACGCATTCTAACCTTGGACAGCCCTTTCAACTGCAGGAAAATTCCCCCTTCAGCTCATCCAAGCGACTGCTGCTTTGAGATTGCTACTTCAAAAGGGATTTAAGCCTTCCAATGTGAGAACATCCCAGGACCAAAGGTCATACATATGCTGACGGAAGACAAAGATTGTTGTCGGTGGTGATTCAGCCGGGGGAAATATGTCTCTGGGCTTGGCATCCCAGATCCTTCATCCGTACAAAGGTATTCCAGCTTTGAAATTAGATCAGCCTTTAGCTGGCGTGCTTTTGATGTCTCCGTTCGTTAGCTTCGATGAAGACACAAAATCATTCAAGGAGAACCTGCAATACGATATCTGTGGTACTGGACTCCTAAAAGAGATGGTAGATAGCTTTGTCAAGCCAGAACAGAGGAATGCTTGGTCAGAGCCTTTGTTGGCAGAGCCCAGTCATTGGAAGGGCTTCCCAGCCAAGAAGGTTTTGAACCTGTGGGGTGAAGCCGAAATGTTGCGCGACGCGGTATCAGCACAAGGCGAGAAATTGGTCAAAGCGGGTGTGAATGTTAGAAATGTCGAATGCCCTAGCCATGTCCACGTTGAATGCGTCCTCGACGCATCTTCTGGCCTTGGGTATGGTGTCATGGCCACAGAAATTTGGGATTGGCTGGCCTCAGTTTTCTAGAAACAATGGTATAGATAACTCGATGGACACTTTCGTTGGGAGAAGATAGCTATGGTGATACACCGAATACAAAAGCATACTCTAGGAAGAACGCTGCTCCGTACTCCAATTCAGTAAGGATTGGCGTCGCCCCTGGTCAGAGCTTGATCGGAATTTGAAGAGCCGGCTGTTCTACGCCTCTCGCATCGTTATTCCGAAAAACTCGGCTTTGCCGGGTTTACTGCAAATGATCTTGGGGTTGGGCCAGGGCAGGCGGAGTTATAGTCAGTCCAAGGAAGGAACAGTTTCACTAACAGTCTTTTCCAAGACCTCTATCCGAACACTCGACTACCAAATACCATGCCTTGTACTGACCTCGGTGGCTTGAAATAGCCTTCTAGCAAGATCGGCCAATATCGTTCGGATCAACTTCACTCTGAGTGCCTTGCTTCATAGTTCGGGGCTAAAAGTGCAATCTAAGAACAATTGTTTACATATCACTAACGCCTGATCGATAATTTACAACACTTGACAGCTCAGACTGGCTTTTTTCAGCGGCCAACCTCGCTAGTTGCCTAGATGAATTTTAAAGAAATGGAATACAGGCTTAAGAGAGCACGAGTTGTCTGTAAACCTTGCAAGCAAGACAAAAAACGCTGCGATATGGAGAAAGGGGTGCCCTGCAGCAAATGTACGCACAGCAAACGACACTGTTTTACATCGAAACCACGGAAGCTGGACCGGGCTCAGAGAAAACCACAAGATAATTTGTCGCTAGTTCACGATTTAGCCCCGAAAGCCGATGGCATTGTGAGCTTGAACAATAGCGCTACAGAACATGGTGATATTCGCGGTTCCGATGTTTCTCGATGCTCTCTCAACAAACGCAAATGCCAAACGCCCATCACCAGAGAATATCTCAGCTCATATCTTCGAGCCCAGGAGAAACCTTGGTTGACACTACCAGGCTTCATTGAGTCTCCAGCCCTGCATTTGGACCAATCCACTCTAGAATACCTGGCTCAACAAGGAGCTTTTAACCTTCCGCCTGAGGGCATACGAAACGAATTCCTGAAATGCTTTGTCGACTATGTTCAGCCTTTTGGACCAGTTCTGGATGTTCGAGCATTTGTCCGCGCAATTCAGCAGAATGACCCCTATAACCCAATTAGCCTGTCGCTACTATGGGCAGTGGTATTTGCCGCAAGTTCATTCATTGATATAGATCACTTGCGTTTGCTCGGGTTCAACACTCGCAGATCTGCTAGGCAGCATCTGTATCGCCTAGTGAAGCTTTTATACAGCTTCGACGTGGCAGGTGGGCCAACAGCTCGCCTTCAAATAGCGTTACTTTTGACCTTCGGCTACGAGACGCCAGATGATCTCCATGACGCTTGGTACTGGCTTGGGGTCGCAATCACATGGGCAAAGACGCTCGGTGCCCACTGTGTGAGCAGCGGCGGTCAACCTAGAAACCCCAGAAATAATTTGTTGAGGCGTTTATGGTGGAGTTGCTGGGTTCGGGACAGGATCATTACAATCGGCCTACGCAGACCTATGCATATCAAGACGGGAGTCCCAGAATTGGACCTTGACGATTTTGACCTTGCTCCCACTTCACAAGACATCACAAAGACGCTTGGGTTGCCGCGCTCGGTCAAGGACTCAAATACAATCACAAAGTTGGCACGAATAACTCTTGCACTTGGATCATTGTGCGAGTATATTGGTGACATATTCAATGGGTTGTTCTTGGAAGGCACCGGATCTGCCAAACCAAAACAGGAAGCCGAACACTCTCAGTGCAAATGGCACTCTCTGACTACGGATATTAACTGGATCTCTCAAATGAACAAGCGCTTGGAGGACTGGCTCAGTCGTACTGCACAGGAAGTCCAACTTTTTGCACCTGGAAGCCTCGAAGTGATAAATGATGAAGAAGATTCTTCTATTTTGATTGTTCACAGAGCCATGCTTGTATGTCTTTATTACACGATAAGCACCACGCTTTACCGGTCACAGTTCCTAGATGCACGTTCCGCGGCCATACGGTTGTCAGCACTACAGGAGCTCTCGCTACTCAAAGTACAAGTCGCCGCAGATCGAGTTTTCCGAGTGTACATGAATTTGAAGGAGCGTGCTCTGATCCAATTCCTACCACATATGGGTGTGGTGTGTCTTATCCCAGCTACGCTGGCCCACTTGCTGGAATCGCAGACGAACGATCGAACAGCCCGTAAGATGAGTTTGCAAAAAGCACAATCCTGTGTCGACATCTTGCATGAGTTAAGCCAGACATATGCTTCTGCTGAGTACGCCATTCTGAATTTGATGATTGCGAAGGGTCGAATCTGTGGCTCCCTGGATGTGTCTGACAAGGAAGAAGAGCCTGGAATAACTCAACCCCAGATAGTATCTTCTTTACTCCAGTCTATGACAATGTCAACGGAAGAACGCCACCTCCTATCATACTGGCTACTCGATACCGACATCAACAGCTTCAGCCAAATTGAAAGCAGTGATATGTTTAATCTGGCCTTACTATACGGCTGTAACCAAGAACGATGTGGGGGCAAACGCGAACACTCCGGGCAAGTGAATTCGAGGGTTTTACAGAATAATCCCGTTGAAAACTTACCTGCTCTCGCACCACCTTCGAGCTCTCTGGTAGAACCCTTTGGCTGGGGACAAAACTCGCAGAGCTTTGCGGAACATTATTGTGATAGTTCACTAACTCCCACCAATTCCTTTGGTACTCTGGAGATCCCCTCCAATATTTTTACCATTGATACAACAGAAGAAGATACTTTGAATTTTGATATGGTATTGGACAAAACATGTATGCAGAATGGTTTGATAAGTAGCTCCGAGGATTGGAGGACGAAGTCACCTTTTCTTGAGTCTAATCTCAACGAATTGGCCGAGGTGTTTGATTTTAACTTGGCATGCCAATAATAGAGGTAGAGAATCAATATCTGAGAATCCCTTCTGATAAAATCGTGTTTGGCCATTGTCTATTCATGAGATACTGGGCCAGACGCTGTCAAGAAATCAAAATCTGCGCCAGTCTCAGCTTGGTTAACACAGCGCTCGTATAAGCCACGGTAACCTCTCCTGACAATCCGATTCTGTAGCATTACCTTCTCACGCGTCGAATCTATGCGTGATTGTATCCGGCGCCGGATTTCATTGTCGTCCACCTGAAGAATGATGGTGCGTTGAATACAATCAAAGCCTATCATATCACCATCTTGAATGATGCCAAATACTGACTCCTGAATGGCAGATTCGGGAGAAATATGCAGCACAATAGTTCCGCCGGCGGTGCCGGACATACGGCCGTCCGAGATCCTGAGCATGTCTTGTACACCATCTGCTGCTAGCTTCCTCGGAATGGGTATGACACCAGCCTCTGGCATTCCTGGATTCCCAATAGGCCCAACTCCCTGTAAGACCAGGACCGAGGACTTGGTGACGTTAAGATCCGGGTCATCAATCCGAGATGCAAGGTCCGCAGTGTTGTGAAACACAACAGCCGGACCGGTGTGGCTAAGAAGATGCCTGTATTTCGAAGCGGAAGCTTTTATTATGGCGCCGTTGGGCGCAAGATTCCCGCGGACGACTACTAGAGATGAACTGGGGTAAAGAGGATCTGACAATGGACGTATGATCTGCTTCGAGTATGGAAAAGTCCCGGTACTTGGTGGAAGCGCATTGAGGACTTGACCAAGGGTTTGTCCAGTAATTGTCATGGTATCCAGGTGAAGCAGTGGTCGCAAAGTCAGAAGCAGGGCGCCCATACCACCGGCATTATGGAAGTCGCTCATGTAGTTATCTCCACTGGGTTTAAGATCGACTATTAAAGGCACCCTCTGACCAATCTCGGTGAAGGTATCGAGGTTGATAGTATTCACCAATGCCGGATGGCGATTAATAATTGCCATCAGGTGGACAACTGCATTAGTGGAACCGCCGATGGCTTGTAGAACAACGATGGCATTTAAGAATGACTCCTTGGTCAGTAGAGACTGAGGGGCAAGCGCTCCGCCTGAAGCTACAATTTTGACAGCGTTGAGCCCCGTCGCTTCGGCCACTCTCAGTCGCATCGACGAGACAGCTGGGGCAGAGGCACCCTCAAGAGGCATCATACCTAATGCCGCGGTAATACAAGCCATAGTACTCGCAGTGCCCATAACTCCACAAGTTCCAGCCTGCGTATTGATCAGTCAATTGTGTGTTCTTAGCCAGAGGTCATTTCGTGCCTCTTACAGTCGGAGCCAGTTCCTCATTGATAGCACGAATATCCTCCATATCGACTCCTCCAGCTCTGTAAGTGGCCCAGTTGTTGCGACAATCGGTACACGCACCGAGTCGCTTACCCCGAAAGCTTCCAGGGAGCATTGGGCCGGTAATGAGTGGCAACACTGGCTTGTTGGCTGAGATCCCACCCATCAGCTGTGCCGGTACCGTCTTGTCGCATCCTAATTCGTCATGTCAATACCATAGTCTAGTACTCCTCCTGGGGTATCTTTTGATTTATAAAATTGTGTTTCACTCACCTCCTATCATGATACAAGCATCCATGGGCTGTGCCCGGATCATCTCCTCGGTGTCCATACTCATCAAGTTCCGCAGAAACATACTCGTGGGCGAAGAAAATGCCTCATGCAGACTTATGGTGGGAAAGTCCATAGGGAGTCCACCAGCAAGCAGGATACCTCGTTTGGCGGCTTCTATTAATTGTGGGCCGTTGGCATGGCAGGGGCTGAACGAGGACTGAGTGTTGATGATGCCAATGATGGGTCGATTTAGAGCTTCCTCAGAGTAGCCCAGGGCTTTGATAAAGACCTTCCGCAAGAATAGGGAGAAGTGAGCATCGCCGTACGAGGTAAGACCTTGTCGCAAGCCATAAGATGGGATTTTTTGTGAAAGGTCGTAATCATCTCGCAAGGAGACAGTCCCGTTGTCGATCTGTCGAGTCATTTCTAGTTCTGGGCTGGGAGTCAAACAAAGCGTGCTGAGATCTCAAGACTGTCTCTCTGCGGCATTGGCAATCGGACTGACTGCGACAAGGGACCATTGACAGGTATAGAGATGAACTGGGATTATTTTCCAATCGATGCGCTTGATGCTGATAGATGAGTGCTGCCATGAACCAACAGTCCGCAAGTCTGATTTGGTAGATTCCCGCACGAGCCTCGACTTGCACAATACAAGGCTCCACAGAGTAGGTCTAGCTGGTGTAGCGAGGTGAGCGGCATTTCCTGACAAGGTACTGTACTCCGTGTTGATCTGACCGGAGTCGATTTTCATAGGTCGGATTTCATCTCCCAATCCGGCAGTGCGGCAAATCATGAACTTTCTTACATTTTATTCGGGGTTGAGGCCACGAGAGCAATCAAGATAATCCCTAGCAGAGATGACAAAAGGCGTAGTGTGTTTGCTTGTTGTCGACACACCCTGCTACGTACAGCTTGTCTCGATCTCTCCGTTGAAAATCTGTCGTTGACATGAAGCGACTGTATGGCCAGAGATACCTAGAGAGGTGGGCTTCTAGTGATAAAGATTTCCAAGGGTGCCTATAAGCTAGCTCTAGAGGAGCTTTCTAGGCTCTAGGCCCCCAGATATTCGGGTAACCTACCCAAAATTGTCCCTACAGAATAAAGCCTGCCTCCACATTTTGAGTCGTCCGGTGTTTAGTTTTTAGTTTCTGAACTTCTTCTCCCCACCATCTCGCACACACCCCAGAGTGCCCCTCCACTAGAACTTCCAACTACCACAATCGTACTAAGGGCTACATGATATACAGAGGAGGTCGTCATCCTCGTCACTTCAGCCACTCGCACCAACCTCATACTTCGATGATTCTGTCGTGGGACCGATCAAGATGTCGAACAACCTCACATTTGTAGAATATCAAGACCCAGGCGTACAAGCGCAGCGCATCCGGTCGCGAAGGGCCTGTAGTGAGTGTCGGCACAAGAAGGTGTGCATAGGAAAAGTCTCATCTTTGACCTTGCGGCGAGTCTAACCTGGATGTGCCAGAGACGATGCAGTCATCAGCTGCGAAAACCCTTTGGGCCTCAAACACGCGCCGGCCGAGGCTCGCACCTTACCGGGTTCCAGTCCATTGCCACGTCACAGAATACTCAACTCACTGATTCTCGGCCAGAGGCAGAAACTGAGCAAACAAGCCATGAGGATCCACATAGGTCGCCCAGTGTTCAATCAATAACAGCTCCCCAGCAGCAGTATGACAAGCCTCGGAATGACCGGCAACATCAGCAGCTCCCTTCACGACATGGAGCGCAGAGTTACGCGGATCAACCATGCACGTCTGATGAACACACTAGCCCCCCAACGACGCGCTTTGTTGGTGATCTGAATCCACAAACTCGACTGCTCCTTGGAAACAGTATCGCCCTTGACGATGAACTGGAGGTTGGCAGAGGAGAGGTAGGAGTGTGGCTCCAGGCTCAGGCACGACCCTGCAGCAAATGTGGATGCCTCCCTGATACCTTCGTTACATCTTCTCCAGCATCCAGGGGTTTGCGATCACTCCCGTCAGATCTTCTATCCCAGAATACAATTAAAGGGCTGTCAGATCTTTACTTCACCAACGTCCATCCGATCCTGCCACTCCTCAACAAAGAAGAGTACTGGCAGTCTTTGTCTTCGGGAACGAGCTCCACACCATTGTTGCACGTTGTATGTTTGCTTTCTGCCAAAGACAATGCGGCGGAGAAATTCTTGAAATTCTTATATTCTGGAGATACTCTGGTGTCAGTCCGGGAATTTTGCAGCCGCCTGTACATGTCGATCTCAGCGGCGCTCTCTCGGCGCAATAGTATGAGAAAGCTGACCCTGGTGCGCATACTTGGACTTCTTTCTTTGCACCACGAAGGCAGTGACGGTGCGGATCAAGCATCCTGCTATATTGCCGAAGCCATCAACCATGCGCAAACGCTGACACTGCATTTGCCACGACCAGTCGATACCAACAACGAGCTTAAACGAGTTTTCTGGTGTCTTTGGACACTCGACCGATTGAATGCCGCGACCAATGCACGACCGTGCCATATGAGCGACGTTGACATATCTATCCCCGAGCTGACGCAAGAGGAATCTGGCTACGTCGCATTTGACGTGTGGTTTCGTATCGCCAGGATCCTGAACAAAGTCATCGAGTTCTATCGACCCAAACTCGAGGATCCCGTTTCCGGGTTGGACTCCGGGTTTCCAGCCTTTGAACAGATCATGGACGAAATGCACGCTTGGCAACTATCTCAATCCAGTATTGGTTGGTGAAACTTCTTGCTTGTCTTACCAATTGGCTATTAGCTAACATCATTTGATCTAGCCACTCTCCATATCTTTTACCTCGCCATTGCAGTCCTTGGGCATCGTCTCAAGGCTATCACGAGCCTACCACCACCCACTCCGGCAAGACTGCGGCAACAGCTTGCCACTGTCCAGGTCATCAGGTACATGGAGGACACGAACCGATTGAACGCGTTGCATCCATTTCCTATTGCCGTATATGCTGTATCGCTTGCCCTGTCTGTCTCTTATCAGCAGCTCAAATTCAGTCGTCTTCCCAGTGACCGGGAGGATGCGCGCCGCGATTTCCAGAAATGCTGCGTCATCATGCAGGAGCTGAGGCGTAAATGGGGCTGCGCCGATGCGATGGGGTCTCTGGCGCAGAAAATCTCTGCTGCGCTCGACCATCCATCACTGCTTGATGAACTCCGGGCAAATCAGTGTGGTCCCGTGAGCAACGACAGTAGCTTAACAGGCAATTCAGGAGCTGGTATAACACAGAAACAGTGTGAAGACCACCAAATATCGGCTTTATCAGCGGGCGAACATCCGTTGAACTATCAAATGTTATTTACCGGGTTAGACACCATGGACGATATTTCTTGGATGAACTTGGGCGCCGGAGACCCAAGCGAAGTCGGGCATGACAACTTCCCTTCAATTAACTTCAACGACCATTGTAGTTCTTGGTAAAGCCTCTCGATTCATGGTTCAGTACTATTTTTTGATTCCGATTTACCTGCCCTTTTCCATTCTGGTAGGTTACGAATCATTGGAAGAGGCTGTAGCCTGGAATTAGGCTTCTGTGCAACACAAAACTCATACTGAGGTAACTACAAAGCAGAGCATGATATTAAAAGGAAGCAAGCTACTCCTTCTAGCGATTGCATACTTGTCAAGATCATTGGATACACGGCACCGGCTGACTTCTTTGGTAATATTCCGAGGGAATTTAGTCGCTGAAAAATGATATCTGTTAAAATGTCGCTATTGTGGCCACAATAATTTGAGTCCTACGGAGAGCGTACCAACCACTTAGCGAAGGGATCAAAATCGTGACCCTCTATATCTCCTTGTCGTACCCCATTTGGCTGTTGTCACCGGACCAGTAGGATGAGAACGAGTGGACGATTTCCATGTTGGGCAAGTTCAAACTCCTCGAGATCATCCCTGCTCATTGCAGTGATTTCGTTCTCCAGTTTTCATTTTCGGTTTTAACGGAGCATGAGAACGAAATATAATGACCGCTTGTCAGCACTGGCTCTCAACGATCCTCCAAATGCCACAACATACCTCTTCAATCTATTGTACTCCACTTTATTCACCAAATATTTTGTCAGTAGCATCAGAATTCAGTATGCCTACAGCTCTAGAAAATCTCAAAGCCACTGGTACTGTATGTATCTAATGAAAGTCTACAAGGACTTAACACCCTATCGATATCATAAGCTGACGTCTAGATCAACTCACGATAGATTGTCGTCTGCGACTCTGGTTGGTCTCCTCCCTAACACACGAAGCCCTTGCAAACTTTTGAAAATTCGGATGCTAACCTGCTCCAGGTGACTATGGTAGTAAGCCGTGCCCGGTATTGTCTTTTCATCACGAATCTATCCCGCATGCAACTTTCTTTTGTTCACCACATTCAAATTGTTGACGCTTGCAGCTATCGCCAAATATAAACCTCAAGACACTACTACGAATCCTTTCTTAATCCTCGAGGCCTCTCGAAACCCGCAATATGCACATCTGGTCGACGCTGCTGTGGATTACGGCCGGAGCCAGGTGAGAAGACCACGATTTTGCTTGATAGCTACTGACCTGCTGCAGGGTACTACCCTAAATGACAAGGTTGATGCTGCCCTCGACCGTCTCTTGGTAGAGTTCGGGCGAGAAATTCTCAAAATAATCCCTGGCAAGGTCTCAACGGAGGTTGATGCTCGCTTCTCCTTTGATACAAAGGCCACAGTTGAAAAGGCGCTCCATATCGTCAATGCATGTACATCGAGAAGTCCATCGCCAACTTGGCCAACGCTGACCATGCTTCGTAGCTGTACGAAATCATTGGAATCTCTAAAGACCGCGTCCTCATCAAGATTGCTGCAACCTGGGAGGGCATCCAAGCCACCAAAATCCTCCAGAGAGAGCACGGTGTCAATTGTAACTTGACATTAATATTCTCCATCATTCAAGCCATTACTGCGGCCGAGGCCGGAGCATTTTTGATATCACCGTTCGTCGCCCGTGTAAAGGACTGGTACAAAGCCACAACCGGCCAGAAACACTTTACCCCACAAGAGCACCCTGGCGTCAAGTCTGTCCGGACCATCTTTAACTACTACAAGAAGTTTGGCTACGAGACGATTGTCATGGGTGCTTCTTTCCGAGAGAAGTCTGAGGTCTTCGAGCTAGCTGGCTGCGATTACCTCACGATTCCTGTATGTATCCCAACACTCCCTTCACATTCCCCGAAAGTGGTCACATCATGATAACTTACTCGAGACAGCCTTCACTCCTAGAAGAGCTCATGTCATCTCAAGAACGCGTCAAGCAGAGTCTGAGCCCTGAAGATACCGCATCACTAGAGGTCACAAACAAAAGCTATATCGAAAACGAAGCAGACTTTCGCTTCGACATGAACGAGGATGCCATGGCCTCTGAGAAGCTTCGTGAAGGTATCTCAAAATTTGCGGCTGATGCAGTCACTCTGAAAGACATCCTCAAGAAGAAGGTGGAGGATTCGCAGAGATAAACAGGACTCTACAAACGAAGAATTCAAACATCATGAGTGAGAAGCAGTGAGGGTCGAGATATTTTCCCCTTTCCCTGGTTGCAGTATTTTAGAAGGTGGTAGCAAGCAGAGCAAATTGATCAAGGAAACGAACGATTCGTGAGTGTGCCGATAGTTTTGTTGTCCACCAATGGTGTGGAGATTTGAGATTATTTATTGTGTTAAGCGGCTAGCCCTCAGCTTGTCTAGTTCGCATTGTGTGAAACCACAAACGCTGGTATTTAGGAGGAGAGCAGGTAATTGCTATAGGCATGTAAATTTGTCATCAAGGAAATTACGTGTATATATTAAGGATGACGAGAATAACATGAATTGATCATGGCGTTGACTTCCCGATTAAGAGATGCCATGATATAGCCCCGAGGATTCAGCCCTTCATGAGGGTGGATCCACTCACCGTCCGGAGCAGTATCTGGACCGGAAAGTGGTCTTGTGTGTTCTCAGGATGAACTGTCTTGTTGATGCTGATCAAAATTTAGTCTTTGGCTTGGCCGACGCAAGAAATGCTACTTTAGTTGACCCCATGACACTGGTAGTGGTGTTCGGTACGTTGGAGAGACACCTCCTGAGTACAAGTATAATATACGTGCTTGAGATTCTTGTAAGCATCGCGAGTCGGTTCTTGAAGGTCTCTATATTATGACTAACTTATTTAGTCGAACAAGTAATACCTCCATCCACCACGAGCTTCTGTCCGGTGATGTATTTTGATTGATCCGAAGCCAGAAAAGCGACTGCTGAAGCAACGTCAGACGAGCTACCCTGCTTGCCCATCGGCACTGCGCCGTCTCTTTTTTTGATGAGGCCCTCGAGATCACCGTTTGCATACTTGTCGGCCAGCATACCTATTAACGGCGTATGCATGAGACCTGGTACCACAACATTCAACCTGATGCCCTTCGCAGCGTAGAGAATTGCAGTGGCTTTAGTGAACTGTATCACCCCTGCCTTGGTGGAAGCGTACGCAACCTGAGGTTTGCCGATATACCGCATGCCCTATACGTGATACGTTCTCGTTAGTGATGGATGCCTAGGTTCAGCACAGACAATTGCAGTGAGACTGTTGGAGTTTAAAAGTCAGGGTAGCACTTACAGCAATGCTTGCTATGTTTACGACAACACCGCTACCTTGCTTCTCCATGATTGGCAGTACAAAGTGGCAGCACAGATACACCGACCTGAGATTAACGTCTGTTTGTTTGTCCCAAACATCCGGCTTCATCTGTGCCGGTCCACCAGGTTCTGACATTCCGACGTTATTGACCAAAACATCGATTCTGCCGTATTTAGCCATGCAAGCATCGACCATGGCCTTGACATCATTTTCGACCGTGACATCGGCATGCACCACGTCGCATATTCCACCCTCGGATTGTATTCGCTGCTGTGTGTATTCGGCCGCAGGCAAGCGAACGTCGCAACCAAAGACCCTTGCACCGTTTTTCGCTAGTACTCGAGCAGTGGCAGCCCCGTTGCCGTACATCTTGGGATCGCCGTTCTGGCCGATACCCGTCAACAAGACAACCTTGCCTTTGAACTCGGAGTATATTCCACCTCCTTCTGCGTCCATGTCGGCCTGCTAGCCGTACCCGGTCACGAGTTCGTAATTTGTGAAAGAGGTGCAAAGGTAGTCCGGTCGCTGGTAATGTTGTTCAGCTACCACAAAAGATTCAAAAGTCCAATTTGTAGGGTAGAAGGGTTGGGAACATGATATCTCAATCTCTGATTGTCCAGCGCTCGGCTTCGTCGACACTCGGCACCCTACGCAGGCCGCTTGAAAATCTTCTGTTTCTTTTTGGAGAATGCCACTCCGCCTCTCCAGACTATGGTTGTTCTTACCTTTCATGCCGGGTGGCAAGCGGCGTTACATTCCTAACAAAGAATCTGCCGGAAGGCAAAGTAGCCATATTGTAATTAGTCTACTCGAAGGTTTTCCCAATTCATCGTTGCCTCCGCCTTTTCCGTCACACTTCCAGGTTTGGATGAGTCTCAATTGGAATTTAACCCGGTTCAATTGTTACTGATGGGGTTATGTGTTTAACATAGTTTACACTTTTGATATGGCTGAGAGATTGCGCAGCTAACCCTATTCCCTTCCACTCGCATATGGGAAAGCAAGTCGGCATACACAATATCTACATGATCAGGAACAAAAGATTAGTAGTAAGATAATATTTTCAGCAGTTCAGCGGTAACGATATTAAAGGAGAGTTAAGCAATAGTCACTACCGACTATTCAACTACCACTGAAGTAAGCCTGACTGGCGTCGGTCTATACTATCGGACGGACTAATTGATAGGTAGACGATCATAATCCCGCCCAGACGTTGTTCTCAGTCACCACCCGGACAATCAAGCTTGCGATGTGACTTCTTCCGTCAGCTCGTCACTATACGGGTCGATTTTGGTGGTTTTGAACTTCCTCGCTGGCACACGCTTGCGAAAGAGTATGTCCAACTCCTCATATGTTCGTCCTTTGAGCTCCGGAAGCCTAAAATAGACCCAGATGACTGACAGGAAACAGGTTCCCGCAAATAAAAGGCCAGTTTTGCCCTTCCAGCCGGCTTGAGTTGGATTCAACATGTATGGGGTTGCAACGTTGAATATAATGTAGAAGAAGTAGAATGAATTTCTGCCAATGGCGATTGTCTTTCCACGCAGCCTGGTGGCTGAGACCTCACTGACAATGCAGAAGGCGAGTGGGCCAATCGAGATGTCGTAGAGACAGACCCAGACGACTAACATTGCAGAGGTAGCCCATTTGCTCCCACCGTTAGAGCTCGGCGCGAACCCTACACAGCCCATAACCAACAGAACAACGGTCATGATGGAAAGGCCAGCCAAGCAAATGGAGCGCCGACCAAACCAAGTGATCAGGAACCAGGAGCCTAACGTCCCGCATAGTCCGACACCATAGAATGCGATGGTCATATCGAAGGCAATCGTATTAGGCAAGCCCGCCTGCTCGAAAAAATAGGTGTTGAAGGGTTGTAGTGGCAAACCCGAGAAGATGGGAAGGGCCCAGGTGATAGCAGCGATTTCTGTTCGGCGGAGGTCAACGCCCCGGAAGCAGTCGACGTATGATCCAGTTTCGGTCTCGCGCTCCATCCTGTCTGTGTGGATCATCATCGCCAGTGTCGCCTTTGTATCGGTTTGATCTGACGAAAGTCTCTTCAGAGACTGTTCGGCTTCCTCCAGCCGGTCCTGACGTAAGAGCCACCAAGGCGATTCGGGACAAAACAACATTCCCACAAACAATGGCACAGGCCAAGCCCATTGAAGAGCGAAGGGGATGTCGTATGCCCATCTACTCATCATGGTGGAGGTCCCGCGTAAAACCCCCGCAGATATCAGCTGTCCAATGATCCAGGTCAAGTTGATGAACGTCGTGAGGTAGCCGCGAAGCACCATGGGACAGACTTCGGAAGCATACGCCGGCGCTGTTGTGTTGAAAATTCCCCAGGGGATTCCACAAAGGATCTCGCCGACAAGCAAAACTGGCAGGGATTGGCCAAAGACGAGGATGAAGGTAAAAGCCGAGATCAGAACATAGCATACCAACATGAGGCGCTTCATGCCGTATTTCTCAGCGAGGTAGCCGTTCAAGAGAATGCCAATGATGATCCCGACCTTGCCGCTAAGGCTCAGACCTGTTTGCCAGGGGGCAGTGATTTGTTTTCCGTCCTTGTAAGGCACGCCAAAATCTCTTTGAAAAGCCTTCAGGGCAAAGAGCGAGGGCACAAAGGCTGTGTCGTATCCCTCCATCACGCATGCTGCAGAGACGAACACGGACCATACCACTGCTCTGGGGTACAGGCGGAGAGCGTCTAAAAGCTTCAGGCTGTGTTCTCGTTGCGTGGCCTGTTTGGCATCCCGGACAATGTCGTCCCAAGACTTTTCATCCCGCCCCTTCTGGTCGTGAGTAGCAGGCTCTCGGACTTCGTCCATCTCCAAATGATCGACGATAGGCTTTGAAGCGTCCATTGACCCGAGCACACCTTGAGAAGACATCTGATCCCGATTTGATGGTCGAAAAAGAAGAGTTTTTGAGATTTTCCAACGGAAGAGAAGCTGGCTAGATATACACGGCTCACATAGCCTCGTACCACGCGGGATTGGCTCCTCTGCTTAGGCATGGAAGTCTTCTTGAAGCTCTTTCGAGTAGTGAAGTCCGCACCCGCATTGAGCTTCTCCAGATCTACAATTTTTGGGGAGCTTTGGAACTCCCGCTTCATGGAGAGAAATCGGATCTAGTGTGAAATTGGCCGTGCGGCTTTGATTTATCCAACCATAGTCTCTACCCCACGTTGCGGCATTCCAACTGGAGAAATCATTGCTGCAGCGCGATCGAGCGCGGGTTCGTGCCCGCATTAGGCACATCCCGCTATCTGGCTGGCTGGACATCGGGGTTTGCCTAAGCGATATCCAGTATGACTTAATGCGACAAACTGGTTGAAAGCCTTTCAGTTGCCTCACCCTCGCTCGCAGCAGTCAAGAAAACTCCGAGTACGGGCTGCAAACTATCATGGCTGAAAGAATTCGTTGGGGCGTTCTGGCCACTGGCAATGTCGCCGTGACATTTACCAAAGACCTCCTTGTCGACCCCAAGACCCGGGGGGTCGACCGACTTGTCCACACCGTAACAGCTGTCGCTAGCTCGTCCAGTGCGGCACGAGCTGCCGACTTCCTCAAAGAGGTGGGAGCACCCGAGGACGCCAAAGCCTACGGATCATACAAAGAGCTTGTCAATGATCCCAATGTCGACATCATCTACGTCTCTACGCCTCATTCCCACCACTTCCAAAATGTCATGCTATGTCTTGAGGCTGGGAAAAATGTTCTGTGCGAGAAAGCTTTCACCGTCAATGCGGCACAAGCCCGAACGGTCGTAGAAAAGGCCAGAGAGAAAAACTTGTTCTTGATGGAAGCCGTTTGGACTCGATACTTTCCATTATCAATGTACGTGCGTGACTTGATCACGTCTGGAAAGCTGGGCAACGTGACGAGAGTGTTTGCGGACAATAGTGTTGCCTTGAATCCAGAGACAACGTTCGCCGATGGCACCCACAGAATGGTGAATCCGGATCTGGCTGGCGGAGCACTGCTTGACATGGGAATTTACTCCTTGACATGGGTGTTCCAGTGCTTGTATCTCACCCAGCCGGAAGCTGAAAGAAAGCCACCAAAGGTCATGTCTTCAATGCAGAAGTATGAACCCACCGGGGTTGATGAATCAGCGACGATACTGCTCACCTTCCCGAGAGGCTCGCAAGGTGACGCTCATGGCGTCGCTACCACTTCGATGCGAGTGGCTACAAACCCCGACAAGAAGGGTACGGCAGGACCTGGCGTGCGAGTGCAAGGTGATAAGGGTGAGGTCCAGATCATGCCACCTATTCAAAGACCGACGAGGACGAAACTAGTGCTGCACAATGGTCTCATCGAGGAGAAGACATGGACACCACCGGGACCAGGCGTAGGCAGTGGATGGAGGAACGGGTTCGGCATTAACTTGCATCCCGAGGGTGTTGGTCATGGCATGTTCTGGGAAGCGGATGAAGCCGGGTTGGCTTTGTTGGAAGGACGCAAAGAGAGTAGGCTCGAGAGCTTGGAGGAGTCGATCACGATTATGGAGATCATGGATGAGGTCAGGAGACAAGGTGGCTTCACTCTGCCAGAGAATATCGAGACAACAGACTATCTGATATGATGACGATACAGGATATCCATAGCTACAGCCTTAAAGGCCTCGAAAGCCTCCAAGGGAGCAGATAACATTGCACGACATCCTGTACAGGACCATCATGGCTCGTGTAGTCAATGCACTTATCAAGTTGGAGAGTTCATATGTCTATGCTTCTCTGACTCCCTTAGCACTCATGGAGCTAGTTTCCATCCCTGATGCTTTGGAAGTAAAGAAATGAGCTTGAATAACAGCAGATCTACACATCTGGAACCGCCATGATGACTGCTCTCGTTACCAGGTATTCCTCTACACCCCACTTCCCACCCTCCAAGCCAAATCCACTTTGCTTCAAACCTCCAAAAGGAATCTCGCCGCCTGAAAGGACACCAGTGTTGATGCCGACCATGCCTGCTTCCAACTGTTCTGCAACCCTCCATTGCCTTGCCCCGTCTTTCGTGCAGACGTACGAGCCCAGGCCAACTTCACTATTGTTTGCCATTTCGATGACATCTTCTTCCGTGTCAAAGGGATACAGTGCTGCGACCGGAGCAAAAATTTCTTCACGGTGTGACAGCATAGTCGGGTTCATACTAGTCAGTACTGCGGGTTCGAAGAAGTTCCCATGTCCCGGGATTACATTGCCGCCGTGAAGTAGTTTTGCGCCGGATGAGATGGCTTCTTGCACGTGCCTGGCTGCCTTCTGTACGCCTCTCTTCGAAGTTAGTGGGCCCACTGTCACGCCTTCGAGGAAGCCGTCGCCAATTTTGAGATTCTTGAATTTCTCGACGAGCTTGGCGGCAATAATGTCATGGATGCTGCGCTGGACGTAGATCCTGTTCGCGCAAACGCAGGTTTGCCCTGAATTCCGTATCTTCGCGCTCATGAGGATATCAACGGCTTGGTCGAGATCAGAGTCCTCAAAAATAATGAAGGGGCTGTTGCCACCCAGCTCCATGGACAATTTCTTAAGAGAAGAAGCACATTGTGCCATCAGCAACTTGCCGACTGGTGTGGAGCCTGTGAAGGAGAGCTTTTTGACGATCTTGTCCTCGCACAGTGCTTTGCCAACGGTCTCGAGCTTCCTCATCGCTGTGACAATATTCAGGATGCCCTTTGGTAGGCCAGCTTGCTCCCCGAGGAATGCGATAGCGAGGGCAGTCAATGGGGTCTCGCCTGCAGGCTTGACCACGGTGGTACATCCGGCAGCGATCGCGGCTCCTGCTTTCCTTGTGATCATGGCGGCAGGGAAATTCCAAGGTGCAAGACACGCCACGACACCGATAGGCTGCTTGATAGCAAAGACTCGATTTGATGAGTTGGAAGAGGGCACTATTTCACCATAACAGCGTTCAGCTTCGCCGGAGTAAAACTCCAAGTAGCCTGCCGCAAATGTGATCTCGCCCTTGGCCTCGGCGTACGGCTTTCCATTCTCGAGCGTCATGAGGGTCGCGAGGTCGGCACCGTTTTCGTTCATGAGATTGGCCCATTTGCGAATGATTTGGCCCCTTGTCTTGCCTGGCGTGGTTTTCCATGAGCTTAAAGCCGACGCCGCAGCTTTCGTGGCAAGTGTTACGTCCTCGATGTCCATTTCGGGTAGGGTGGCTAGTTTCTCGCCGTTGGAGGGATTAAAAACGTCAAACCGCTCCTGGGACTGAGCTGTAACCCATTGGCCATCGATAAGAGCCTTTTCTATGAAAAGGGTTTTGTTGATAAGTCTATTAGCCATAGCTTTTGACATCTAACGGCCCGAGTGAGGAATTGTGGCGGAACGAGAGGGCGACTGAGTCGGGTTTCAGAAACGAGCAAAGGATCGAGAGGGAAAAGTTCTTCTCTTCCGGCAATATATTCTCATAATGACATATTAAATTCTCCCTTTGCCCACTTCAGAGTCAATAATCCGAGGAATAACAATAAACCCACGCGTCGAAGCCATGAGTAAGTCACGATATCCGGCGCTCATAACTTTACTGGAAGGCTCAGCTCCACACACACGCATTCTACTACTCCATTTGGAATGCCGCACCACATTGGAACTTTTCAAATGCTCGGATAAGTCTCAATGGGATAGTCCAACCTCAACTCAGGGCTTGCGGAGCATGACACCAAGATTAAATGAATGCTTTGATTGATAAGTGGTGGCGTGATACAAGTTTACTGCTTGTTTGCCAAATTCGTCTCGACTCCGCTTGTGATATGCTGCCGGGATCGCTCACGAGACGGTCTCTATACCTCTTATAGCTACTGAAGGAAGTGAATCTCCGCAAAGAGTTAAAGACTGCGGAGTACTCTGCCTGAACGTCAGGATATATACTGGCATCCGAGAGCTGGCTTCGTTCTGCTAAACAATTGCATCTAGGCACACCTAACCACCTAATTCTTACCATGTCAGCTCAAGTTGTGAAACGAACCTTTCAGGCTGAGCCCAATGGCCGAATTTTGGCTTGGGCTGAGCAGGACAACTGGACGGATGAGCGAGGGCCTCTGGGGGTGGAGCGTGACAGCCCTCCGCTCGCTCCTCTCACCGCTGAGAGCCCGCAATGGCTTCGCGACCTTCACATAAATGGCGTGAGTAACCCTCTCAGGCTTTCTAGTTTGGTCGAATACTGAGAAACACATCAGTGGGCCATAGTCAAAGGCGCGGTGCCGAAAGAAAGAGCTCTCAACTATGCTGAAAAGGCGGAAGATTGGCTCGAAGGCTTCAAAATGGGATATAAACGGGACGATCCCTCGACCTGGAAGTCTACAAACATTCCTCGACATCGATTCGGAGGGCTTTTTGACCAGTGTGTTCAACAAAAACTGATCAAAGATTTGGACTGACTGTGCCAAGCTTCTCCTTCGCCCACGCTCAATTTGTATGGGATTGTAAATCAGAGCCGGGTGTCAGAGAGATCTTTGCGGAGATCTGGGGTACAAATGAACTTACGGTTTCATTTGGTATTGAGCTTGTACCTCGCCCATAGCATTGCTGACTTTTGAAAGACGGAGGGACACTGGCTTTTCCGACGCCCGACGAGCCTGATCATGGCAGGACACCATGGCCACACGTGAGTCGAAACAATGAAATGTTCCATTCAGACAGTGCTGAATCTTTCGAGAACAGGCTGATCAGAGCGCCTATCGACCATGGCCCCACTGTATACAAGGATTACTGAATCTCGTACGTCTATCTTAATTCTCTGGCATTGTGATGTCGGCTTTTCAACTCATCAAATCAGCTACCCAACGGTCCAGACGATGGCGGCCTCGCAGTCATGACTGGAAGCGCACCGCTCTTCCCAAAGTTCTTCAAAGAAAACGATCCCGTAAGTTGTTGGACGGCATCTGCTCCACTCCGAGTATGATGATACTGATTAGTGCAGCCTGAAGGTGGTTGGATGAAGCGAGACCACCTGAGGTGGAACGATGTACAAATGAAATGGTTCGAGGACCACGGTTGTGAATGGGTGAAACCCAGCCTAGATCCAGGCGACTTCATCCTCTGGGACTCCCGGGCTGCTCATTATGGAGCAGGACCAATGTCTTCTAATAAGCGAATGGCTGTTTGTGAGTAGTGGTCTCTGTATCGACTATCTTCTTAATGACGGCTGACATTACTACAGACACCTGCTATAAACCCATTAAGTTCTTGACTGAAGACCAAAGGCTTCGCAAAGTAGAAGCCTTCAAGCGAGGCTACATGACGGTAGGTTTCAACCCGTAGCCTTTTCTCTTTCAAAACCTACTGACCGCTAATCAAGTCTCACGATCCTACGGATTTTGTGTTGAAAGAGGAACAGATGGCAGACTGGAACATCCTCCACCCTTATGGTCCTCCCACTGTCAACAAGGAGACTCAGCAAGCGATCGGGATTATCCCATACCGGAAAGACTAGAGTAAACTATCTCGAAGACTTGAAAGTCGTTTCAAATACAGAAATCTCTGCTCTAAAAGGGCCATTTGGTCACATTTGTAGACAGCAGCGGTACATGACAAGTTGCGTAATGTCACTCTCTGCTGCTTGAAGCACCTTATATGACCCGGTCCTTGCGATTATGAGTGCGATATGATATATGCGAAGACCCGGCGTAGAAAATCGTCAATAGGCATGTCTTGTACAACCCATGGCTCTGTGTTGATTCTTACGTACTGCTCAGATGTCATTCTTCTAGTCCCCTTTACAGCCTGCTTCATATTAACGTTGTAGGTCAATCCACTCAACTCCAGGATGCAATGCAGAGTTCCTTGCTAGAGGAGACACTAATTATGGGCCAGTCACACAGAGAAAAGTGTAAAGTCTTGAAATCGCACGATTCCTGGGATGCGATCTACCCCTGCCCCAAGATCATCGTCCAGGTAACTACTTTTAGTTCCCGCCCGAGAAGCGGCAAAGCTCAATTTGTGTTTCCGCCATCAACTACGGAAGATGAAAGGGGAAAATTCGGCCTGAACAATGCAGGTGATGCAGGAACGCGCCTGTGACAGTGCAAGTTTGCTCCGTAAACCTGATCACTCTGCAACAGGATAAAACGACTCAACATTCTCGATAAGTCTATAAAAAACACCCTCACACTAAATCAAAGTTGCCCTACGATATGACACCACATCCTAAAGTGAAGGTTGCCATTGTGGGGTTCTCCGGCCAGGTGGGCAAACGTCACACAAGACACGTCCTTGAAAATGTCGAAATCGAACTCATCGCCCTCGTGGACCCGTCCACGAGTGCACTAGAGGTCAAAACAGCCCTCAAGGTACCAACAGCGATACCGCTTTTTGATAGCATTGGAGAATTGTTTCAGAGTCCAGAGCGCCCGGATGCTGCGATTGTCTGTACACCCCCAAAGACGCACGTGCGTATTGCATCTGAATTGGTGGAAGCCGGGATCCACGTCTTTGTCGAAAAGCCCATTAGTGACGAGATCGAATCGGCGCGGGATCTGATCAAGTTGGCACAGGAAAAAGGCGTTAATCTACTCGTTGGACATCATCGCCGGTTCAATCCTTATATCGTGGCTGCGAAAAAGGCTATTGACGCAGGTGTCGTTGGCAATGTGGTGGCAATCTCTGGCCTCTGGACAGCCTGCAAGCCCGATTCATACTTCAACGCCGATCCAGCGTTGGCCTGGCGCAAGAGTCGATCCAATGGCGGAGGAGTAGTGCTGAACAACTTTGTGCACGAGGCCGACTGTATGCAGTACCTATTTGGGCGGATTGTGAAGATCCACGCGGAAGAAACCATATTGCAACGCAGCCATGGCCAAGGCCCCGACGGAGCGGAAGAAGGCGTCGCTCTGACGATGCGTTTTGCCTCTGGCGCTGTTGGAACTTACATCTTGGCCGATGCCGTGCCAAGCCCGCACAATTTCGAGATGGGTACGGGCGAGAACCCGGCCATCCAGCAGGTTAGGCTGTCAAGCGACGATGAGGTTGACATCTACAGAGTCTTCGGCACCCGTGGGACTTTGAGTATCCCTGACATGACTCTCTCCAACTACGCCGCGACTGTAGAGCCGAGTTGGTTCGAGTCAATTCGGCGCCAAAAGCTGGAAATCGACTCGGACCCGCGCGTGCCTTTTGAGAGGCAGCTCGACCACTTTGTTCAGGTTATTCGCGGCCAGGAGTCAGCTAATTGTGACGGTAGAGCTGGATTGGAAGCGCTACAAGTCTGTCATGCCATTCAGAAGGCTTTACATGGGAATTCCACCGTCGACATCTCCTCGTAGGGAATAATTGTTACCAGCCTAAGCCATGCTGAAATTGATGTGGTGTTTCCTCATGACTAGATATAGCCCGTACGGACCATAACTGCATTTATCCTCGTCGTTCCAGAGATATTCCAAGAGATTGGCGGCTTCTCTCACCTGACGTACGTTGATCCTTGATTCATGATGCAAATTGTAAATGAAGTCTTTGCGCTGGTGCTCGCAGATCATGCAAGAGCCAAGTATCATGACCGGCCACAGCAATAAGGTATGAAAGGGCGACAGCATAACGAGCGGGAATAGGGGGAGTGCAGTATCAAGGTGGCGCTGGATTGCCACAATGACCTTGGGATTGTTGACAACGGAACCACACATGGACGCTTTTATAAAAGCCAAGAGAGCTTGCCGATATATCTCTCCTGTTGCAATATGCTCCGCTTCCCATTCAATCATCTCCGAGGCCACGGGCGGTGTTTGCCATTCCATTAGTGTCTCCACCAGTCTAACGTAATCGACCCTTGTTTCCGCGCTCGCGCTGCTCTCCACGGACTCTTCTTCGGCGAGCCTATGCATCGCTAGCATGGAAATTTTAGGGATCAACTCGAAGAGACCTTGCCCACAACTGAAGAAGACGCCAAAAGAATCGTACTCCTTCAAAAAGTCGAAGGAGGTGAAAACTGAGTCGAATGGGATGGCGCGAGTTTCGTCTCGACCGTACGGCGTTATACTGTTGACCAGGACAAGATAGAAATATACTTCGAGGGCAAAGCCTTGGATGAATTTGACGTCGCCGCACATCTTTTGGCGAGGCTCCTTGAGAAGCTTTAGGACAAGTTGGCGGCTGGCCCTCAAATGTGGGAAGATGCCACCGTGTGGCTCACCGGAAATGGCCTTGAACACATTTTAGTGTCTACTGCATCGTTGGAGGACACAAGGATACTTACCTCAATATGACAAACAACAGCCAAGACTAATAGCAGACGGAGAGTTCTTTGAACATCCTGGTGAGCAGACTCACCGGCAAATACTGACCGAAGATTCTGCAAGAGAAGAGAATAATGCTGGCGTGTGGCAAGTTGAATGTCCAAATTTCCCCCTGTTGTATGGCTGAGATGCACCCCACTCAAGGTCAACACAGAGTGCATGAGCAGATCATCAGACCATGCCAGAGGCAAGACCACAGTGATAAAAGGGTTGCTGGAGAGAGGTTTCGCCACCAAGAACGTGGACGTCTCCTCCAGGTAGTGCTGAAGCAAGAGAGCGGAGCTGGAGGTTTGAACAATAGCTCGCTCTGCGCTTATGAATGACGACTGGATTGGGTGCCATCTGATTATGGCTGCGGTGTGTTCATCTTCATCACCGGACTCGACATCGACAACGCTGATAACAGGCGAGACGGATTCCTGTGACGACAAGTTCTCGTCGAAGAAGCGACCTGTGTCTGCAGTATCACTGCTGCTGCTACTGCTGCTGCTGACGAGGGAAGGAGGAAGGAGGAGGCCGGAATCACTGTCTTTTTTACAATCAATCCCCCTAGTTGATGCGGGCACTGGCCTCGACGGTGGTGAGTTCTGTTGCATATCCCGAGGGACAGGCCAACTACAACGGATGAAATTGCGGGCGCAGCCTGTGCAAGTGGGCTTGAGCTCGTCACATTTCTTTCGACGCTCTCTGCAGGTGAGACATCCACTTTTGGTGCGAGTAAAGACTTTACTTCGTGGGTAACCCATGCTAGCCGCACATTTCATTGACGCTTCAGGTGATTGGATAAATTTCTAGATGCCCAACCGAGTATTTCATCAGGCTTACTTAATGACTCAAAGAGCCATCAATTTTTGTGTCTGGAAAGAGTGCGATGAAGTTGCCCCCGGGGCAGTGATGAATGGTCCCATCCACGAGGCGAGCGAACCGCGATAAGCCACTGATTGAGAACTAATAATTAGTTATCGAAACGAAACGCAACCGCGGTGAAAGCTCTGGGTCAGATGCTGAAGCAAGGTGAACAGCAGCACTGGTCCGAAAACGAGACGATATGACAGAAATATTAAGGTCTGTCATGCCAGTGCGCTGTGTCTAGAAAGTAGAAAGACTCAGACGAAGAGCGCTAAGAGAGGAGGAGCTCGGATATTTGAGGAAACTCCGCCAGCCTAAGCGCGGTGCGTTCTAGCCGGCGGTAGGGAGTAGCCCCTCATGCAATTGATAATTGATTGGTTGACTTACAATCAACCTCGGTCGACGGTGAAGCATTTCTCAGTCCTACACACGATGACAGATCCCTGTGTCTTCAAACGCAAACAAGAGGTACGAGCAGTGGAGAACGATACAAATGTCTTGGTCTTGGAAGTTGGGAGCCTTCAAGATGCGGTCGACTATAAATATCCAGCAGCTTTCCCATGGATGAGAAGCCACAAGCACAAGTGCCGCATTGTTTTCTGTCTGCAACAATATGGCGCCTCGCGATGACAAACCAGAGATCAAGTTTTACGATGCTCCTGGGATGCCGGAACCAGGCTTTTATTCCCACGCAGTCAGCTTGAATCAAGCCGGTCGCCTGGTTTTCACATCGGGAATCATTGCCCAGCGAGCAGATGGTAGCTTTCCCGATTCTTTGGAAGAACAAATCAAAGGCGTCTATAACAATCTTAAGGAAGTCTTGAAGATATCTGGTGCTACTCCAAGAGATGTCATCAAGATCACCTGGTATCCGGTCAACTGGTCTTTGGACCAGGGTGAGGGATTGATCAAGTCATTCCTCGACTTCATCACCGACGAATATGGGACAACTTATCGACCTATCACAACTCTAGTCCCGGTCACCAAACTCGCCATGCCTGATGCCAAGATTGAAATCGAGGCTGTAGCAGCCATTGGCGGACACGCATCGCCATATGCGGGACCCTCGGCGAAGGCGTTCGAGAGACCAGTGCCCCCCTTCAAGGTGGATGTGGTGGTGGTGGGTGGTGGTTTCAGCGGCGTCCAAGCAGCTTGGGATGTCCAAAAGGCTGGTCTCAGCTGTGTTCTGCTTGAAGCAAAGCACCGCATTGGGGGCCGCAGTCGCTCACAGAAACTTCAAAGTGGGCCGGGCATCATCGAACTTGGAGCCACCTGGATCAACAAGACTACACAGCCTAAGGTCTATGCCACTGCCAAACGCCTAGGTCTAGACATTGTCGAGCAATATACGACAGGAGACGAAATATGGCAACTCCAGGACGGAACAGTGATCCGCACGAATCCAGGCTCGGTAAGTCACGATAATAAGCCTGGCTTGTATGTTTGGGACAGATACTAATTCAGTCCCACTTCAGCCCGAGGTTGATTTGGCCAAGAAGTTCAATGCAGAACTCTATGAAGCAATTGAATCGGATCTAGAGAGAGTAGATATCAACAAAATCGAAACTTTTCCCGGCAACCTCGACATGTCTATGGAGACGTGGGCGCAGACCAAAGGACTCACCGACCCGGTGGTAAGTAAACCTGCTTTAAAGTTCTTCACGAGCGCGGTTGTCGGCCGCGACCCGGAGGAAATTGGCATGCACTACTTCCTTGATTACATCAAATCTGGTGGTGGGTTCATCTCCATTGCCACTGAAGGTGAAGCAGGAGCGCAATCTCTCAAAATCAAACAAGGTGAGAATGCGGAATGATGAGCTAGACCCAAAACTGTACATGGGCTGACGACTGTTCTCACAGGCACATCAGCTGTCGCCACTGGTCTCGTCGACGAAATGACACCGGGTTCTGTCTTCATCAATAGCCCTGTCGATAGCATCCACCAGAATGCCGATGGAGCCCTCGTGCAGACAACTACGGGCAACCAGATCTTCTGCCGCAAAGTTATCATTGCCATTCCAACCAACACATACGAGAAAATCAACTTTTCACCACCACTGCCACACGACAAGCGTGCTCTCGTCTCACGTACCAAGCCAGGCGTCTACGCCAAGATGATCCTCACGTATTCTCGGGCATGGTGGAAAGACATTGGCTTAGTAGGCAAGTTCTCAAGCTTCAAGGGACCAATATGCTTCTCTTGGGATATCTCCGATGACTCCAGAGGCCAATATTCGCTGGCCATGTTCATTGCCGGCGAGATTGCAGCGCGCTGGGCGAAGTTAAATGAGCTCCAGCGCGTCGAGGCCGTACTCGACCATCTCGTCGAGCTGGTCGGACCAGCCCACGCACAGCTTGCACAGGACGTCCTCGAAGTCAACTATGTCAACTGGTCCGCGGAGGAGTATCTTGGCGGCGCTCCAACGTCGACAATGGGTCCTGGACTATTGTCTCGCTACGGAACTGCACTACGTCAGCCATTCGAGCACGTCCACTTTGCGGGCGGTGAGACGGCGTTCGAGTGGAAAGGGTATCTTGAAGGGGCGCTCCGTGCCGGATCTCGCGCTGCAGATGAGGTTATCGCTTGGGCAAAAAAAGAGGGTGCCATCCAAAACGTGCCTGCAAACTTGTGAGGGGTTTTTCAGACCAGTGTGATCATGGCACGATGTGTGACGTAGCTACTAGTACAAACAAATATGTGATTGTTGCCTCATTGAATGGGTGGATTTTATGATGGTCAGAAAGGTCCAGATGCTGTCCTACAGTACCAAAGTACCTGACTAAGGCAAACCCAAGTACGTGTTTGCCTCATCAACGAGTTGTGGTGCTTAGAAACTCTCCAAGAGTCTTGGCTAGATTAAAATTATTGATCGTGGATGAGTGTACGGAGTAGATATCAAACAGCTTCACAGATTTAGTTCTCTTCTCCATCATCCGACGCTCGTATCGCAGTGTTCGTCTCCCTCTCCTTCTCTATACTTCTCGAGTTTCAGTGACAAGTCGAATAATCAACGAGCCCAACCGCACCACAAGCCGTCATCTCTAATCGTTAAACGCGGTGCCGGCTTAGTGTTTACACAGACTAATCCAGCTAATCAAAATGCGTACTTGGTATCCTGGTCGACCGCAGTGATGCGTAGGCAGAATTGCTATTAGCGTACGTCACGTGTCAATTTTCGTTGCTCTACCTCACAGCACTCGGGCTTTGTGTCGTATTTCATAACAATGAAAACCCATTCTCTATGCCTATCAGCTCATTACGAGACGGTGAGGGTCGACAATGGACAACTTGTGCACGAAATCGGAACTCATTATTCTGCGTTTCTCAGTTCCAAGCTATGGACACTTATAGCGAACTTCTCCGAGAGCCGAAACGCGGTGCATAGCGTTTCAAGCCCCATATGAGACTAGACACTCCTACAAAGCTTAATCTAGGCAGTCAAGCGCGGTTCAAGCAATCTTGGGAGGCTGACGCTAACCATCGCCCCCTCAATGATAGCACCCTCGAGTCTCGACCAATGGACACGGCAAAGTCACGGCTGATTCTTTCCTGCGGGGTTGGACTTTAAATCCCCAGTATCCCCGGACAATGCATGAAACTATTCAAGAGACCGAACAGTGTGACTTGAGCCACCGAGGCCTCCCAAAGATCCTAGCAAGCATTGCCTCAGCACCATGGACACGAAAACATCAAAGATGGGGAGCAGCGGTGAGAGACCATTGCCTTACATGAAGTTTGAACTGATGGGAATCTGCAGAGATAGAACGTACCACAAGCGTGGCTGATGGTACTGTTAAAACCCTCGTCGTTGGAAGCACGCCGGACAAGGCACAGTTCAACTCCTGGAATATTGTGGCCTTCGCCTTTGTGATATGCAACAGCTGGGCCGGTGTTGCCGGCAGTATCCAGCTGGCACTTCTCCAAGGGGGACCTGCCACTTTGATTTACAGTGTCATCCTCTCCTCGATCGCATACATGAGCATCGCCATTTCCTTGTCCGAACTCGCCAGCGTCTACCCAACTGCGGGAGGTCAATATCATTTTGCCTCGATCCTGGCTCCCAAAGCATGGAATAAGGGGATATCGTATAGCTGCGGCTTGCTGGCTCTCTTCTCGTGGATTGCTATTGGCGCATCAGTGACCATCATTCCTGCTCAGCAGATTATGGGCCTTGTTTCGGTGTACAACGCAAACTTCGTTACCAAGCAGTGGCACATCTTCCTCATTTATCAAGTGATAGCGATTTTTATTTTGCTTAACAACCTGTTTCTGCTGAAGAAGGCGCCCTGGATTCACAATATTGGATGTGAGCAATGTTGAGTTTCGAAATGTCACCCAAGAGACTGACCATTTTTCAATAGTTGCTTTGACTATCTGCCTCTTTCTGGCCGGATTCATTGGCCTGCTAGTGCGCTCCACGACGAAGGAACCTTCGAAGTTCGTGTGGGCAACATTTATCAACTATACGGGCTGGCCAGATGGTGTGTGCTTCATCATTGGCCTCTCGACATCTTGTTTCATGTACAATGGTCTGGATGGAGCGATGCATATCGCTGAGGAATGTGATAATCCTAAACGTACGGTACCTAGGGCTATGATCAGCGCAGTTACTATCGGCTTCGTCACTGCTTTCGCCTACACCATTGCCCAGCTTTACGCACTCACTGATATCGACGCCATCATGACCACCACCGAGTAAGCAAAACATCTGATCTTCACAATCTACTGAGTGATAACATATACTCACGGAGCATACTCTTAGATATATTCCCATCTTTGTCCTACGACAGGGCTTTCGATCGACAGCGATGGCCACTGCCTTCATCATAATTGCTATGGTCATGACAATCTTCATTCTCAACGCCATTCAGGAGACGTCCTCACGCCTCGCGTGGTCCTTTGCGCGGGACAACGGCCTTATTTTCTCCTCTACCTTTGCTCAGATCCATCCCAAGTTGCAGGTACCCGTTTGGAGTTGTCTCCTCACATATGGGGTGTTGGTAATTTGCGGATGTGTCTTTGTTGCGTCAACAACTGGTACGTTCGATTCTCATCAAGAATTTTTTTTATACCCATAATGACCACTGACGCTGGCACTGTCCTCGCCTGTTAGCTTTCAACGCTCTCATCAGCTCATCGATTGTGCTACAAGAGATATCCTTTGTCATTCCCGTAGCTTTACTTCTTCTTCGCAAGCGGAGCCCCAAGTACTTGCCACCGAATCGTGCCTTCGCAGCTCCCTCGATTGTCGGATGGACTGCCAACATCATTGTTGTGATCTTCACCATGACTACGACAGTCTTCTTTAACCTGCCCATATTCTTACCCACCACAGCAAAGACCATGAGTGAGTCATTCCCCATCTTACCCTTACAACAGCTTCAGCCGTCGTAAAATCAGCACATGGTTTGCTGACATTGGTTGATATGTTTGAGACTATACATGCGTCATTCTGGGCATTGCGTTGGTTCTTGGTGTCGTAAACTGGTTCATACACGCGCGCAGACTTTACAACGGACCGACTATCAAGATTCAAGGTGAAGGTGAACGGCAATGGACTTCCATTATCGTGGGCCATGAAGACTGAATAGGCCAATGCCACATAGGTGGCATCATTTGAGGTTTATTCTCATTTTTGAGTTGTGTCTGGGCAGAAGGTGAGCAGGCAGGCTCAGCCTTGCTTTTCACATGGTGCAGCGCAAGCATGTCCTTATCACCCCGTCCAAGCTAGCGAGGAGGACTACAGACAGAGTGTCTTGTCAATTCTATCTCAAGCACCCTGACTCCCTTGACTGATCAAGACCTTCTACTGTAAATCCTGTGACCTACTCACATTCTTTTTTGCCCGAAGACAACAGGAGGAAAAAGTTCTCTCCGCGACTTTTTCGCACGTCCTCAATCCGTCTTTCTAGGACCTGTCCGAACTAATTAATTATAGTATTGTAAGAAATACCTTATAGTTTTTGTTTTTATGTTATGGAAATGGGGATTTGTAAGTAGTAATTGCGGATCGAGAAGGCCAATACCCGTATCTGGGAACTGTGATGTCTTTGCCTTGACTGCGCATCCGCCTGCGATCTCAGTGACAAGAGAGACTCTAGTGGTCAATTCATCAGCACAGAGTGGCTTCAAGTGTTACTCGGAGACCATTCTGTCCTAGTATGACTCACAATTTTTATGATAGCCATTGACGCCGGAGGCAGATTGATGGTGCCTGTGGACCAGAATGCCTTGCGGGATAAATGAGTCACACTTTTCTGCTCGTATTCGTGGAACGTTAGTAACCTTAAAAGTTGAAGATGTAGTAGTTGAAACCTGCCTGTACAAGACAAATACAGTGTGCCATGGTTTCATTTACTATTAGTACTATTTATTTCCCCCAGCCTATCCACAACGCCCTCCCCGCCATTACTGTGCCACAGCCAGCCAGATTTCTGGCCTTTCTGGTAGATAATTATGGTTGAAAATTAGAGTGCAGGACGGCCTTGTCCGTCCCTTGCATCATTGACAGGTCATAACATCTAGGTAATATCACCTCTTCCGGCCACAAGAGTCGTTCTGCACAGTCCCGCAGAGCAGAAGCATTTCTTTGTATGTGATCTAAAAGAAAGATTTTGATGCCCTGGAACTACTCAGGTAATTGTGGAGATGCTCTAAAAGTAGAGCAATACCAATTCGTGACTCACACCACGTTACATAGTTAAGCACAGAAGAATACCAATTGCATGACTCACACTATGTCACATCGCTTATCTCGGCCACATAGAGACCTCTCACTAGACGGCCCAATGACTTATATCCCCAGGATTCTCAGCCACTCCTCGACCTTTGTGCCTATTTTTCTAGCTTCGGCCTTTGCGAGACCAGAGCCTCCTTAAGCAATCTGAATCATATCATACGCCAGCAAACCAAGATGTAACGAGGCGCACTCCGTAAAGAAAGCAATAGGTGGCGAAAGAGACAAATAACGAAGCGTCTCATAGCTGGCTCGGCCCGGTCCCACAACGACTTAAGTCTATGCCAATATGATATCCAAAAGTCGATCGCACAAGATAACAAGGACACATATACTCGAGATAAAGGCCCATCCTGCCAGGAACTATGGAGCTTCTCCGCCCCCAAAAAAGCCTACACTGCCTCCGGAAGCTAAGTCAGTAGAATCAACCATAACTTTTGCACATGTACGGCAGCCGACATGACCCTGGCCGCTCCTAGACATGAACCCGAACTGAGGAAGAAGTCATACGACGATCTACACCAGCTATCTTGTGTAAGCATCAAGAAGCGAGAGGAGGTAATGGCGAGGGAAAAGATGGTAACCGCATAAGAGCAGGCTTCGATGCTGCGGAGTACGACCCAAGAATCGGAACGGTGAGTGCAGCGTCGCCAATTCGGCGTTTTCTATTGTCCATCAAAGATGAGAATATCCCTTTCACTCGCCGATTTGAATGCCCGGGGGGCCGCTTAATACCTTCGGACTTGATATCTAACTTGGAAAGATACCTGAGACCATTCTTTTCAGCAATCAAATGAAACTTCGTGTGTTCTCTGGGTTATAGCATGCTAACCTTGTTCTTCCACGTTAACAGGTTCAGTAGACTATGTTTGAGGTCCGAAGCAATCTCTCCAATCGACATCTTTCCTGAGCAGATACACATCCTTGTAGGGTCAGATAAACAGGGCATGATACTTAGCCCGCATGCCCAAGTGGTCAACAGTGCCCCTTTAGCGGAACTTGAGACTTATTTGTGGGACGAGCTTGAGTCTCTGGCCATCATGGTCTTCTTTAGCAGTTCCTTAAGTTCTGCCAGTAGCTCAAGGTGCAAAGCAGACCTCTCTCTAAGTATTCTAATCGCTGGCGCCAAGACAGGTTTGCTGGGGCGTCTTCGAAAATCATCCTTCAATTCCACTCGTCGCGAAGTAGCTGGTTTCACCTGAAAGAGTAGCTTCAAGTCCTTCTACAAGTTGAGCGTAGAGCTTGTCCGATTCAGTCTTCCCGGAAGAGGAACGGGCCTGCAAATCCGAACCGACGTCGCGATCCTTGCTTTTCGATTCGAGCAGACCAGGCGGGAAAAGACTTTGCGGCAAGACTGCGTCGCAGGGTATATCGGCACGCAGCTCCGGGAAGTGCAGGAAGAACTCTTGGCTCATGGTATAGCATCTCATATCCTTCAACCGAGCGATTGACAGGTCTGAGTAGCGATATAGGCCCGTCAACGACTCCTTAGTATACAGGTCTGTATTGTCTCGATTCCATGTGAAGGTGACATGGGCTCTCAACGCATCCATGAATTGGTTGGTGGCAAACTTTAGCGGTGACAGTAATATCTTTTCCCGTAAGCCAGGCCAAGGAAAGTACTCGACAAGTGGATCATGGCTGACTCGCTTCAGTATAGATTGTGGGGTGTAACAAGGCGGGATAAGAGTGTCCCAGCCATTACCAGGGAAAAGCTGGCGAAGAAAGATCAGGCGGCAATTGCGGAGGTTGAAAAGTCGTACTGCTGCTGACTGGCGGAAATAGACGCGCTCGTCCAGCTCTTTTAACCACTGCCAGCCACGGTCGAGAGAGTAACGCTCGATAACGGATGTCCAACCATGAAAGACAGCGCGAATGGCGATATCCTCGTCGAAATCGACTGTGATGGGTGCCGAGGTCGGAATGCTAAGAATCTGGTTCAGAATCGCGCCCGCCAGGTACCATAACCGGCCTTCGAGCGCTGTATTGCTAGCTATCGAGGTTGCAAGCTGGGTGATTGATTGGTACCTAGGGTGAGGTGGATCTGTTGTAGTGGCAGCCTTGGTGTTTGTGTCTTCTACTGACAATGATTCCACTGGGTCCACTGATTCTACAAATTTCATCACCTGCATCGGGAAGTCCTCCATCGATTCGACGAGTTCGTCAGTGGCCAATACCTGGGCAGGATTCTCCTCTGCGGGCGAACTTATCACTGAAGGCGGGCTCGGCGAAGTCGACGCCATGGGTTGACAATCATCACGCTTCTCACTCCCAACAACGGGCTTGAATGCAGCTTGAATTTTATTCTCGTCTTCGTCCTTAGAAGGCGTCTCTTTCTCTACCAGTGCCAGCTGCCTACCGATAGTATTCAGCACGCCTCTGAGCCGCCGGATCTCGGTCTCCTTCTTCTCGAGCTGATGCAACAAGTCCGCGACACGGTCGTCCGAGTCCGCACGAAGACTCTTGACCAGACTCTCCAAGTAATCGATGTGATTACGTGTGCGGGCTCGTGATTGGCGCTGTGCGGCTCGATCCTGTTCGCGCTTACGGTCGAGTTGAGTCGATGTCATGCGACGCGGCTTTTTCGGCCCCGGAGATGAAGAATCGCTCTTGCTATTGTCAGAGGCGGATCGTTTCGCCATGGCGAGTTTCGATGGTGCTGCCGACCTGGTGATGTTGTTGATGGAGATAGTGGTGATTCCAGAAGGAATTCCAGAGATGAAAGCATGGCCAGTTTTGAAGATCGGGGAGACAGCCTAATTGTTAGTGCGGGGTCCTGGTCGACCGGACCGTCAGCTGTGGGGAAGACGGGGGATACGGAGTAAGCACATAGCTGCCGAGGCTGCGATTCAAGAAAAGGTTGTTCTGGCCGAGCCCGCCATGGCTAGACTTGCGTGATCAGTGCTACGAACAGAGTGTCTCGTGTATATATATACCAACGCTATTGATAATTGCACAAGACTTCTTTTTCACTTGTGAAGGTACACCGCCTTTCAAGATCAATATCTACGAACCGGGCCGAGCGCTGAGAGTAAGTGGCGTGCGTCCATCTACACCAACCTCAAATACAGCTTCACCGACCTTGCTGGCAATTGCTGTGGTCCCCGACAGCTCATAAGTACGGCCTGCCAGCAGACGCTCAAACCGCAGCTGGAATAAGCCAGCCTCTTTGCCCGGATACAGTACCAGATCCATGCCCTCGCCGTCATGAGAATACGCCTTGGCCACCAGGACCTCTGGGAACGGCACGCCAGAGAGAATGGGCCCTCTCTTCACGCACTCAGGCGGCCCGTTGAGCACCATGTCAACCCAGTCCTGGAATCCACTCAACCTCGCGCGAATGGCGGACCCAGACGATAGAGTCGAGAGGCCTTTGTTCTTCATCGCGCCAGTCTTGGTAGTGATGACTGGGTGGTATTTCTGATCCAGCTGGCGGAGCATCTCCTTGGAGATGGCCTCGTCCCCAAACTCGGCGGCGGCGGCAGCGAAGAGGGCGCAGATGGAACCTAGGCCAGGCTTGTAGTTACCGGGGTCAAGTTTGTCCGCTCCAACGAGGTTTACCAGCTCAATTGTGCCATCCTCTTTCCACTTAATAGATTCATTCTTCGAGAACGCCCAGTTCCGGTGCGCGATGTGGGGAAGGTATGCGGCGCAAAGAATCGAATTAACGCCATCTGCGAGCTTGCCGGCTAGTCCTGGGATCTATGCTCTTGGTCAGTGAAGGGGTCGGCAGGTAGGCAGGTAGTCATTACCGTGAATCCGGTCAGTTCGGAACGAATAGGGAGGATGGAGCCATCCTTGGTCGTGAACTCCTCTTCCAGGGCAGTCTCAAATCGATGCTTCAGGGAGGACGCATAGTTGAGTCTCAGGAGACGGTCAGCAAAGATCATGCCGCTGATACCGACTAGATTACACATGGTATAGATCCAGTTCGGCTCACAGCTGAAGAGACAGTACTGGCCCTCGTTCCAGTTTCGATAGACGGCGTCGGCAATCCGCTTAAAGTCGTAGGGGTAGGCATGTGACTTATCGACTTCAAAAAGTAGGGAACCAGGTTTTGTATACCGGTCATCGCCTGTATTGGACTGATAGATGCCAACGGCCTGCAAAATGTAACCCGAGACCATAATGTCGTCTTTGGCAATGGGGTCAAAGTTAAAGGCATTGAACTTGCCCCAAAGGGTTTCCCACTTCCAAAAGCCAACGACTCTCTCGGTCAGACTCTTTTCGATGGTATTACGCATGGCTTCACTGAGGTATCCATGGAAGTTAGGTGCATAGATATGTTGGTAAACACCTAGGTCGCTGACGGTCTCGTATAATTGGTAGCGAATAGCTGATGTTTGGAATTGGTCGATCACGTCATGGTAGCTCAGGTCGTGTTTTGCTGCCAGGCCAAGCTCGATAAACCATTGCAGAAATCGCAGATTCTCTAGGCTGACCTCTCGAGAACCTGGTGTGGCCTTGACTCCCATTTTCTGGCTCTGTTGCACAGACTGCACCAAATACTCATTCCTTGTTTGGCGTTTGAGGCTGGCCTGGCGGTTGGAAGCTTGTGTCTGGAATGTAATGTATAGTATGAGAATAGCGCAGACTGCTGTCCAAAGAGGTGCTGAAAGCTCAAAGAGGGAGTCTCCCGCCAGGAGCACCGCGAGGCCAGCAGTCCCGACCCAGAGCAAGATGGGAAAAAGAAGGCCCCCTGCGCCGAACCAAGCGAACAACATCAATGGGATCAACGCAATAGAGATGATGAACGCAATCATAGACGGAATACTGAGGACTGCGACAAGTCCTGCACCTGGGAAGAGCAAGCCTAAGCTACCTGCTCTGATCTTGGTGGATTCAGCCGCGTAGAACCCGTAAAGCCCAGCTGTAGCCATGGCAAGGTACTGCGACAATGTACGGCGTTGGAAATGCCACTTAACCCTGCCATTTCCGACATTGTCAGGGATGAGGACATCTGAGGAATCAGGGTTCAGCTAAAGGACCTTGAAATGTGAGATCGAACTATACTTACCGCGCCATTCAAACTCGCCTACCAGGGAGCGTCCCTCAGACTTCTGATCAATCTTCTGTAAAGACGGCATTGCTCAGATGATACTGTCCGTCTGGAAATGAGCGGGCTAGCCCAGATTATCAAGTCTTTCCATGCCGAGCTGATCGAGGGGAAACTGCATATGGGTCACTTGGTCGCGAGATGCTCTGACACATGTCCTGCGTCTATTGACCATTTCCTCGGCATACATACTGGGGGCATGTCTGTCCGGAGAGTCGATAAAGGATAGATAAAGTTGGCACTCGGATGACTGACCAAACCTGCATATACTGCTGCTGGGGTTTGTGTCGGGGAAGCAAGTGTACGATTCAAGATTCATGAGTCAAGGTCTCCAGCTACAGCAATTTCCCCGACGTGCGGGGCGAGTTGGACCTGGACTGAAACAAAGCGGCATCAATGACATTCGGAACCGAAGGTCGACTGCGAATCTTGGTGACAACCTCCAGGAAACCTTGGGACAAACCCTATTCCCTCTAACACCATGACTTGACCAGCCTGGCTCGTTCATGTGCCGAAGTCACCCTTCGGAGGTGCAACAGCTCAATGCACAACGCGTATTGTAGAAGCACGCCCGCGCACACCTGTCTGTGCCACTGCCATGGTTAAGCGTCTCGATATGGCCAGCAGGCCAATATCGATCTCTCAGACACGGGGCATCGTTACATCTGCAAATGGCGATTAGATAGACACGGCAGTCGAAGCGATGGCATGCTGCGTGATAACAGCCTATGTCATGAACAGGATCATCAGGGCATGCGAGATTCTCAACCTTGATATGATCAACATCAAATATAACGATTTCGACGACGGTCAATCATTCGACGACGATGCGAAAAGCAGCCATGAACCACTCGTTGTCTCAAAATTTGTAATTGAAGGAATGACTTGTTCAGCCTGTCCAGCAGCTATCGAGACGGCCATCAAGCATCTCAATGGTATAGAGGCAGTATCAGTCAGCCTGCCATTCTCACGAGCTTCAATTGCGCACTACAAAAGCCTCATCTCGACCACCGACATAGTCGCTGCGATAGAGAAGAGCGGATATGCTGCGCGATGCGGCTTACGAACTGCACAACAGAATTTCGACCTCACCAGGCACAACGAAGATCTTGCGAAACAGAAGACCTCTTTCAGCAACGCGGTAGCTCTTTCATCGTCACTTACCATTATTGACTGGATCAGGGTCAGGGTGCTTTACATCTCTCCTCTCTGCATCACCCTCGGTCTTGTCCGAATCCTACTGGCGTTATGGTGTCAGGTCGTCGAGGCTGAGTGGGTTCATCGCCGTGCATGGCAGAAAGGTGGGTTACTGTCGCCGAACATGGACACTCTAATCAGCCTTTCGCTGATACTCGGGCTGCTTCTATCCATATTGCAAACATTTTTATATGGCTTAGATGCAGATGCCACCTACTGGTCCTCTGGCTCCATGTTGACTGTTGTAATTATTGGGGGCCGATATATCGACACTCTCCTCAGGAGGCACGCTAAACAAAGCATTGCACACCTCTACGATTTACAACGCCAAGCAGCTTCAGTGCAACTCTATCAGCCGCCTCAGATTCGACAGGCTCATATGACTGTCAAAAGTCGCCCTTTGAAACCATCAATACGAGTACCAGCAATAGCCTTGCGACCTGGCGACGAGATCTGTATCAATCCTGGTATGATTATTCCTTGTGATTGCTACGTCACAGTAGGGGCGAGCACAGTCGACCAAGCCTCCATGACTGGCGAATCACTACCGGTAAATAAGGAAGTGGGAGATTTTTTAATGTCAGGAACTCGCAATCTCGCATCAAATCTCGTTGCAGTTGTCTCGAAGCCTCAAGATGAATCTGCGCTCGAACAACTGGTGTCGAATGTGGTTGCGGCAACGGAAACTCCGTCAGATTATGTAGCGGCAGACTTCATAAACGGCCGGCTTGTCCACTTCCTGATAGTGATATCAATTTGCTGCGCATCCTACTCTTTTCTATCCGCGAACAATTCCCTACCACCCTCAACGAAATTCATATATGCTGGCGAACGAGCAATGGCCATCTTGGCCTCAGCGTGCCCTTGCGCCCTTGGCCTCGCAGCACCTTCTGCGATCATGTCTGCAATAAGCGCAGCATTGGGAAAAGGTGTCCTTATCAGAAGTGGCTTTCATGCTCTTGAGAAGCTGGCCTCAGTCTCTCACGTGGTCATGGATAAGACAGGAACTCTAACGACGGGGCAGCTCAGCGTAGCCGCTGTGACAGGCTCGATCGATCATTTTACATGTATGATGATATGTGCTGCGGAGCGTGTGGATGCCGCGTCACACCCTGTCGCGAAGACGATCTTTCGATGGGCGCTCCAGGAGCTGCATGAAGAACAACGACACACACAGCACCAATTGAAAGTCATCGATTCTCACAGTGAGCCAGGAAAAGGCGTCTCTTGCACCGTAAGGCCTTCTCCCAATGCACCGTCGAATATCGAAGTCCACATAGGCACAGCAGCGTTCCTCGCCGAAAACAATATTTCGATCCCTATCTCCAATCTACCGATGCCGTCTACGCAGGAATGTGGCATTACGGTACATGTCGCTCTAGCAAAAAAGCATAAGGCAATCTTCCACCTCCTCGATACAATTCGGCCTTCAGCATCACTCATCACACACGCCCTACAGGCTAATCTCGGGCTCTCCCTAACGATGCTCACAGGTGACAGCGCCTCCGAAGCCGCCCGCGTCTCTGCCCAGCTTGGAAACGTCCTCGTGCTCTCATCGCGCGCTCTTCCACATGAGAAAGGCGAATTCATCGCCACGATACGAGCCTCCCCTCTCTGTCGCGGCGTTGCAATGGTAGGCGATGGGCTCAACGACGCACCAGCCCTCGCAGCCGCAGATGTTGGCATCTTGCTTGCGCCGACGGGCGGCCCAGCCTTGTCTTCGCAGGTCGCGGATGTGGTGCTTGCAACCGCGGACCTGGGTCGGTTGCTCGAGACGGTAGTCATTGCGCGCCAGACACTGGCGCAGGTGCACTGGAACCGTGCCTGGGCAGTTGTGTACAATGTGCTTGCGATCGGGGTCGCGGCTGGGATTTTAGAGCCGTGGGGATTACATGTTGATGCCCGGGGAGCGGGCCTGGCCATGGTTGGGAGCAGTGCAAGTGTTGTTGTCTGGAGTTTATGGTTTCGTCGTCGGCTGGGAGCTGTGGATTGGAGGGCAATGGTAAAGACCGAAACAGACGAGCAGGTTGGCAAAAAATCGATGTATTTATATCCTAGCAGGGAGCAAGAGCAAGAGCACAAAGAACTTTGTTGAGTTTCCAAGAGTCCTAAGAGACTTCTAGCTTTATATCTACTGCAAAGAGAGAAAAACGAGGGTGTAAAGGTATGTATTGTGCTTCTCTGTGAATGTCAACTTCGAAGTACAGCAGATTGACAATCAGTAGATAAAACAATTAATGTGAACTCCTCGACTGCTGTGAGGGGGGTAGTATACCCGAGTGCTCCATATGGCTTTATCTATAACTCTACAGCAATACGCTTGGTTTGCCACTTCTTGATGGACGGCACAAAGCAGCATGCCAGCATCGCGAGCACCCCGAAAGGAATGCTAGTGACCCACACCCACTTTAGCGACTCGGCGTACGCCCAGCGGCTTCCCATGGTCGCTGCGAGAGCGATCTCTTTTGAGTATCCTGGTGCGTCGGCAATCTTGGTAGGGCTTGTCAGGAATATTGTGACGAAAGCCTCGAGATCTTTGACAGGCAGGCCCGCATTAATCACATACTGAGACACTATAGCTGGGAGATTTGTTTTTATCTTGTTGGTGAATATCGCGAGGTATATTGTGTAGCCGATGGAGCCACCGAGTGTGCGAATCGACAGCGAGAGCGCAGCAGTAGTGGCTAGGAGACTGTCGGGCACCACGATCATGGCAACGGTCGCAGCTGGAACGAGGATGCCGCCCACTCCGAAACCTCCGATCGTGCCGACTGCCACCACCATACTGGGAGTGTCTGGTGTCACGCCGATGAGGGCGCCGCCAAACGCCGCTATGCAACGTCAGGATAACTTCTAAGTTATGCATTGGAAAGGGATACTTACTCATCAGGCTGGCAGCAACCAACAGAATCCATTTGGCTTCAATACTAGTGGATAATAGAGCATTGAAAAACACAGCCCCTGCAGTGATGGAGATGCCGTAGCCAAGACCCTTGAGGCCGATTTGGATCGGGTCTGGGTCGTACATGGTTGCAAAGGACAGCGGATAGAAGTTGAGAAGGGAGTAGAAATTGATTCCAGCAACAAAAGCGATGAAGAAGGTTAGTGCCACCACCCGCTGACCCTGGAAGATCTGCCTAGGGATCATGGGGTATTTGGCGAATTTCCATTCCCACACAACCCAGGCACCGACGAGGACCAAGCCAATGATGAGCTGACTCAAAACATAGGCACTTTTCCAGGGGTGTGAGTAGCCACCTGCTTGCAGAGCGACGAGTAAGATGGTCAGGCCGACGATGGATAGGATCGCACCGATGTAGTCGATACGGGTCATGATCTTCTTCTTGGTTACACCTTCCATGCGTGGATGGCCCTTGGGGAAGTAGGTCGTCGCCAGCCCGATGAGGACGACTGCGTTGTAGAACAAGCACATCCAAATGGCCCAACGCCAACTTGCCCGCGACGAGATGAGCTGGCCGTAGATGACGTATGGCGTGAATGGTAGGATGCAGGCAATCATCAATGCCAGCGCAAAGCCGCGGTGTTTAACAGGCACAATGTCGGACAGGCCTGCGAGCGCCGATAATTCGCAGATGCCAGCCCCGGCGCCAGCGATGGCCATGCCAGCCACAGCCTGGCCGAATGCATGGGCGCTCGCAACCAACGCAATCCCTACACAGATGACTGCTGAGCCAAAGAGTGTGATCTCTCTGCGACCCACGAGATCCTGGAGATAGCCCGTGAACGGGGCAACGGCGGTGATGGCTAGCGTGTTGGACACCGTTAGCCAGCCGCCCTTGCCTTGAGCACCAAGAGAGGCTTCCACGTAGGACAGCGAGCCACCAATCATGTAGAGCACGATCTGAGATCCCGTGTACAACATGCCGAGGGTGAGGGCGGCGATGGCGGTGCGAATGGTCCAGTTGACCTTGCCATCAGAGTCGTCACCCTTAAAGGCACGGTCATTGCCAATGTGATCCTCGTCGATCGGGACGGAAAACGGTTCTTTCCCTTCCACATTTTCCGACATCGTAAGCGAAATCTGCTTGTTTTCTCCGTCTCCTTCCATGGTACAGCACTTGGGGTTTTGGTTGGATGATTCGAGTCTTTCGTGTAGTCCTAGGCGGTACACTCGATAGAGACCCCGAACGTTGACCGAAGTTGGAAATACTTATACACTCTTCCATGGCTATACAATGAAAAGCTATGACACTACTAAAACTGACTCAGTGTATTCCCACAATGCGAATTTTAAATCTCCTTGCAAACTTGATGTGAGAAAGCCCGAGGTTGAAAATCGAGCCCTTCTGTCAAAATATCTGACTCGTACTCCGCAAAGAAAACGAAGTCGAGTGTGGGGTTAGCTTCGTCTCTCTGGGGATACCCCGGGCTGGCTACAGCGCATGAGAAACTAAGCCACCTTACCGCCTGCCCTCGAAGCCCAATACTTTAAGGGGTTTGGCTGACGAGTCGCCACGGAATTCTGTGGAGAAGGTGGGTTCTTTCAACGTAATTTGGCATTGAGTTAAGGAGGTAACACTGCAGCAACGCCATTGGCTCTTCGGTATTTCAATATCGATTCATATCATTCGGTCGAGTCGTCTATAGTCGAATCGTGAACTTTGGGGTCGAAGACGTAAAATTAATGATGATACTCTACGGAAACCAAGCTGAAAACACTAGCTTTGAGATGCGCTGTCGTATCTGGATAGGGGCTGTGCTTCAAGAGTTGTCCAGGCCATGCCTGACAAAAATAACCGAGTCGCTCGTACCCGATACTTGGCTCGACCGAAAGGAGAATGACACCTAAAATTCAGGTTTAAGCCAGTAAATCATTTACTGTAAGTTCGACCTTACTTGAGGCCCTTCATAAGTAAGGAGCTCGCATGATAAAGTTACTGTACGAAGAATAAACGACCTAACTCGGCTAGTCTTTCTTATTCGGCCGAACTTTCTCCAGTGGTAACCTGAATGCCAAGTCTCGTGTTCGTGTTCGTGTTCGTGTTTCGTGTTGCTGTTGCCAAGTGCATGTTCGACCGCCCTATCGCACTGCTTCTCCTCAACCGTCGTACTCATCTCATTCTACACGCATATTTCCTTCTTACGCGATTTTCATTGCGTTGATTTCCAGAAGGAGAGCAACTCGAGATCTTCCGAACGTGGAAAACAGAAGTTCTGCAACTTGTGTTCTTTCGTCTCCACGAATCTCACTTAGGCACCAAAAGGCCGAGACGATCCGCTGCCTCTCCTGTGCGGCAAACCAGCTCCATCAATCTGGCCCAGATGGCTCCTCGTAGGACCCACTACAAATCCAAGCGAGGTTGCTCGGAGTGCAAGCGCCGACACATCAAGGTACGAGACTTCACGAATCTCCGGTCACTCGCCTCCGATTGAGCTTGTCCGTTACCGAAGAGAGACTCTGACCAAGGACGTACTGTATACCGAGCAGTGTGACGAAACACGCCCTGTCTGTGTAAATTGCATCACTTCTAAACGCACATGCATTTGGAAATTCGATATCACTGCCTGTGAAAAGACCCAGATCGTGCCGACGAGGGCTCAATGCACACAGACAGCAATCCAATCTCCTGGCGGCGACACACACTCGGCTCCAGTCATTAGTGGCAGCCCTCACACAATTCCTGGCTCACCACTGCCACCCTTAAGCCAATGCCCAGCTGACTCCATGGTCAACATGGACCATCTGGAACTATTCCATCACTTCTACACAAACACATGTAAGACCGTGGTCCGCACGGAGGCTCAAATTGAGTTGTACCGCAATGTCGCCATCACTTATGGAATCGCCCATCCTTTCCTTATGCACGAGATCCTGGCCTTCTCTGCCATTCATATAAGCATCCTCCGTCCCCAACGCCGAGAGTACTACCACTCACTAGCGACATCTCTCCAGTCGAAAGCCCTGACCGACTTCAACGAGATTCTGTCACGTGTCGATGCCGGTACCTGCATGCCGGTCCTGTTATTCTCTCACCTGATCGGACTCCAATCTTTCCACGACATCTTTAATCTTCTCAAGGATGATTTCAATACCTTTATGGACGGCCTGGTCGGCTGCGTCAGGCTACTTCGAGGGGTCAACTTGGTGACACAGACGTGGAGGGACATTCTAATTCAGTCCGAGCTGGGCCCCATCATGAGAGAAGCCGATCAGGCGCATGATGGCGAGAAACTCTCCCGAAGTGAATGCTCTCCACTGCGGGATCTGATCAACGCTGCAGACCTGACCTCGTCATCCAAGGAAGTTTGCAAGGAAGCACTGAACAAACTGCAAGAATGCTTTGATGTTGAAAACGCATTTCCCGGGGATCTACTCTCCACGACCAATGTCATATTCGCTTGGTTCGTCACCGCATCTTCGCAGTACACTGAACTGATGGATCAGCGACGGCCCGAGGCTTTGATCTTACTCGCTTACTACGCTGTACTACTCCACCGACGCCGCAAGTCGTGGGTGGTCGGCGACGCAGGCCAGCACCTCCTCAAGTCCATCACCACGCACCTTGGCAGGCGCTGGGAAACTTGGTTAACCTGGCCACAGAATGCCATCACGTTTGGCACAAGTTCAAATACTCCAATCTCGGCCAGTTAGGTATGATCCATCACCATCAGAGCCTATACCTTGCACTTATATTGCAGGGTCTCATGATATTGGTTATCGCTGATTGCTGCATTGCCCTTTAAAAACTACCGTGTCATGCCGAGATGAGAATCACTTGTAGGTGATATCGCCCTGCACAGGTTGCAGTTGTCTTGTGCATTGAACATGACATTGGATGGGGTTGGACTTCCGCTGCGTTAGTTTCGGGGCTTTTTATGTATCAATTTAATTCGAAGAACAAGTTCAAGAGTGCCATACATACTCAACCTGCTGGCCATATGTTTTGACTGGGACCCCTGAAGAGCGGATGATTTGCACTTTTTGTATCATAATTGCTTGAACGCGGAATCTTCTATTCTAATTCCATCTAAGGATATCATGATGCCCGATGAAGTGCCTGCACTTCTTGTGTGCGGGAGGATGAGGATCTGAAAGAGGTGAGGGCAGGTGGACTCCCGGCTGGCTCTTGCTTGAGCCCTATACGCGGGTCTGATCAACGCAACCAGGCGCAGTGGCTGGCGCTTAGCGACTAAAAAAGTCATTCAACTCGCGTCCACAAAATCCGAATGTAGATGACGTTGATGATTTCCAGACCTCCACTCATTGGCCAACGGATTCCTACAATTAGGACAAGCCACCTCAGCCCGATTGTATGTGGTCATCCGCGTATTCGTGTTCGCCGCTGCCAAGACTCGTGCATCTGTTGCTCGTGCTTTGCAGGAGATTGTCCACAGCCCGGTTGCGCTAACATATTGAGCCTATCGACCTTTCAGCCTTACGAGGGAATTTTGTTTCCTGAGACCCGGTTCTGAGAGATCCCCAACACCCTCAGTGTACAACACGAAGAATTAACCGTTGCAGTTTTTCATGCACTAGTGCCACTCATCACTTACCCGCCCATACAGGGCAGAGTGGTCGTTCTTGCTGGGTTGCAGCTGCCAATCACGTCGAGCAGGCATTCTATTTCTGGCAACTGCTACATGTACTCCATACAAGTTAATGTTATATGGTGACTTGCACGGACAGGTACACAAGGAAACACAAGAGCGTAGATATATATGTCTCTTGGTAGCTTCCGGCCTCTGGGATGGCCCGTAGAAATGTCAGATACAATAGGTCCGCAATCCTGAGATGTCCATTCTCTTCGCATATAAGAGACCGTTCCCATCCCAACACGTCCTTTTCTGTCCCCGAATTCTCTTATAACCAATACTTCAGCTGGTTACCCGAGATCTAAGGGGAAAACCACGCTCATCGCGAGCTTCCCATCTTCACGAGCAGCGCCGTATTCTCAGAATCACATCAATCACTTACTGCACTAAAATTGACATAAGGCCGCATATCATGGCCTTCTTTGACCACAAGTTCAAGCTCAAAGTACACATTCTCCAGATCATCTTGATCCACATTGTCATGGGCGTCTCCACACCCCAGTTGTTCCTCAAAGGCCAGCCGCGAACCCGAGCCAACACCATCGCACTGGGCATGGTAAGTCCATTTTCCATACATATGCTTTTGAGGCTTCCCAAATGCCTCGACCTACGTTGAGGTACATGGACGTTAACCGATAGAGGGCGATAGGGCTGCAAATCGATGGTCATCATCACCTATCATATTTTGACAGAGCACCGCGAGCGGTTCAGTCGGTGGAGATCCTATAAAGCCTATGCCATTCTCAACGGCCTTGAGATCGTCTTCTGGGCAGCAGTCGTTTTCTTGATCGTACAGGCCAACATTAAGTCGTGCGTGGGCATCTCGTGTACCCTTCGGTGGGTAGCCATGGGAGTGTCAATCGTCATCAAGTACGTTCCTCCTAATCAGTTTTTTTTTTGCCTCTACTCGGAATGTCTACATGTTTCCTCCTGATACCAGTGAGGAGATCCCTGGGATAACTCGAGCTCTTGGAGGCTTTGTTCTCCCATTCGAGTCGTGAAAGGCATTCTCTAAGAGAGAGGAGTCGGAAAGCTGACTCACATGCCCTTTCAATAGTGTCATCGCTGTGTACATGTTCATCATCTCGTACATAGACTTCCGAGTCCACCGCATCCAGAAGGAGTTCAAGGGCAGTCGAAGAATCCTGAACGACAACAACATTGAGCATGGCCATGCCATGGACCAACTGCATCTCAAGCCGTTCAGCGCCAGTGGCACCCAGGCACCCCGTCCACACCAGCGTGAGTACCATGGAGGAGAGCACGGCGCACGCAGGCACAGTATGTCTCGCGATCCCAGAGACGGAAGGGAGCAACACTCCCGCAAGGCAAACATGCCCCGGCCAGACCCAAGCGAGCACCAAGCACGGAGACACAGTATATCTCTTGGGATCCGTAATGAGGACGATCACCTAGCATATACACACCGACCACCCCGCTATTGCACTGAGACTCCGTACAGCACCTTCGGTCGTAAGTAATAAGCATGATTAGAAGGGAAGACACTGGGAAAGGCCGGGCTGTCGTAAATGAATCCCATCCAGCATGCGAGAAGTGGGAGACAAGCGGCGTCTACCTAAGGGGAAAGAAAGCAAAATTTTGTTGAAACAATCCCATAACGAAGATGGTTTAGAGAAATTATGGGTGTGGGTATATCGCTCCATGGTCGCTGTGGCGCTGGGCATCTACACCAAGTAAGTATAAGTCCCACTGAGCCAGGTTATTTTGGTCTGCTCCAACGAAAGGATGCCAAATGCCTGTATATAGATCAAGTTTGGTTCCTTGACATTGGCTAGATTCAGAACATCTACAGCCTCGTTTACTTCGCCTGCGAACTAGTCAGATCGTCTAGCAGGGCCCATGATTGCCAAGCTTCTTGAAAATCCGTACCACTACTTGAAATATAAACCAAGACGTTTAGTATCTGCATCTTGATGTGATAATCCGACCGGTGTGAGTAAATATAGCTACTTCTTGATGAAATTTCCAGTGAGGCACCGGCTTTGCATACTTCTACAGACCTCCATGATCGACTACAGTAATCTGGACTTGACATAACTGCCTGCTTGGCCAATGACGTCGTGACGTTCCTGGCCTGGATGCGGCAGAGCAAAATCGCTGGTTGGCACGTTCGATCTCCAGAGACTAGAGGGCAATCAATCGATTGATTTTATCACAGCCCCTGTTCCGACGCTTGACCTGCTTAACGACATCTCGCATCAACGACCTGCAAATTTCCCTTACCATTCGATTTGGCACGCGGTAGTGCGAGACGAGGGAGGCGGCAACACATTCAGACTCTTTCGAGCCACTGTCGGCTGTACATAAGAGAAGAGTACCGAAATTCGTAGTTCTACTCAGGATAGATCGGAGTCTCCTGCGCGTTCCAGAAGGTGTCTATCATCATGTAGTATTGAAATTTAAACCCCCGACCAGACTATAGCTTCCACATCACGCCTCTCGGAAGCGATGTCCATGGAGCTTGAAAACCACCGGCAATGGTGCCAGTGCGAGAAGAATAAATCCGAACAAACTGTTTCCCCAACCTCATCCCAACGCGTCGTAGATATCTAGGCCACACATTGGTAGGAGCGCTCCTGCAACACTGCGAAGGACGGCATTTGCCGCTGACGCACTGGCTGCGTGTTGAGGATGAGCGTCGATCAGATATGTTTGAGCCGCCATGAAGATACAAATCATTCCGAATCCCGTTTGTGAGGTGCCAATCATGGGCACAATCCAATGGATCTTTGCCTGGATCGCCCAGCCATACATGCCTGCAATCTCAATAAGACTGTAGTATGATGCTAGGCGAGTATGTTCAAGTGCTCGCTGTTAATTGGCCAAAGCCTTGGAATGATATGCCCAGATTTCCATTCTTCCTGCGAATCCTAACAAACTCTTGGCAAGCGTGGTTACGAACTATCAGTTGTCTTAGTCTCAGTTTGAAGAGTCGCCCGCCCTCGTGTTGATGGACCGCGCCGACAGAGAACGATTGAGTTGATGCTGGCCTAAACTTGATTTACTGTTGCTCGAGTAACCATGTGACTTCATTGACAAAATGATGAGGACGGCCGGGGTTTTTTTGGATTTGTGTAAATAGCGCGGAATTTTTGTCGCCGAACGGCTCTGAGGTAGTTTCTCTGCCCCAATGATATCTGATTGAAACCTCTGTCCTCATCAGAATCGAAGAAAATGGATCTCTCTACACGAATGCGACCAACGCGATAACGAATACGTACGGATTGTATCAAACACAAAGCTTGAGCTAAACTTTATACAAGTCTAGCATTAAATGCAGTGATTTGAATCGTCTCATCTGCCATTTCCATCTTCGAAACCGGCAGTGTGTCAAGTATGAGCATACTCGTGACATGGGCGATGTTCTGGGCTTGACTTTTCTGCTCCAAAGCAAGAACACCCCTGATTGATGGGTTACATAAAAGCAATCAATGGACCCGTTTGTACAGCTCTCTCAACATCACTTCTTAATCTCCAATCGACCTCCTTAAGTATACCAGTGCTTATCCTGAATACCCAACCTATACTCTGTTCTTACCCAAGTCATCATCCACGCCGCGGTACTTCACCTTATCGAACATCGTTACAAAAAATGGCTATCCAGTATGTCCTCTGGTACTACATGCCCTCGCTTATTGGATCAATCGTCATGACCACGTACTTCGGTGTAGCCTCGCTCGCGCACTTGGTCCGTCTAGTCCAGACAAGGTCACGATTTTGCGTTCCTGCCGTTATTGGGGGCATCTGTAGGTCCATTTCTCCGTCAGGGTCGTTCCAAGAGCTAACTTCACTTCCAGTCGAAGCTGTCGGGCACAGTGCTCGCACTGTGGCTCACTTCCACACAGACAAGACGCTACCTTACGCCATTCAGTCACTCCTAATCCTCCTCGGTCCGATCTTATTTGCAGCATCGACCTACATGATCCTGCAACGACTGATCCGCGCGATTAAGGGTGGCTCACATTCGCTGATCCCTTCGCATTGGATAACCAAGGTGTTTATCGGAGGCGATATGCTGTGCTTCATCATTCAAGGGGCCGGTGGCGGTGTCCTTTCAGGGGCTAAGACTCACAGTAGAGTCAAACTCGGCGAATACATTATACTGGCTGGTCTGGTCCTTCAGATAGTTGTCTTCGGCTTCTTCGTGATTGTTGCTGCTGACTTTCACTCACGCGCCCGGCATTCCCCAGCGATATCGGCAACAAACATTCCCTGGCAACGCTGCCTCTGCATATTGTACTTTATCAGCATCCTGATCTCGGTCCGAAATATTTTCCGAGTCGTCGAGTACGTTTGGGGCTCCAGTGGATATGCTCTAAGGCATGAATGGACATTGTATATCTTTGATGGCGCGTTGATGGCAGCGGTGGTTTTAGTCTGTCTCACATGGTATTCGGTCGATTTTACTGCTCCCCGCACTGCTTCCCAACGACACAACGATGAGGAGGCGAAAAGGTGAACAATGAAATATGCCGCTGACAGTAAATTGATAGCGACAAGCTTGGAGGATCAGCAAATCAAAGATTGTAACACATATAAGGGTCTCGGTGAGATTTGACATTTGAAGGGCCAAGAGTGATACAGGAATAACTAGCTAGGTCATGTGCTATTCCCTATGGCATCTAATTGATTGATAAGTCAGCAATCAGGGCATTTGATGAGTGTAAATCGAGATCTCGTCTATTTCTCTGTTTAGGCTGTGCGGGCCATCTCCTAACATGACATTGCTGTGCCAACATCGAAACTCATTTAGTTGCAGGTCGTCTCTGATAGTATGATCTTTGTCTAGAAACCCTGGTGTCACCTGAAATTCCAGCAGCAAATTTGAAGCTTTACTGATACTTTTCTGTATTTGGTGTAAATGTTCAAAGGCGCTGTGCCCGATGGCTGATCTACGACCGATCCTGCATTTTGAAGTCCATTGATCTTAGTCAGCTCCAGGAGACTAGAAGTTGCAACGCTTACGCGCCGAAAGTCTAGAACCTCCCAATGTTTTTACATGGTACAGGCTTTTATTTCTGTTAGGCTCGCCCAGAAGGCTGATTCGGTGAGGTTTCGAGGACGATGCCAAATCAATCTCTAGATTCTCGATTTCTCTTGCATTCCTCCAATGGGTACCTCTTCGATGCTCTCTGCATGACCTTTCTCCCGCATTGGCACTGCTTCAACGGAATCGCCAAAGAGTTCGCCAATGTCTTCAAGAGAACGTCCACGTGTCTCGGGAAACCACAGCCAGACTATGAAGAAAATGACCGTGGTGATTGAGATGAAGACGATGTAATACTTCCAGCCAATTGTTGAGAAGGCTTCTGGCGCACACTGGAGGAAAATGATGGTCGCTACGAAAAGACCCGACACTGATATAGAAAGGCCCTTGGCTCGCACGGGAGTTGGGAAGATTTCAGAAGCGTAGATGTAGGACGTCGCATCGCAGGAGACGGAGAAGAACCCAATGTGTAAGAACAGGAAGAACACTGCCGCACTGGCAGCACTTCGGTGACCCGTGCGTTGGAAGACGTCGACAGTAATGCATTCGCCAATCAGGGCGATAACGCAGCCAGCGAAACCGAACACTGTGTCACAGTTCTCAGCTCAGCTTCTTCATAAACTCAACACGGTGCTCGGAGACCTACTCAGCATTCGAGTTCGACCGAATTTATCAACAACCAACGCATTGATCAAGTTCCCAAAAGGGCACACAGTGATCCATCCACATTGAATGAGAAGTTGTTGGACTGTTCCGAAGCCCAAAGAAGCATACAGCGAAGGACCATAGTCTAGATGACAGAGTGTTAGTATTGCAGAGGAGTGATGCCCCAAGAGAGCCTCAAAACTTACTGTTAATGACCAAGGTCGCAGTTCCCTGAGCACCAAACATTGTGAGCCAACCAATGATACATCTCTTCCTCATAGATGGTCTTCTAAAGAGATCAAATAGAGACAGCTCTTCTTGCTTCTCGTGAAGCAACTGGCCCTGAAGCAAATTGAACTCGGCCAAGATAGCCCCTTCGTTATTGGCTAAGTTGTCCGTGTTCTCTGCGCGGACTGCCTTAAATGACTTATAAGCGTCTTCCACGCGATCATGGTCCAGTAGCCATCTCGGCGATTCTGGGAGGAAAAGTACACCCAGCGACAAGAAGAGAGGTGGGAAGCACTGGATCGCCAGCGGCAGTCGCCATTGTGCGCCGCTTGCATTGACGAAGTAGAAGCCCAGCCCTACCCAGCTTGCCAGAGAATAGCCCACACAGATCAAAACTCCATGCATACCTACGAGCCAGCCTCGGATCCGGGGAGGAGATATCTCGGACTGATAAAGAGGTACAAGAGTGACCAGGGCACCTGGCGACTTTGTTAAGAGTTATCCAATTGCCGTGAGTGGGTGCAGAGAACTCACCTATTCCGAAACCGGTCACGAATCGCATGGCGATGTACATACCAATATTGACGCTGCCAGATTGGAGAGCACCTCCGATGAAGGTGATTACTGACGCGAACAGAATGGCTTTTCTCCGGCCTAGCCAATCTGCAGATTTGATGCATGAAAGACACCCGAAAAGACCTCCAGCTTGATAGAGTCCATTAATGGCGCCAATGAGGTCTGTCGCGTTGGACCGTGTGTCGAGAGCAAAATAACTGATGAAGGAGGGTTGTCCCAAAGTCGTAGCGATAATACTGCTGCAGTATCCGTAGGTGAGCGAGCCAAGTGCAACGAAGAGCACGATCTAAGCAGGTACGTAGTTTAGCATTTAGAGTTTCTAGAAAGGCCGAGAGTAATGAGTGACTTACCAGGAGCCGAACTAAAGAGGGTGAGATCGCCATTGTGGAAGTTAGGAGGACACAAAATACAAGGTCGACAACGGCCAGATAAAGGATTCAGAAAGTATGAGGAAATTGCTCGTTTCCTTGCACTTAGTAGAGAGAAGAACTGGGGTAATCTGGGGTCTGGGCAGTTTTATAGGAAAAAATTCGGAAGGGAGGCCGAGAAGAGTGCACGAATATGTGAGAGAGAACAATTAACAGGGTCTCCGAGCCCGGTGCCCCAGAACAGGGTACGAGGTACTCTATCAACGTTGGTTGGGGAAGAGGAAAAAGCGAATGCTCTTCTTCGTGAGTCTAGAAGCTGAATCGCTGTTACGTTCGGAGCGGTCTACGAACCTTGTCGTGTTGGTAGTTTTGTGTAGTCCAGCAAGAGACCCATCCAGGCTTTCCATTTCCAACCCCGGTAACTGCGGAGTTGCAAAAGACTTACAATTTTGTGGAGCGAAATGTTGTATTTGAAGACTTTAGTTTTGATTGTGGCGACATGACCCGAATATGTGGGATCGGCACTTTTCGCTAGCACAGTTGTGGTAAAGTTTGTCTAACTGGATATATGAGGACGTTTTCCGACAGCTTCTGATTGCGCACAAAAATCCAGGAGAGAAGGCGGCTGCTTTCATTCAGTGCCAGGGCAATCTTCTGATGACACTTAACATGAGTGGTCAGGTGAGCAAAGGCTACAGACCTGTAATGCTTATTCTTCCAGTCATACAGTCCCGACTAGTGGTGTGTGGTTACTACTTGATCCGCCCGCGAAGAACTTTATCTCAGGACAATCCGGTAAATGCGTCCCATGCTGTAATAACCCGGCAAATTTGGCTTGGGAACTTGATCAACTTCAAGCGTGTGCAACAAGGTTGACACGGCCTGCAGGGCCGACCGAGCTCCCTGAGACACCGACCCACTCTTCGGCGCAGGGATCGCCTTCTTCGGCGTGCAGCCCGATATTCAGGATTGGATGTCCTGGTGCTGGCTGTGCAAGGGCGAAACCAGAGCCTCGGGATTAACAATATTGAGCGTATGAACGGGATGTAAAATAAATGGTTCACGCATAGCTTCTCATGTGGGTTCATCTGGCTTCTTGAGGCTGCTCCATCTCGCCGCTGAGTCTGGCCAAACTCAAGATTAGGTCTTTATGCTTGACTCCTCTATGAATGCGAAGAGGGCAAAAACGCCAATCTCCAGTTCGCTCTTATCATAGACACATTGGTTCAGTTGTTGTTTTTTACTGCTCGAGAAACTCGCTTTCATGTTAATTGGTTAAGATATACAAGTTGATTGTCTTCCATCAAGGGGGTGTTTTTAATGCATAATAGAGATGACTTGGATATAATGAAAGATTGCCGGATGTGGAATCTAGGAAACTTCTCTCCATAGACTTCTTCATACTTCATGTGGACATGGTGACCCTTCTTCTGGTCTTGCCGGAAGCTCTTTTTAAGCAATGTCATAGAAAGAATTGCTAAACACCAGAGTGGAAAAATGTGCAGAGCTATCACTTGCAAGTGTTCAGGAAATAAAAAATCTCTGCAAAGGCGCTAAAACGATATTCAAGTATCACTTTGGTGTTGTCCATACCCTTCTCTAATGGGTGACAACGATCTCGACTCAAAAAGAACATACCCAATCAGTGTTCGACTGTTCGCTTCTGGAGCTTGAGCCTCTATTTTAGGACTTGTTAATCAGGCCTTACGCGAGACTGCCGTAACAGGATAATCACTCCATGGATTCGAATTCTGCAAGTTTCGTATTTCTATTTCGAACCATGAAACATAGCATTATCTAGTAGAAACTTTTCAATAATTTGACATGTCTGAAATGAAGCGAATTCCGATAGATATGTTTTGCCTTTGCCCAGCAATCTAGCCGACTGCTCGATCAGAACTCAAGCCATGAAGAAATCGCTCAATACTGCAGCCTTCATGTCATCCTTCTTTATGCGTTCATGCTATTCAGGCAACAGTGAATAAAATTCATGAGCTTGTTTTGATTTAACTTACTTGATTAAGACTGTCTTTGGTTCCGTAAACGAACGAAGGGCCTGGATCAAAGAAATTTAGTAATCATCTTATCAGAGTAAATCTGATAGCGACGACTCACATATTCACCGAATTCTCTGCCTATGCCTGATATTTTCTTTCCTCCAAAAGGTGCCTGGATATTCATCTGGAAAGTCGCAAGCATCAGCCCCTATGGTTTTCGTGAAGGAGAAGGGGGAATTCGGACGTAAGAGATGCAATTAATCCCGCAAACCCCTGAGTCGATGTTGCTCGACACCCTTAGCGCGCGAGTGATGTCCCTCGTGAAGACACCGGCCATTAACCCAAACTCTGTATCATTAGCCAATTTAACCACTTCTTCCTCGGTCTCAAAAGTCTTGATGACTGCCACGGGTCCAAATACTTCATTCTTATAGATCTCCGCGTCGGGCCGGGGATTAAGAAATACGGCTGGTTCCATGAAGCAACCAGAATCACCGTGTCTAACACCACCAACGACCAAGTCGGCTTCTATTTTACCCTTTTCGATCATTGCTTCGACTCTAGCAAAGCTGGATGCGTCGGCGAGGGGCCCAAGAGTCGTCTCGAAATCCTGAGGGTCACCAAGCCGCGAGGCAGCTTCTTTCATTCTCTCGCTGTATGCATCGATAAATTGTTGGGAGATGGTTTGTTGGACGTAGACTCGAGATGCCGCTACACAAACTTGACCAGATCGCGCTAGAATTCCGTTGATTGTCCTGCCATTAGTCCTGTTAGCGCCGTGTATCAACCTCGTCCACGATTATATTGCCTACCAAGTGAGAGCATTTTCGATATTTGCATCTTCGAAAATTACAGCCGGGCTCTTGCCTCCTGTGATAACAAGTTAGCTGCCAACTTGCTGGACCGTCCTATAGCTTAGTCACTCACCAAGCTCAAGGGTGACTCTTTTGAGATTACTTTCTGCGGCGGCTATCTGGATTTTCTTTCCAGTCGCGACACTACCAGTGAAGCTCACCTTTATACCATACACGTCGTCAGTATTCTTGATATCTGCTACTGGAGCCGAGCTAGAGTGTGGGAAGAGAGCTTTACCTTCCGTACACGCATATGCCTTGCAAAAAGTGCCCCAGTTCTTCCGTCTCCAGTAACAACCTGGACCACACCCTTGGGAAACCCGGCTTCCTCAAACAAAGGAGCGAGCGCCAGCGATCCGAGCGGGCTTTTCTCTGAGGGTTTGATTATCAACACATTGCCAGTGGCTAGGCAGGGAGCGGCCTTGATGATGAAGGACGCCACTGGTGAGTTATATGGGTTTATTCCAACGCACACGCTACTCGCTATTTCAGTTTCTTACTTAGCTATGACACATAGACAACGAAAGACTCACCCCAAAGGCTCATGCCGTACTAATTTCACAAATCCGTCATCTGCAGGGTAGTAGTCACCCTTTTGCTTGTCGGTCCATCCAGCTTATCGTCGTTTAACGGAATCCAATCTTGACCAGATTAAGGATCTACTTACAGTAGTATAACAGATTGTTTTTGATATACGTCTTCTCGCGTGAAGGGATCAACGAAATAGGGTTCCCAGTTGTGAGTGAATCCAATGTCAAAATATCAACCAGCCTGTCCTCTAGAATGTCAGCAAGGCGACGCAGACATTCAGACCTTTGTGCCGCCGTGAAAGTGCTCCAAGGCCCTCTGAAGGCGGCTTCTGCAGCTGCTACCGCGGCATTGACGTCCTCTGGGCCACCAATAGGCACTGCATCGGCAACGACAGTGTCATCCTTGGGATTGTGTAGGACATATGTCTGCTCGGATATCGGCTTGGCATATTGGCCATCGATGTAGAACCTGGTCAAGTGCCTTGGGCTTGGTGTCTTCTGTTTTGCTGTTCCCATCATCAGTATACACGTGTAGGAAGTAGTTTGTTTTCGAAAAGTTTTGTCCTTAGCAGCGAATCGCAATGCGTGGAAGGCTGAATTCGAATGAGAACATGTGCTAGTATTCAGGTAAATAACTCTTGTATAGATATTCAGGGACATGCGGTCCTTGAGCAAAGCCAATACTCAATTTGTCTTGCATGGTAGGCTCCGACCATCTCCCTGACTAATTAAGCATTCTCCAGACCGAAAGTGTCATGAGTCTACTCTGTAACCGAACAATGAACTCTCGTAAGCCCACTCAGTTGCTGTGTCATCGATAAGAATGACAGACACGAACACCGTGGATCCTTGAAGCTGTGCGCGCTCATTGGACAATCTAAGCTCGGGCTCTCTCAGCGTTCCCTCCAATTGCCAAGGGAGTTTCGGCATCTCGAACCGCCCAGCTCCACGGCGTCGGTCTCCGCACCGTCATGACGGCATTTGCTTCCAAATCCCTTCACAACGACCTGTCGATCTTCCAAGAAGTACGACAATCAGTCGCTATGCCTTCAGGGCGGATCCTCGGTGAGGCCAGGATCTCGAGCCTCGTCTCATTTACCGAGCTCCCAGAGGCCCACGCTGCCGTTAGCCTGTGGAGAGACTAGCGTGATATGTCTTCGCTTCACTCGCGGGCCTTAACGCCCGCTAAAGCCGATTTATCTGGATGATGACTTGATTCCCAAGTGGAAGCTGTGTAGGTAGTGCCATCGTATCCTAATTTCCTGTAGCAAAACCTGAATTCTCAGACGCCCAGAGAAAAAAATGCGAAACTCGAGTCTCAACGAGGAAAAACACGTTAAACAAGCCGCACAACACCAAGACTCTAAAATGAATGCCGTAATATTCAACGGACCTCGGAAGATAGACGTCGAAAAACGCCCCAAGCCCACTCTTAGAGATCCTACAGATGCTATTGTCAAGGTGACTTCCGCAGGCATCTGCGGTTCGGAACTGCATATGTATCGAGGTCATCAGAAGACGGCAACAGGGCATATCATGGTAAGTACAGAACGAACTTATACTTTGAGCTGGCGATCTTTTCTGACAGAATGATCTTTTACATTTTGGCAGGGTCATGAGTTTGTAGGGTTTATCGAAGAAGTAGGATCAGACGTACGAAGTTTCCAAGTTGGCCAGAAGGTTGTTTGTACGTTCTCTCCGGTCTGGTAAGTATCAAGTTCCAGACAGGCTAGCTTGTGATACCCAAAATATCCAATCATCTGACTTGAACCAGCATGTGCTGCTGGTTCTGTGAGCATGGCTACAGCAATCGATGTCCCGAGGGCCTGGCACCATTTGGCACACAGGGTTTAGCAGGAGGACAAGCAGAGTACGTTCGGGTACCGTTTGCGGATGGCACGTTGAAATCGACGCCAGAGGGGGTTGATGACGAACTCTTGATCATGATGTGCGATATATTCCCCACGGGACACTACGGCGCCATGAGAGCCATCGAATGTTTCCGCTCCTCAGATCTGGTGAATGGTAATCATTACACTGACCTCGATTCGCCAAAACGTAGCGGATTGTCGAAGTCGCAATCGTTAGAAGAAGCGGTCTTCGTGTGTCTAGGGTGTGGCCCAGTTGGACTCTGCGCCATTTTGACGGCGCGGTCCAAAGGGGTGAGAACGATCTACGTTGTCGATAGTGTCGATGATCGACTGGACCAGGCGGCGAAACTCGGCGGTATTCCACTCAAGCTGGGTCGAGACGACGTACAAGCGAAGGTTATGAAGGCGACGCAAGGTCGCGGCGCTGACGCAGTCATTGAAGTTGTTGGAAACAACGCGGCACTGAGATCAGCATTCGATCTTCTCCGGCCTTGTGGCGTTCTGTCATCTATTGGGTTTCACCAGGGAGACCTACCATTCACAGCGCTTGAATGCTACCAGAAGAATTTGAAGTGAGGCATTGTTCCCCTAATAACGCCCATAGCTAATGTTTCTAGCATCAATCTCGGCAGAGCACCCGTGAGAACAGTCTTCGACGAGGCGATGGAAGTGGTGGCGGCGAATAAGGAGAAGCTTGCCAGCATGGTCACGCATCGTCTCCCATTATCAAAAGCGGCTTACGGGTACGAGATCTTCGAGAAGCAGCTTGCCAGAAAAGTCATCCTGGTGCCGTGAAAGACGGAAAAGAATTCTATGCGGTGATGGAAGAACATCCTTTCGTGTATGCATAATTTTGATTTGATTTACTGATACTATAGCTATTCTGGATGGCCCCATTGGTGTGCTATTTCTTCACTAGCAAAGTACTTGTAGATCTATATATATTAGATGCTTAGGGTATATCCACGTGATCTCGACGATTTTGGCAGCTCAGACCCTAAGCCAAAGAATTCTAAGGGAAGGAAGAGAGACAACATGATGTTCTGGATCGTATTTGGTTGCTTTGTTTCCCACCCTGATGTCGACCAACGAGGTAGAAAAGCTGGAAGTTGCTAGCGCTCGGCAGCGGCACCGATGGTGGGTCTCGGCTTAAAAAGCCACCGCAAAAACAGTCCTAAGCGGACACGTACAGGCCATTGAGAGCTAGGCAGAAATCGGGATCCTATTTGCGATATGCTCGTAGTCAGGTGTGGCGAGAATCAAATCGTGAAATCTCACGAGGATAGCCAGTCGAGCTTCTTCCCGAGTTGTTATGTACTGCTGTCACTCCCAGAAGAGACTTGGTGAGTGGATCGACGATCTCGAGATGATCAGCAAAGGCCCTATACGCATTGGAAATGTCTCCGGTGCAACGGGCGACATGCCAGGCGCCATGGCTAGAATGGTTGCGGAAAGCAATGTGGACGTGATTACAGGCGACTGGCTCTCTGAAATGAACATTGCTTGGAATGCGATAACCAAGAAGGAGAGTCCAGAGCTTGGGTATGAGAACGGTTTCTATGAACAACTCGAAGAGTGTATCGACGATATCATAGCGAAAGGTATCAGGGTCATTACCAACGCTGGAGCCTTGAACACGCAATCTTTGACCCGAAAAGTACGAGAGCTCCTCGAAGCAAAGGGACACGGCCAGATAATCGTGGCTGCTGTCCTAGGCGACGACATCTCAAACCTGTTGAAGGACTCAAATCGGCGACAAGACTTGCATTTCCCTCACTTGGATCACACCGACCTGTCTCTGGATGATTGGGAACTGGAACCGTTTTCCGGAAATGCGTACATCGGCTGTCGAGGCATTGTCGAAGCACTGAAATCGGGTGCAAGCATTGTAATTTGTGGGCGTTGTACGGACGCTTCCCCTGTTATGGGGGCTGCAGCATGGCATTTTGGGTGGAGTATGGAAGAGCAATATGATGAGCTTGCAGGAGCATTGCTGGCAGGGCATTTGATCGAGTGTGGTGCCTATGTCGTTGGGGCCAACTTCTCTGGCTTCAAAGACTTTCTGGACGACTTGGTAGATGTGGCCTTTCCAATTGCCGAAATAGATGCCCAAGGCCGGTGTGTCATCACCAAAAGTTCGACAGGGGGCGGGCATGTTACAGCTGAAACAGTCAAAGCGCAGACGCTGTATGAGCTGCAAGGCCACCTCTACCTGAACCCTGATGTCGTGGCGGATCTCTCTATGATTCAGATTGAGGATGAGCAGGATTTCCCGAATCGAGTTCGGGTTACGGGAATAGTCGGCCATCCACCTCCGCCAACCACCAAAGCGATGTTCGCGGCGCCAGGAGGGTATCAAGCAGAAGCGACTTTCTTCATCAACGGACTTGACGTTGATGCAAAAGCACAGATGATGAAGAATCAACTCCAACATATCTTCAGAAAGAACAAGTTCAGCAAGCTGAGTATCGAGCTGTATGGGTCAGAAGTCAAAAATCCGGATAGCCAACAGGCAGGAACTGTCCAATTGCGAATCTTTGCGCAAGCCCGAGAAAAAAGGGATATTGTTGCTCGCAACTTCAAGACTCCAATCTATGCTCTGAGAATGCAGAGTTACCCAGGCTACCACATGAACCTTGACTTTAGAACAATGGATCCAAAGCCGTTCATGGAAATCTTTCCGGCAATTATTCCACTCTCTGCGATCCAGCATCAGGTTGACTTGGGAGACGGAGAGCTGATCGACATCAAAGCCCCAAGTAAAACAGCAGAGTACCCAACTATTAGGCCTTCCTACGAGACAGAAAACCCGGTCGATCTGGCCTCACTTGGAGTAACAGTGCAGGCACCGCTTGGTAGCATTGTCCACGCAAGGTCGGGAGACAAAGCGGACAACACAAATGTCGGTTTCTTTGTTCGGCATGAAGATGAATATGCATGGCTTAGAACGATCCTCACGGTGGAGAAGATTAAGATACTGTTTGGCCAAGACTGGTTCAAATGCAACCCTTCTCGAAGAGTTGAGCGAGTGGAATTTCCGAAGATACTAGCAGTACATTTGTAAGTACCCTCCTGATTGGCCAAAACTGACGTGCTGATCATATGAAGTCGAGTTCTTGACAATCTTTCCGGCGGTATTGCATCTTCTGATCGAATCGATGGACTCGGCAAGGGTATCGGTGAATATTTGAGAAGTAGATATGTAGACATCCCAGCCAGATTTTTGGAACGTGGCTGCATATAGCGTGTAAGGTCTGCTAATTCAATTTTCACCGCCAGAGCTTATAATGATGGATATCTTTCTCAGCCTATTGAGCAACAAGCAGAGCCATTTGCCTGAGGCAACAACTATGTCAAACAAATGCGTATTGCAAGACTCTCGCTGGTTTAATGGCCTCCTGCGGCCATGGACTGATCTAGAGACTGGATCTCAAAAAGCCAATCTTGAGACGCCTGCATCATCGAGACATTTGCAAAATCATAACTTGTATAGAGGTTTTGTAAATCATCGAAACAGTCTTGATAACTGAAATCCATAACGTTCGGTACCGTAGATGAGAAAGACTGCTGTGGTATTGCGGGACTGAATGCCAGATCCGGCATGGTATTAGGATGGTTTTGATTTGGTGCGCTAAATTGTGAACTGCGGGTAAATGTGCTTCGAGAATTATTTTGAAATTCGATTACATCAGTCAATAGAGCATCGCTAAGCCGGCCAAATACTTGGTGAGCGTTACGAGCAGTGCTCCATCGCTCGGAGACTGCGACAAGGACATTGGAGCAGTCACGAGTAGTGTTGACAATTTGGCTAATGGTGGGGTCGGTGGGCAGACAACTAGCCGGACTTTGTGACATTGGGTTGCTACTGCTTGCCAGTTCGCGCCGACGAGTCTGGAAATGAGAGCGGACGGCATAAACGTATGACAAACCCGCGATAAACGCTGCGTGCAGCGTGATGGAAGAGTAATTAATTCGACGTGAGTTGTGGAGGTATGCGTAGATGCCGATCGACCTTTGGGCGGCGTCGAAGATGCGCTGTAGTGTTTCGCCCGTTTGAGAAGCATCTTGAAGGGACGGCGAGGGACGATAAAGCATCAAAATTGCGTTCTGGTATAAGAGGTCGTACCATTCTCTCGCCCTGAAGCTGGATCGGTCGGAGTCGGTAAGTGAGCCTCCAAGCGGCAGCGTCAGAGTGTCTGCTCTCCAGGCTTCAAGTTCCTCGATAAGAGAGCTGCGCCTGCTCTCATAGTCGAAGGAAGCACTCATTCTGGCCCGGATCACATTGTGTAAGGAGGTCAGGATCTGGCCGCAAATGACGCGGTAGCGCACGATTAGCACAAATATTGCTGTCCTCAGCTGCCAGGGAGCGCTCCCGACGTTCTCCGAGGGAGACAGGTTGTTGCCTGGGCTGACCACAATATTCGTCTCAGAACGTGGCAACTCTGTGTCAAAATCGTCGAGATGGATGGCCAAGGGTCGGCCTAAAGTGATGCTCGCGATCCTGTCCATTGCCAATGCACACCAGAAGCACCTCCTCCTGACTTCGGAATTTTCGAATGCGCCTTCGTCCATGCCAGCCACACCCGCCCCGGGAGCATAGTAGACCGACTCGCGATGTAAGCCGAGCTCAAAGCACATTCTTGCTGCGGTGCCAACTAGGTGCCACAAACTCGCGGAAGCATCATAAAGACCACTTCCGATCCGGTATTGGCACATCAATAGGATGGCCTGCAAAGCATCCATTCCACCCTTACCGAGCACTGTGCCTAGTCTACTCATGGCCCGGTCATGGTGCGTTTCAGCGTCTGGCATCACTTGCCAATCAAACTTTGAGACCTGAGCGGTTGCGATGGCAAGGACCATGTCTAGAGTAAACGCTTCCAAGGGGTGTGTCCCATAGTAACTCTCACTGCCGTAGATCAACCCGAGGCTTTCCAACAGCGTCTTCGGACGGAGGAATGGGTAGCACAAATGATCGTGAGCTAGATACGCTGAAACCAAACTTCGGGCAAGCTTTTCAGCCGGCAAGGAACTGACATCGGGAGTCAATGCCCCGACACGAGTCCCCGAGCCAAATCTGCGGACCGCATTGTAGTTGTCATCATTCTGCATGCCTCGAACTTTTCCTCGGTTATCTGCCTGGAGCAGACTGGCCAGAAGGAGTCCACTGGTCGACCCCAGGTATTGCCGCTCGCCGCCAGCCCCGAGACTCAGAAATGTGACTTGACTTGTCACTTCGTTACTGCCCGAGCCGCTGCTGTTGATGACTGCTGCCTGCTGACCACTTGAAGCCGATGGAACAGTACTTAGAGGACTGCTTGTGTTTGCTCTAAAGTTGGCCTCGCGTAGCTGACTTGCCAAAGCCTCGTTCTTCGCTTCCATCTGACGAAGCCTTCTCTCCAGCCTTTCCATGTCTTGGCGACGGATTACCGGGTCTTTGGCACTGTAAACGCACTGGGTGTCTGCCTTTATGCATGAAGAGCAAGACGGTTGGACCTTGTCGCAGCGTGCTTTGCGCCTGTGACATCGATCACATGCGGTCTGTTTGGAATTGTCATCCGTCATTGTGTGCGCCGATTTGTGATGGGAAAAAATCGAATTAGACGTTGGCTGCAATCATACCAGCCACACTGCAAACAGACCGAAGCCCATGATCAGAGGAAAATTCGGAAGCAAGATCTTGTAGAGGGCTACAACCCTTCACGGCTCGAGGGTGATGGTGTCGACCGGTCGCTGGATGCACTCAAAAGAAATTCGTCGTTAGGATCTCTTGTCTATGTCGGTAGGTGGATCACATTTGGTACGAGAAACATGGAAGGTTTCCCGGGCAAGGAAGCCCGTGCGGGGGGCCTGGGGAGAATCCTGGCTTAGCTTAGTGATCAATAAATAGGGAAGCAAGAGCCTATCTAGGTCGACGTACGTGGGTGGCAGGCCGGAGATGCCAAAGCTTGGGGGTCAGTCTTACCTCGGACCCCTAGAGGGCCTTTCTTGTCCGGAGTAATGACGTGGCCTTGGGAGGGCTTTAGAAGGCAGCGTTCTCGCTTATATGCTTCACCCTAGTTGTTAGATACGGAGAGTCAAATATACCACCATCATTACCGGCCTCGTCCAAGTACGACTCTGTGCTTTGATTCCCACCACATTAGTATAGTAGTCGAAGCATCGTATTAGAATCGCTGCGCCACTTCTTTCAGAAAAATTGAGCCTCCTCTCAATCACCGTTGATATATCGCCTAAGCTGCCAATTAACATGTCTTAGATCTGACATAGCGTGCTTATTGGTCACATCAGAACTGTTAGATGGCAAGTAAATTAGGCCAATTGATAGTTATGGTCCAATGTGATGTATTGACGAGTCTGTCCTCGCCCAGTAGGAGGGGATCTCTATCAATTTGTATAGTAAAGAGAAGCTTAAATTTTCCTCTGGGTGAGACCTTTTTCGTTGCCGCACCAGCTCTCCCAAGAGAATGTCAATAGGCATAGACCTAGGCCCTAAAACTTGCCATAATAACAGGCGCCCCTCGAGGAGAATCGACATGAGAAGGGCGACTATATGGGCTTGTAGAAAGAGCGTCTTAAGACTAGTAGAAGGCATTAACTTGTTCAAAGACGTATCGGCGGAGTGGGCCGCGGCGTGCTAGGACTCTCCATTCGATAAGAACCGCAGGTGGTTGTGAGCGGCCGTCCGTGGTCTCGATCTTAGAAGCAACGTCAGCGCCAGCTGATCCTTCCTTCAAACCACCACCTGGTATGCGACAGCCATATGCCGTCTTTCAAGCGGTCACCTTTCTCGCGTCAGACCTCGATACTGCAAGTCAATACATATTGGACTTTTTTTTCGGGGAATTCTCCTTCCCTACGGTCGGAGCGAGACATACTCCGAGGAGTGTCGTCCAAGCATGCAATCAGACCTTTTGACCCACTGATCATTCCGCCAATCTCGCCAAGTTCTTGTGAGAAGTGCCCAGAAAGTAGCGCCAAGAAAACCAAGACCTACAGTCAAGAGATTCGCGTGCTGGCGAAGAATATTGCCTGCCAAGAAGTATCTGATAAGTGCGCAGCTTGGACTTGTTTTTTCCTTATTGCTGTTAACCTACGGTTGAATCTGCCCGATTTCTCTATAACCGAGCTAACTCTCTTCCTCAGACTCTGTGCTTCGCCTCTGCGCCCAGCCATTGACACCTCCACCGCTAGCTTGGCGGCCATTGCAGTATTCTTCAGAGCTCACCATGTTTGTCGTGGTTCGTCGACATGCCATTATGGACAATATATGACACTTCTCTCGGCCAATCTTGCTCGTTGTTCGTGGTCCAAGACCTCTCCACGTCCAGATCTGCAAACTGAGAAGGTACATACGTCTCCTTTTGCCTCTGTTCAGTCGATTTCCCCCCAGAAAAGTCGTCTGGGGTACTCTTGGCATCAGGTCTTGCTTTGACACCTGACGGCCGTTCTCTCGGTGAAATTTATCTTGGTGATTCTGCCACCAGGAACACCAGATCATGCATTGAGCAATCAAGTGGAAAATGCTCGCTTCTGCCTACGTCAACTAATGGCCTTGTAGCTGGCATAAATAGGAGCATGCTCTCTCCAATCAACAGAGTACCCGTCTCTGTGAAATCTCATCATTATCTTACTCTTTCCCATTATCATCGTGCGACGGCAGCTTGTTAACACTATGACAGAACGGAGACGCAGTAGCGTTGTGCAAGTTCAACGTGCCGACGATGGTATCGCACGCATCAACGACAGTTCCATTCGGAGACTCAGCGCTATGAACCCGCAAGTTGTCCAGGAGTTTGAGGAGGCCAAAAATGCCGCAAGACATGAACATGAGCTTACCGTTCGAGATGCCTTGAGGCTTTACCCAAAAGCCATCATCTTTTCCATCATCTTCTCTAGCGCTGTCATCATGGAAGGGTACGATCTGAGCTTGATGGGGTCATTTTTCGGCTTCCCGGTAAGTGTTTCATCAGGCTGTGTACCGAGTTGAATCGGCACGACCTCAGCAATGGCCCTTGTCGTACGGCCACGCATCTACTGCGACTGTTACAAAACCATTGTTAACGATGCTGTAGCCGTTCAGAAACTTCTATGGTACCGAAGACAATCCAGATGGTGGGCGAAATATTGGCGCGGCATGGCAGTCGGGCATTCAGAACGGAGTTCAGGTTGGTAGTATCATTGGCCTTTGGCTCAATGGTGTTATTTCGGACAGGTTCGGCTATCGCAAGGTGTGTGCAGCAACTCTCTAGTATGAAATATTTCGGCTGACAAAGACTACGAAGACCATGTTCGGCTCACTTGTCCTGATGATTGCATTCATCTTCCTTCCTTTTTTTGCCCAAAACATCCAGTAAGCTTCAGCAACACCCCTCTTCTCTTCTCGACTCGACTAGATCTCTAACAAATAGCTCTCTAGGACGATTCTTGCTGGCGCAATTCTATGCGGGTAAGTCGACTCTACATCGATTTCGGAAGCTCTTTATTTACTAAGGTTCGGCAGTCTACCATGGGGTGTGTTTCAGGTAAGAACACCTTTTTGTACCTTTTTCAAATAGCTCTTACCGGTGTTTGTGACCGAAGATGCTTGTTCTGGATGTTCATGGAATACTGATCCTTTTTTCGCGCAGACTATTACTGTGACATATGCATCCGATGTCACTCCGGTGGTACTTCGGCCATATCTGACATCCTACGTCAATCTGTGCTGGGTCTTTGGTCAATTCATTGCGGCTGGAGTGCTCCGCGGGTTCTTGAACCGGGATGACCAATGGGCATACCGTGTACCATTTGCCATTCAATGGGTAGGTCGCGTGAACGTCAGGCACCAAATCTCCTTACAATTGCACCAGACCTTTGTCGTCCTCCCATTTCCTCACCACTGACCTCGTTTCCTTAGATCTGGCCACCAATCATTCTGATTGGCGTTGTCCTTGCCCCTGAGAGCCCTTGGTGGCTCGTTCGCCATGGGAGATACGACGAGGCTCGTAAAGCACTCTTAAGCCTCACGAAAGCGTCAAGCGGCATTCCCTTTGATGTTGACAAGCAGCTCTCGATGATCAGGGCCACTAACGAGCTGGAGAAAGCCATGTCGGAGGGCACGAGCTATTTGGATACCTTCAAGGGCATTGACCGTCGTCGCACCGAAATCACATGCATGGTCTGGGGTATGTCTCTCATCCTTAACCTTCTTCATCCAAGGTCTCGTATGCTGATAAGAGGATCTCCAGTGACACAGGCGTTTTGCGGCGCTGCGTTGATGGGTTTCTCGGTCCAATTCTACGAGCGTGCCGGGCTAAGCTCTGAAAACTCGTTCAACTTCAACCTTGGTAAGAAGTCACTTTCCAATCTTCTGCGGCCTGTAGTAGTGCACCGAGGCTGACGTGAGTTGATGTGAAGGACAATACGCCATGGGAGCCGTGGGAACTGTCGGTTCGTGGCTGCTGATGCCCCATTTCGGACGCCGCACGCTCTACCTATGGGGGCTGGGAATTCTCTTTGTGCTACTAATGGTTGTCGGTGGCATGGGCGTGGCCGGCACCTCCAGAGGCCCATCCCTAGCGGCAGGAAGCCTGCTCCTAATTTACACCTTTGTATACGACATCACAATCGGACCGGTCTGCTATGCCCTGGTGGCCGACATACCCTCAACACGCCTTAAGATCAAGACTGTGGTGTTGGCGCGTAACTTTTACAACATTGGTGGCATCATAAACAACACACTGATGCCGCGGATGCTACTGAATACAGAATGGAACTGGGGTGCCAAGACTGGCTTCTTCTGGGCCGGTGCATGCATCCTACTATTCACTTACATGTACTTCCGCCTACCTGAGCCCAGAGGTCGAACCTATGGTGAACTGGACGTTTTGTTCGAAAACAAAGTCAGCGCCAGGAAGTTTCGCACCGCCGAAGTCGACCAGTTCGCCGGACACTCGACAGAGCTTGTGGAGGATTCAAGCGACAATGAAAAGAATGACAAGCGTCAGGTCGAGATTGTCAATTAGCGAAACTCGGAGACTGAGCAGCCAAGTGTCTTTGGTGGCCGCACTGTGAGTGAGCTAAGAGGCCTCGAAGCTCGATGCTCGGGGGGAGGAGGGGAGGAGGGAAGGGGCGCTGGGTGTGGTGAACGACAATAAGGCATCTAAGATGTGGAATATCGACATCATACACTTTGTGAGCGACAATTCTTCGACTCATGCATCGATAACGGGAAAGTACAACAGCAACATAGTGGCGGAAAGGTGTGAAAGCTGGTGCTAGACAGGGAAAACAACGTTAAATTTCTAGTCTTATGATGTGTAGAACACATTCAACATCATTCATCTCTGCGCCGTGGTGCTGGCCAAGGATACACGCTAGCGATTCTTACCAGCCTGACCGTGACGATAGGGCATCCGGGGCAGGAAGAATAATGCGGTCGTTGTTTTAATATATCAGAACTAGTTATGGACCAGGCGCGTAAGAACAGGTATAGTTTTACACAAAGCCATTTCCATCGAAGTTAGTAGCTTTGGACACAGTTCGTCAACGTGTCAATAGAGATTTACGGTCTAGACTATATCCGTTTCAAGCTCGTAAGCTACGTCGTTCTTGTATCTTTAAGGGGGCTTACGCCCTATCGACTGCTAATAGATCTCTCGAATTCTATCGTAGACCAGTCGACAGCTGATTGTGGAGCAACAGCGTCCCTTGCATTTATGGGGTGCCGAGATATAGGCCAGCTATACGAGTGAGAGTCTATTAAGCGTGTTAGACTTCTGTTCTGAGCTGTTGGCGGTGTCAGCGATAGTGTGACTTGAAATACTGACTTCCTACTTTTTGGGTGGTGCGATTGTTATATGGCAGACCCTCTTATTCTCCTCAATTCTGCTCGTTGACGCATCATTGATGGGAATGAGCAATGGCCTCAAAAGATGTGTTCTCTGCCGTCAGCGTTGGTGGTATGGTGGTTGCGTCTATTGTACTGTCCTGTAGACCATCTCATTTGTACTCCGCCCCTTCACCCTGTACTCTTCCATGATATCGTAGTCTCTACTAGGGAAGGAAGATGGAGTGCCGGAATCATTTTACCGTTCACTGGCGAACATGAAAGAGAGACTAGCCGCTAAATATATGTAAGAGCGTGAGCTGATGTAGCGGTCGGAAATAAGTATCTCCGACTAGAATCACGTATCACCAAAGTCTTTGTTACGTCATGCAGTGATTCCACGATGTCCTTTTTGACTGCTGATATTCTTTTCCTTGCTACTGGGTTTTCCAGAATACAGTTTATCTATAATTGGTTTCAGAGATTTCACACTAGGATGTTCTCCGAGATGGTTGTCGAGATGATTCAGGAGAAGCTGCAAGATTCCTCTCACCAGCAGAGCAAGTAACCTTAGGCCCTGGTTGGGCTGATTGGCGTAAAGCCGTCATTGTCTTTTCTTGAAGCTTCACCCGAATACCCCCGACCAATGAACTGACCCAGAAGTCCTCCACTGAGAGGGACGATCCCCGAACAGCCCCGGCAAATCAATGCACTTCTCAACACTTCAGCGGGGCTTCCCCGTGGGCGGGCGAAGAGCCTGGGGACTCTCTCAAGAGTATAATAATCAACATTCCTTCGCTCGAGTATGGATTCTGCTCTCATAGCAGGGACTGCCCACAGAGTTCCGTGTTTAATGCTTGTAGTCTCCCGAGCCTGCAAGTTTCAAACTTGAAAACATCCATCGACATGGAGAAGATTAACCGCTTCAATGTGGTCCATCGCCTGCAAAAGAGAAGACTCCTGGTCGCGTAAGTGAGAGAAAGGACTACCCTTTGGAGGATAATCGCGTAAGCTGACCTGTTGTGCTAGCATCAACTGCGTCGCAGGTCTCTCTATCCTTTTCTTTGGCTACGACCAAGGTATGATGGGAGGCGTCAACACTGCCTACGACTACTATACCTTGATGGGATTTGGCCATCGTGGCCCTGATGGCGGCCCGGTCATTACCGACACTCTTTTGCAGGGAGGAATCGTTTCTGTCTACTACCTGGGCACTCTCGTGGGTGCATTGGTCGGAGGTTCGATGGGCGACCGTTTTGGGCGCATCAAATCAATTTTTGTGGGCGCATGTATCGCAATTGTTGGCGCCACTTTACAATGCTCCGCCATGAACCATTCCTGGATGATTTGTGCTCGACTTGTCAATGGTTGGGGGACAGGCATTCTTAACGCGATCGTTCCTGTGTGGGCAACGGAAACGGCAGAGCACAAATCGCGTGGGCAGTTCGTCGCCATCGAATTCACTCTTAATATTTTTGGCGTTGTCGTCGCTTATTGGCTCGAGTACGGCTGCTCTTTCTACGGCGACGGCCAGAGTTCTTTCGTCTGGCGCTTTCCGATCGCCTTCCAGATTGTCATGCTCATCGTTCTCGCCGCGACGGTCCTGATTTTTCCAGATTCGCCGCGCTGGCTTGTGAAGATGGGTAGGGAAGACGAAGCCCGTTACATCCTTGGTCGACTTCGAGGCGATTCCACTGCGGATGAGAAAGAGCTTGCCGAGGCCGAACTTCAGGATATCATCCAATCCTGTCATTACGAAAGCAGTCATTTTCGCCGACAGACTTATATTCATATGCTCTTCGGCGCACGGTCCGGGAAACTCCATACTGGCCGCCGGGTGCAGTTGGTGGTGTGGCTACAGATCATGCAGGAGTGGATTGGCATTGCCGGTGTCACCATTTACGCTCCGACGATTTTTGGAATAGCCGGGATGAGCCCCTCAAAACGCCAATGGATTGCTGGCCTGAATAATATCTTTTACATGTTCTCCACCTTGATCTGTGTCTTCACATTGGACAAGATTGGCCGGCGATGGACCTGCTACTGGGGATCCATCGGACAAGGGATCGCGATGGCTCTTGCAGGAGGGTTTTCCAGGCTCGGCCAAGACGCCCGCGCTACTGGTAACCTCGATAAAGCTGCTAGTTACGGTAACGCTGCAGTTTCAATGGTGTTCGTATTCACCTTTGTATTTGGTGCGACGTGGTTAACGGTTCCATGGCTCTACCCTGCTGAAATATTTCCCCTGCAAATTCGGGCAAAAGGCAATGCTTGGGGAGTCGTGGGCTGGTCCATTGGAAATGGTTGGTTGACTCTGTTATGCCCTGTGATGTTTCAGGCCCTAGGCGAGAAAACCCTGTACATCTTCGCTGCCTGCAACGCAATTACAATACCCATGGTCTGGGCCCTATATCCGGAGACCAATCAGCGAACTCTCGAAGAAATCGATGTTCTTTTTTCTGCAGACAGTATCTGGAACTGGAATGCTGAGAAAAACTTTGCCAGGCTAAGGACTGCAGGCGAGGTGCCGGAGCGACGCAATTCTGTCTTCACCGACCAAAGACGCCGATCCTCCATGGGCGGAAATTCGTTCAACCAACCTATTCCGTCTAGCAACGACAAGGGGACTAATCAGGAAATTGAAAGCAAGGTGTAGGGGTGCCAGAAGTCCGCGCCTTTTCCTCCAAGATGAAAATGGGTCAGAGAAAAATCTCAGAGGTTTGTTCATCTTGGCGTCCACGAAAGAGCCACACGAAATCTTCAGCAACCTTTATTGGAGCGGCTGATGAATAGAAGTAGGGGGAGCCAGATTGATCTTATAATTTTGTCAGATCCCGACGGATGGGGTTTTGGACGCTGTGTCATTTTGAGGTGGCGTACAAGTGTCAATGATTTCGCGGGAAATGCAAGTGGTGCTGTTATTAAACCTGCTCCTTGCCGGAGTTCATGATTCTCAGCACAATGCAAGATTCCAACCACACCCATTGTATGTGAATCTTTCCCCCAATAGAGATCGTATTGGTGCCATATAGTATAATACTTTTCTTCCGTGGGGTGTTTCAAGCCTGAGCTAGTGACGTGCAAGGTTGTTTGGTTGGGTGCGGCTCGCTCTCCCTCCGCAGCGCGCAAAATCGATTACCTCGGACCCTCGTAGCGGTCTAATGCGATGTCATTCGCAACCCCGCAGCGGAACTGCTTGCCATGAAAAGGCTTATTCCCTCGTCAGTAGGACCACCCAAGATTCTTTGAAGATACTCAACGGTGATATGCTTTCCTCACCAGCTAGCGAAGATGCCGGGAATACTAGGAGCAAACGGAAGATCCCTCCGCTTGCCAATTCCACCACGCTCAGGGGAGCATGGCCCCGAAAACGTGCATTCGTTGCATGCCAGCTCTGTCGGGCCCGGAAGACAAAATGTGACAATGCTCGTCCAACCTGTGGAAGCTGCCAACAGCTCGGTTCAGCTTGCAACTATCCCGACCCGAGCCTAGAACAAGCATCGTAGGTTTTGGCCTATTGCCTTGTGGCCGTTTGCTCACGACCTAAAGGTTTGACCCGGCCAGTTTGACTATCCTCGATCGACTTAACTATTTGATCGGTATCGTTGAATGTGAGCAAAAGCCCCGCATTCGCGGCGGCCCAGATACTACGGTTCCATTGCGAAGTACCACTTCGGCGAGCTTTGATCCTGGACAAGACTTCGCAGAGGTATATTGCACACCAGACGCGAACTCTTCTGGCCCTACGTCTGCAGCTACAACAAACATCAGGACGACTCTACGAACGTGGCCAAGTCGCAGTGCCGATGGACCTTCTCTTCCACATATCTTCCATGGATCTAGCGAGGATATATTGGACTGGTCGATGTTCCATTTGAACCATGCCCGACAAGAGATTGAAAAGCTCATTTTTGATGAGACCATGCGTTCGGAATGTGAAAGTCCCAATTTTGCGACTTCCCCCGCTAGTGCAAGCCTAGATCCTCGAAGCCAATCTAGCTCAGGCCGTGGAATCCGAGAAGAGGACGTCCGGGATCTTGTAGAGAGATTCCTGACCAACGTCCACATCAAGAACCCTATATTGGAACCCGACGATCTTAGAGAAGTTGCAAATTCTGTGGCAGGCGATGGTTTCAGCTGGGACGCTCGGACGTGCCTCGTGGTAGGTCTGCCTTACTGTCTTTTGTGGAGCACGATATTAACATGGGTGCGAGCTTTTGGCTTGCGCGTGTGCAGCGATATCGCAACCCTTTGTTCGAAGGCCAATTACTGCGCGTGCGGTGAGTGATAGCATACTAGACACCGCAGATTATACTACGGCAGAAGCATATTACAACGCCGCACGGAAGCGTGTCGGTCTTCTGACCAACACAAAGTTGGCCACGGAGTGCCATTTCCTTACGGGTGTATATGAAATGTACTCGATGCGCCCTCTTCGAGCATCAATTTCCTTTAATCGCGCCTGCGTTGCTTTCCAGACCCTGACCTGGATGAGGTCTGAGTACTACATTGATACCGGCCGGCTAGAGAAGTCTCAGACAAGTCGTCTGTACTGGTCGTGTCTGAAATCAGAACAGTATGTCCTTCCCGTCGACATTTCTCTCACCAAACGCTAACACGGACATGACTCTCAGTGAGATCATGGTGGAATTGCGCTTCCCTGCATCCGGACTCACCACGCTCAATTACACCCAGGCATTTCCCTTGCCACCTGGATTGACCTCCACGTCGGAGACTGCAAGCTCATGGCACGTCTCGGACGACCTTCGCGCTAACTACGTGAAGCCAGGCGACGGGGAGCCTCAGTTTCAAAAAATGTGGTACTACTATCTGGCAGATATAGCAGTTCGTCGCATTTTACAAAGAGTCTGCGATTGCTTTTACCGTTCATCTCACCATGCCTGGTTGTATCAAAATATCTCATATATGATGTGGTCAGCCCATGAGTTGGATCAACAAATAACGCAATGGTAAGCGTGATGGCTCTAGATGCTTGCTCATTTACTAATGTCACAATTGTTCTTGCAGGCGGGAGAATTTGCCCCCGCTAGTCTCATTTGAGGATGATTTATTCGCCAACGATGAGTTGAGTTTCCATTTGCAGGCTCGCTTCGCTGAGGTCAAAGAACGAATATTCCGCCCATTCCTGTATATTATGGTTCACCGTCCAGCGTCTGGATCAGAGGAACCGGTTCAGCGCCAACTTGTGCAGAAACACATATCTGCCTGTGTCCACTTGATTCGGCATTGGAATGTGACACATCGACATCACGGGACTTGGCTGATGGTACGTCAGAGCTTTGCTGCAGGGTTGCTTCTAGTTGCTGCACGTCGATCAGGTCTCACTGTTGGTGAGATATCCGACACGGACTTTATGGACCTGATGCGGACCTGTATAGCAACTCTACAATATTGGGAGCACGAAGCGCCAGATCTAAGAGCATCTCGGCTAATTCTGGAAGATATAATGGCTAGCCTGTCGAGCTAAAGCCTCAATTCTGAGTTCTTAAGTATATATTAACAAACCCCATTAATAGGTAACAGCTCTTTGTCACAAGCCCGACCTATATTTTTCCCGTATACCTAGCTCCAAATTACTCTCTGAAGTATAGCACTCTCAATGTTTTCGTCTTTATTCTTCTTTTTCTTTTTTTTTTCCTCGTTAGTATTAGTTTTTGCTTCACTATAGATATCACTACATCTATAAATTTCTTAACAAACAAGAAGTATAAAAGAGATAAAATTAATGAAAGTGTATAGAATAGAGCGAGTCTATTTTTATATTTCGCTCCATATATGATATTATAGTATATAAGATTTTCTACATAAGTGGGAAGTATTAAAGAGAAGGTTTGAGAACAATATTACAATTTAGAATCTAATTGCAGGTTGTATACAAAGCTGTGACGATAGTCGAGAATCTACAAGAAAGAGAGACTGTCGAGAGCCGCGACCCGACCCAGAGAAATTGATCTAAGATATCACATAACCAGCTCCCACATACACGTGGTGTCTGCTGGGATCCCTCAAAGAAACAGTCCAGCCGCCTTTGAGTATTAGGAGGGACTTATTAGCACTTTGATTCTCTCGTGTTAACGACGCCTTACAGAGCCGTGAAAAGCAATGTTTGCATTTCAAGAGACACTCGACATAATAGCTCTAGTATGCGGGAAGAGGCTTACGATTCTCTCATGTACGCCCACAAGGCTGTGCAACGAACTCGCTGCATCGCTCCAAAGGGGCGTATTAACAATGTCTCGTCCTCTGGGGATAGGCATGAGAGAATGTTGCGATGCAGGATAGGTATTGACGGGTATCTTGACTTGAACACTATCTTGATTGAGGTAGCTGATGCTTAAAGGCTCTAAAGTGACTGCATTAAACTGAACAGACTCTATTGTCGCAGTAAATTACCGGGGGTGATTCGTCGTGGTAGCGCATTCAAGTCATCTAGTGAGGGTGATATTAAGTCCTAAAGTAGCTCACCCCCTGTAAGCACTCTCTTCCAGACTTAGGTGTCTCACGACGCAAAAAAATGCGACGCTTAATGCACCGTAATAACAGTGCATCTCGACACAATTTCCGTGAACTTTGATTTCTCTTCTCATGCCGCTCGGAAATGCTCGGTTGCGGAAATCGGCGCCTGGCCTACACATCGTGGGGATCTTCGGGTCGGATAATGGGGAGCCTTGTAATTCCGTACACTGCCGTTAGTTCTAGCGCTATTTTGGAGTTTGTCTAACCCTTACCCTGTGGGTGCAAAGGGATGCGAATATAATCGGCCTAGAATTGTCGAAACTGCAAACCCTTTCGTATACGAAGTCATGCTGATCGAGAAATCTGACGGCAAGCCTTGGAAAGCCGCTAACTTAATTGACACTAAAGTCCCCTCGAATCAGTAGGTCTTCGATACAGTATAGAGTGTGAACCATTCTCTTAGGCTATATTAACTGGCCTCAGTACCCCCTTGTAAGGCTGATCTGTTAGTAGATGGTCCGGTTTGTTAAGGCGCCACCGCCTCTACTAACTAAGCATGACGTCTGGAATAGGACGTCTATAGAGCGCCTTCTTAGACCCTTTCCTAGATCTCGTGTTTTCGTGAGACGCACCTACTCTATCAAACTAGAACGTGATGTATAGCTATGCGAAAAGGCGGTTCTTCATTATGAGTCTGTGGATATCTCACGCTCGAGATAAGAATCATTCTAGTGGCGTAGCTAATAGCAGGGATGTAACCTAACTTGAACACACCTAAAACACAAGAATCTTCACATTGCTTCGCTATTACTCCACATTTCTATCTTCTTAACTAGGCACTTATGAAGTTCGGAGTTATGCCATGCTATAGATGCTTTAAAAATATGTTACATAATTACAAACAGCACTTGATGGGTCTAGTCCAAGTATCCTAAGTAGGACTGGTGCCCTTAATCCGGAGCGACCTTGGTACCTTGGAGTTCACAGTAGCAAATCGTGGCATCTAGTAAAGCACATTCGGAAATCGGTAGGTTTCCGATGAGGAGATTCCCGTCTTTGCCAATCACCTCCTAATGCAAAACTGTACACGCAATGAAAGGAAAAGACGATTCCAGTGTTATTCCACATTGATCTTTGCATGGTTTATAAGTCGCTCTGCGTGCAAAAACGGAAATAATTACTCAAACTCCGGTTCATAGCACACTTCTCTTTCACTAAAAGGTACAGCCAATTCACTCCACGAGTATTACAATGGAAGTCACTTATTCGAGTCTGAAGGGTAAGGCCTTCGTGGTGACCGGTGCGGCCTCGGGGATGGGCAGAGCAATTGCATTGCGGTTGGCCGAACAAGGCTCCAATGTTGGCCTACTCGACGTGAAGAAGCCTACTGAGGTGCAGGAGACAATATCGAAGATGGAAGGAGGTGCTTCTTCCGTTGCCCTGGCAGTTGATGTGACCAAGGCCAGCGAAGTGGACGCAGCCATAAAAGCCGTCCATGATAAATTCGGTCGCTTGGACGGAGCGGCCAACATGGCCGGTATTGTGGGAAATAGAAAAATGGGCGATACAGGTTATGCTGTCGAGTCAATCACCGATGAAGACTGGGATGCTGTCATGAAGGTCAACTTGGACGGTGTTAAGAACTCGATGAGGGCAGAGCTTCAACTCATGTCTGACTCTGGCTCCATTGTCAATGCCGCATCCATGTCTGGCCAGCAGCCTAATCCCTGGCGAGCTCACTATGGAACATCCAAATGGGCTGTGATCGGATTGACCAAAGCTGCAGCCGGGGAGGTGGGGGGAAAGGGAATTCGCGTCAACGCTGTTGCACCGTAAGATCAGCTGCCTCTGAGACCGATTTCCTAATCATCTAAAAGCTGACTCATTCACAGTGGAATTGTTAAGACACCTCTGACGGAAACTTTGGGGCAAGAAGCGATGGCGAACTTATTCTCCTCAAGAATTTCGTTAGGTCGCCTGGCTGAACCCGACGAGGTTGCCAAAGTTGTGGTATTCTTACTCAGTGACGTTCCCGGATATGTGACTGGCTCGGTGAGCAAATCGTCGTATGCTCTCTGATTTCCATTCTGACCCTTGACTTCTAGGTCGTGAACGTCGACGGAGGTTGGCTGTAGGAAGGAACGAGTATCTGAATTAGACTAGAGCTAGGTATTGATCGTGGATTTCAACATGCTTCACAGCACTAGTCATGCCGCAGAAAATGAGACCTCGAGCAGAAGGAGATATACCTTGCAGCATGTTCAGAGTATCATTTGTGCTGATGGATAGTACAGTCCTAAATGCAGTAGTACTCTACATGGAGCATAATTACAGAAGTAGACCTGTGTCATCATGGACTTCGCAACACTATGGTATTTGAGGATGGGTATTCCGCCCTTCAACTCATTTGTGCAGGTGGTTTGCCTTGAGATGGAAATTACTTCAAGATCCCTAGCTGGAGAAATCTCTACGATACCGAAGGCACAAATCCACTCAATCCGCACAAGCAGGGGGCTGGATGCCTTACATTCATCATGAAAGTGTTCAGAGGCCAAATCCGTGGTTCGAAGCTATAAACATCAGAAATTTTTCAGCCTGGGTTGAGCAGACATTATGGTAGCACTCAAAACATTGTATCGTTTCCCATCTTGCCTCGCAAGGTTCCCACGAAAGGCAAGTCACATTTCAGTAGCCAGTCCTTCCACGAACGGCTCCATATGCAACACCACCTTTCCTAAATATCGTCTTCAGATCGTTTGCCAGAAACTGAGGATTCTCCCAACCAGGGAAGTGACCTCCAGTATCTCCATCTGATTGGTGAATGACATTTCCCATCTGATGGGACCATAGTTTTGGACATCTGATGATTTCCCCAGGGAAGTGTGCCACGGCATACTTGACAGTAGATACCCGGCCTGTTCGCACGGTTTCAACATCGGGATCTGGATCATGTGCAAATTCATAGTAGATGCGGACATTTGCTTCCGGGCCAGCAGTTGAAAACCAGTATATTGAAATCCAAGTTATCAGCTCTTCGTCTGTCCAGGGATAGTTGTCAGACCAAGTGTAGAGCTTTTCGACAATCCATCCAAGCAGGGCGACTGGACTGTCTGCAAGGGCGTAGCCTAGAGACAGGGGCTTGGAACATTGTAGCGTTAGGTACCCCAGCTGTGTTTCATTGTACTCTTTCGCCTTCTCCAATGCCCGTAAATCGGCAGCCGACTTTGTCGTCACAAGATCCTGGAGATAAAGCAGTGGATTCTGTCGAAATGAGGGCGGTCCAAATGGCGCTGAAGTCACATGCGATGCTTTGCAGTGAGACGGGTATAATCGACCCATCATCCGAGTGATGAAATAACCCCAATCGCCGCCATGGGTGACTGAAGGAGGTGCACTATTAGTCGAAAGGATATTTGGTATAATGACAAAGAGGTGTTCAGAAATAAAGGGAGCGTCGTACCGTACTCGTCGTATCCGAGGCTGATCATAAGCTTATGACAGACTTCCGCGTATTTTTTGATCCCAAATCCTTTCTTTTGCACGGCCGACGAGAAGCCAAAATTCGGGAGCGAAGGCACTACCACGTCGAATGCGGGGCCGCTACCGTCCTTGGAAGTCAGCATTTCGAGCACCTTGGTGCCCTCAAGATACAGTCCGGGCCCTTTCACACGTTAGTATCGTTGATTTGCCTATCCTGGGCGGGAAAGCACTTGCAGCCGTGAACAAATATCAGTGGTATTGCTCCAGCCACGTTGCTTTTCTGGTACACAAAGTGTACATCTAGAGGCTCAAATCCACCACTGACCTGGATCTTCCGTCGGTATTGAGGGAATCTGTTGAGTTCATTTTCTTTAGCCCGCCAATCGAATCCGTTAATCCAGTATCTGACGAGCTGGCTGATTTTGTCTGGTGGAACACCGCATTCTCCGCCTTTTCCATCGGTGTCCCGGGCGATTATAGCGCCTTCCAACTTTGCTTTTAAAACTTTCAGCTGTTCGTCGCTGACAGAGATGGAGAATGGAGTCAGATCACCTTGGTCACCGTCCATGATATAGAGGAACCGGACAATACACGTCCTCGAATTGTGAGAGGATATCGAGAGGCTGCAAAAAGAGTTTCACAAAGTGTATAAAGTGATCCTCGCAACAAAATGAAACTGGAACTAGGCAAATGTTTAGCGGATATGTTCTTTCTTATAGTGATATGCTAGGGTTAGAGGGACCGGAAGACAAATCCGGGAAGATGTATTTCCGTTGTGGCAGAGAACCGAGTTCATAATTTTAACCAATAGATCCAAACCCTCCCAATTTTCCGTGACCACAGCTGCTAATCACGCAGAAGTTTCAAATTATAGCAGATGAAATGATCTCTCATCCCAAGTGACCTGTTAGCTAGGTACGCCTAGAATCTCCTTAAATTCTCATGAAGAAGCTCGCCAATATGTATCTGAGGTTCCAATGACTATGCTTGTATCTTGTTGATCGGCTTCGACATATCGCGTGGAAGATGATTAAGCATAGGCTGACCACCAAGGACACCCTTGAACACCCACAAACGTGCTGCATTGCTACACCAAGGCAAGACGTAGTTGGCAACAATTCGTGAAAGCAGGGTCCTCTGGCCTTCAAATCGAACGGCTTGGCATGAGAGGTTATAGATGCGTGTCAACCGTTTGAGGTGTTTTGTTCGATACGCCTGGAAAGCCTTGTCAAGTGTGTCCTGGCTGGGTGACCCTCCATGTCGCTCGTCTGTCGAGTTTGGAGACAAGATCGGATAGAGCTCGTTTATCAAGTGCACGATTCCTTCTACAGCGCACATTGCGCCTAGGCCTGCGTTGACGCTCATCTGGACTCAGTCAGCAAGTTCTGGAAACCTCGGTCCCAAAGACGACCACGCATCATTCGCTCTACTAACCTTGTGAATGGCATCTCCGACCATTACCACTCTCCCACGACTCCATTGATCAATGATTCCCTCCTCCTGGGACACGAGCGTACCTCGCACCCGGGCGTTCCAAGCGTCTCGGATGGTCCAGTCGCCGCACATTTTTCGGTTCGACCACTGCTGGACGAATTCTTCAGCGTCTTTCTCTGTATATCGAGGCGACCGAATTCCCTGCACCGGATCCGTCCTTGTCCAAAGGAACCAGAAGAACAGGCCTGGCTGTCCTGAAACAGCAGTTGTCGAGTTGTCACGACCGTACGTCCAGTAACTTTCACCAGCCGGCATTGGGCACTCCTTGTCGTTCGTTCGCGAGATGCAAAACAAGCATTTATACTCAGTTAGGAACCCCGGTTTGCCTACTTGAAAGTAAGTGGCTCGGTCAGCAAGGAGCAGACACTGATTCGTACCATTATTGGTCGTCTCCAGTTTGGTGCCTGATCCTGGCTCTGCCTCCTCGGCCTTTTTCTTCATAAGTCCACGAACAGTGCTGTGAATACCATCCGCGCCGATCAGAATCGTGCCTCTATAATTACTGCCGTCGCTAGTATAGACAGTAATGCCCTCATCATCCTCAATGTAGTCGACGATAGCTTTGTTGACGAGCACCTTTGATTTGTCCCGGACTTTGTTGTACATGGCGGTGATGAAGTCACATCTTTGAATAAAGACAGCTGGGTAGCCGAACCTGGATTCATTAACTCTCTGGCCAGATTACTCCATATAGAGACCACTACCTCGCGGGATGCTCCGATATAACAGTGATATCGGACTCGACTACATTGCCCCTATTGTCAAATGCCTGTGCATGAGCCAATGGAGTCGAAGGCGCTACCACGGCCTCATAAAGACCAAGCTGGTCAAAAATGCTATTTCCGTGCGGGTGGCACCCCACTGACGCACCCAACTGAGGACCGATTTCAGGGCCGCGCTCCAAGACAAGGAAGTCGATATTAGCAGATTGTAGAGCCACGGCAAGGAATTGACCTGAGATACTACCACCTGCTATCAAAACTCGAGGTTTCGGAGCACTTTCCATGTTGGGCGTCTAGATCCAATACTCGACTGGAAGCATACGCTCTAGGCAAGTCTTCAGCCGATTTTCCAACACCAGAGGTCGCATGGGGTGTTGTTATAGGTCAAGAACCGCTAGCTGGAGCTGCCCAATAGTCTAACGTTGCGACATAAACTAGAGTTATTCATTTATCCGGTTCTCCGATTAACCATTCTCCGGCATTGTGGTAGGTGGGCTGATCGAGTCTCGTGATCTCGAACGAGGGAAGACATTCGACAGTACTACCAGGGAAGCCTCGGAATTAGTAGCGCCTGCCGATTGGTGCGGGCAACGCAGGAAATTCTGAGAGGAATACCTCCTGTAGTGGAGTAAGTCCGCGCCGGGGTAATTGATACGGAATTCATCAATTAGCGTGTCTTTACCTGGAACCCGTGCTAGGTTTCCATGGATTGCCTCTATATTCGTACCATTGTACTGGAGCCACACATGGTATAATTGTTCCTTAGCTTTTGCAATAAACATCGACTTGAGCCGTCGGTGGGAGTGAAATTCAGCTTTCATTGTTTGGTGCGATCAGATTGTAATAATCTTTTGCTCTCAGTCTTTTGAGAGAATTACGTATCAGCTACCATGACTGAACCCGCAGCAGCTACCATGGGCCTCGACATTTCTGAGAAACAGTCTCAACAAGATCGCAAGGAAGCAAATGGATTGACTGAGAAGCTTGTCAACGGAGCCACATCTTCGGCCGAAGTCCTTGCTAAGTACCAGCAAGAACGGGACAGACGCTTACGGACTGATGGCATGAATCAGTACATCGCCCCATCTGCTTCAGATCGGTTGAAACATTTTCAAAACGACCCCTGGGTAACTTCAAGCACCCCTAACCCAGGCCTTGACAAGGTCAAAAGTGGCGATCGTTTCACAGCTCTTATCGTCGGTGCAGGGTTTGGAGGCATGCTCTTCGCCGCTCGCCTTTTGGACGCTGGAATCGATGATTTCGTTCTCGTTGATACAGCTGGAGGCTTTGGCGGGACCTGGTGTAAGAACTTTCGCCGCCCCTTCTGAAGGCTCAACCACTCACTGTATTCTAGACTGGAACAGGTATCCGGGTTTGATGTGTGATGTAGAGAGCTACATCTATTTACCCCTTCTGGAGGAAATGGACTACATCCCAAAGCAAAAATATTCGACGGGATTCGAGCTCCGACTCTATGCGGAAAGCATTGCCGAAAAGTACAAACTTGCCCCAAAGACTATCTTTCAGGTCAAGGTCGAAAAACAGACCTGGATTGAGGATAGGGGTGAGTGGGAGGTTGAGTTGCATCGGATAAGCGAGCAAAGTCACGACGTCATCACAGTCTACGCGAGTGTGGTCATCTCGAGTACAGGCATCCTGAACTTGCCGAAGATGGCCAACCTCCCCGGGATTAACGACTATGTTGGCCAGAGCTTCCACACTTCCCGGTGGGACTACAATTGTACTGGGGGTGGCCAAGCAAACCCAGACATGGTGAATCTCCGAGGGAAGAGAGTTGGCATCATTGGGACCGGTGCTACTGCTGTCCAGTGCGTTCCACAGTTGGCCAAGTGGGCGAAAGATCTGTACGTCTTTCAGCGGACGCCATCAGCGGTTGATGTGCGCAACAACAAGACCACAGACATTGAATGGTTCAATCGTGAGGTGAAGGCAGGTGGTAAGGGCTGGCAGAGACGGCGGGCGGAAAATTTCAATTCCTGGATTTCCGATACACCTACAGAACAAGACATGGTTGACGATGCTTGGACCAAAATGAGAACCTTCTCCGTTTTGGTGGGCAGGCCAACGAAGATCGAGGATATTCCTGCATATATCGCTGAGAGGCAGGCAGTTGATCTATCGCGTCAAGAAAGAATCCGTAAACGGGTCGACGAGATTGTTAAGGACGTGGCTACCGCGGAAAAGCTTAAGCCATGGTACCCGGGCTGGTGTAAACGACCTACTTTCCACGATGACTATCTCCCTACATTTAACCGACCAAATGTCCATCTCATTGACACCATGGGCAAAGGTGTTGAGCGAGTGTCAAAAGCAGGCCCAGTTGTTGACGGAGTTGAATACCCTGTCGACATCTTGATATTCAGCACAGGATTTTACACTCCCGCTGGTGACAGTCCAGCCGCCAGATCGAATTCAAAGATCTACGGTCGAAACGGCATATCTTTAGACGATCAGTGGAAAGAGAAGGTATCGACACTTCATGGTATCATCACCTATAATTTCCCGAACCTGTTCTTCCCCGGACCGCATCAGGCCGGTGCGTCCGCGAATGCCGTGTACCCCCTCGACTGGCTATCTGAACATATCGCCTACCTCCTATCTCATGCGAAGAGGTCATCAAAGAATGGAAAGATCTTTATCGAACCAACCGAGGACGCTTCTGAGGAGTGGTCCCAGCAAATTGTCGCTCGAGCTGCCGGGTTTGCCGCGCTTGGTGGTTGCACACCCGGCTATCTGAACGCGGAGGGTGAGGCCGACAAGCCCAAGAGTATGGAAGAGACTATGAAAGGAGCTCGAGCTGCCATGTGGGGATTCGGCGTTGCAGATTACGTGGACAAGGTTAACAAGTGGAAAGCTACTCAAAAATTTGAGGGTTTGCACTTCCAGCCACCAAGCGCAGCTGCATGATGCATTGTTTCATCCAGTAGAGAAGGGCGATAGAAGCTACAGCGTAGCACATTTGTAAATAAGAACTCATATTTTCAGAGAGAAAGATAAATACAATCAAGATGATCATCCTATTACAGTGGAAGTTACGAAGCGGCGCTTTGTCCCGGAATTTCCCCTACGGAATAACAATAGACTGTACCGATCTCTCTAGGACTGCTCCTATTGGGTGAACCACATTTACGAAGAACTGCGTACATATAACAAGCACTAGAGCGACGCACTCACACCCGTGTCCATCAGATGCTGCAACCTGCTGCAACCTCACCATAAATCCCCACCAATGGCGGACCTTACTCCCGTCATCATCGGTGTTGGAGAGATTGTCAATAGGTCTCTCCAGCTTTCAGATGGAGTTGAGCCAGCCATATTGATGATCCAGGCAATCAAGAATGCTCTCATGGATACTGGCCTTAACCCTCCCATACAAGCCAAGCTTAAGGCGACCATCAATAGTATCGATGTTGTAAGATCCTGGACCTGGCCGTACGACAACCTCCCCGGACTTCTGGCCTAACGTCTTAGCCTCAATGCTCATCACAAACGATATTCAGCCCATGAGGGCCATCATCCATGCCAGTTTGTCAACGAAGCCTAACAATATACTTCAGCACTTTTAGCCTAATCATCATAGTAAATTTTAAGAATTCCTCTAGTCTTAGCACACTTTTAGGCCAAACAGTGTCTAGCCAAATAGCGCTAATTTTTTTTTAGCGCTGTTTAGTCTAATTATACTTTTTTACTTATAATACTATTTAGCCTAATTATACCCTTTTTTAGCGCTATTTAGCTTAATTATACTTTTATATTAATGCTATTTAGCTTAATTATACTTTTATATTAATACTATTTAACCTAATTATACTTTTTTACTTATAATACTATTTAGTTTAATTATACTTTTTTCACTTAAAGTATTATTTAGCTTAATTATACTTTTTAATTTATATAAAATATTATTTAGTCTAATTATACTTTTATAGTAATATTATTTAGTCTAATTATATCTTTTTATATAAAGTATTATATAACTTAATTACACTTTTTATTAAGAGGACTAGGTTATATCGTAATAGGGAAGGGTATAGCGTAATAGGCCTTTATTAATGAATGACTAGCTAAGTAATAGCTAAATAAGGACTTAGAGAGCTTAAGGAGTGAAAGCCTATGAAGGAAGGTAAAGACCTCCTTATATAGACCTAAAAAAGAGTCTATATAGAAGGCTTTAGAATAGAATAGATTATTAATTATAAATTAATAGTCTTACCATGCTCAGCCTTACGCAGTGTGCTCAGCCTTACGCAGGTTAACTGGTCAATACTTTTAACTTAGAATAGTTAATATAGTTAACACTTTTTAACTTATATAAAATACTATTTAAATTATTTATATATTTTCACTTATACTTTATAGTTTTTACTTTAAATAAGAACTTTTATATATAATATAAAAGATTTAAATTATAAAGTAAGTATTTAAATTAAACTTTTTTATTTTATAACTAAAGTATAATTAATATAATATAATAAAGAGTTTAAATTATAAAATAAATATTATATATAATCTTTTTTAATTTATATAATTTATATATAATAATATAATATAATAAAGAGTTTAAAGTATAAAGTAAAATATTATATATTTTAAAGTATTTAATAATAAAGAATCTTTTATAAATAATAATAATCTTTATATATTAAAAAAAGATTAAATATTATTAAGTTTAAATATAAAGTATAGTTTAATATAAATATTTAAATATATATTTAAAGAGCTTTATTAAAACTAGTATAACTTAATATTTTTATTATTATTATTTTCACTAATATTAATTAAAAAAGATAGTATTCTTTCTTTCTTTAAACTAAATATTAATCTCTTTAAATTTATTATTATAAAAGATAATTTATTACCTAAGTCTATATCCTAGGGCAAAGGGTGCCGTTTCGCGACGACGTCTGTAGCCGCTTTTGCGATCCCTTTTCACCGACTAGCTTCATATTACAAATTAGGCCTCTTATGAGGTCGCAGACAAAGCTGTGACAACAGCCGGTCGGCGTTAATACGTCCGAAACACGTGAAAGCCTAAGGGCGTGGTCACATGGCAGAAGTGGCTCTCAGAACTCTAAGGAATAAGGCCACAGAGCCCAGGGAGCTACAGGCTCTGTCAGCTCTCCTAGCTCCCACTACAGAGCCCTTAGAGCCGGAGAGAGCCCAAAGAGATTAAACGGTTATATATACACGGTCATTACATAGCTTTACTATATAGTCAACTTCATTCACGATCATACCCATACGTTTTAGTTGTGATCACTTCGCTCTTATACTCGCTCAAGTACCGCACTCTCAGTGACCTCACCTCTTATACTTCCCACCTATCAAGACCATACGTCTTGTGACACCCTGTATGAAGCGAAACGTAACACTTTAACTACCTCTTAATCGGAAGTATTCAACACAATGTCCGCCTCGAACCCTAAATCAGTTTGTTCACCATCTCCAACTGGGTCGGTCCGCTCCAGCGCCCTAACCCTAGGCCTATTATTCTATAGCATCACCACTCAAGGGGGCTACAATAATAACAAGGATAATAACAAGGTTAATTCGTTCTACGGGGACCGTGCTAAGCTTAGGTTATTTATCACTTAGCTCATTATGACCTTTAGGTTAAATCGAACCAAGTATGCCACTTAGGAGAATAGGGTCTTATTCGCAGGACTTCACATAAAGGGCTCAGCCTTCCATTAGTTTGAACCCATCATGATGGATCACTTAACCTCACCTTAGGCACAAAAGGACCTAGAGACTATTGCAATCTTCGAGAACTTCGCTGTTTTCGTGGATCGCATCAAACAGATCTTTAGAACCCCTAGAGAAGAACAAGCCGCGTCTCAGCGGATCCATCAGCTCAAATAGACAGGCTCGGCAGCTTAATACTATGCGCTATTTAAGCGACTTCAGGCCAAGTTAGACTAAGAAGACAACGCGTTCGCTGCAGCCTTCTACACTAGATTAAAAGACGCCGTGAAAAAAGAAATAGGACTAGATAAACCTATAAACTATAAAGAACTAGTTAACTAAGCCATTAAAATCAATAATTAGCTCTACGAACTAAACTTAGAACGCAAAGGTTACCGCGGAAAGACTAGCGGCACATACTACAAAAGTAGCCGCCTAAGCTACCAGTCTTATAGTGACCCAATGAACCTTAATGTCATGGAACAAGGCCGGTCCTCACAGCCAAAGGGCCACTTCCAGCGTAAGGGGCCATCCAATAAAGAGCGAGAGCGACGAAAGAAAGAAAACCTATGCTACAATTATGGAAAATCCGGACATAGGGCTAGAGAATACAGTACAAAGCCCATAGAACTGCACATAATGGAAGAAATAGCCGGTATTAGAGAACAAAAGGCTGACACTTTAATAAAAGTATCAGAACTTAAGCGCTAATTAGAAACATTCACGGAAGGTGTTAGCGAAGTACACCGCCTATACAATAAGAGGTAGCGATACTATTAGACTCTTCGCGACTCCTTAGATAAGAAGGATATCATTAAAAAGGCTAGCCACACCGAGAAAGCACAGAAGGGAATGCCTAAAGGGACCCAGGTAAAGGGAGCAACTCCACTATCACCATCAGAACATAATGAAGAGGTTGCCACAACTGCGGGAACCTTTCCTAACCCAAAGGAACAGGATAAAGAAGCTAACAATAAGACTGATGACAAGGCTGCACACGCACTCTTATCCTAGACTACTTACTATGACGACCACTGCCCTATCTACCTTTCCGATAAAGAGGGATTAGGATGGTTTCCTCACGAAAGAAAGCGCAGAAACTATCACAGTAAGGCACGAAAGATAGAGAGCGCTAACTAAGAAGACCCTAAGGAATTAGCCATAATAGAAGCCGAAGGGCCTCCACTGTGAATTATAGATACCAGGGCACCCGACGATAAAGACAAAGAATTCATTCTCGTGAAATTAGGAATTATAGCTACTACAGGGTAATAGATAACGTTACTATATACCGATAAATATTGAGTTATATCAAACTACGACGATATCGCAGTACTAGTAACAAAGTACTGAACAGACGTACCATGCACACAATACTGCTGTGCTGATTACACAACAGTACACAGAAGGATTAACTCATGAGAAGACCCTAAGATCAGGGAGGACCTGGTTCCCATCATAGCGTGCGAGAGCTTAATATGTACCACACCGGTACACACGCACGATGTGCTAAGGGAAGACCGTTACGAGTTCCCGTTCAAAAGAAAGAACGGACCAGACTAAGGCTCTAAGGACTCTAACTCGCTATATAACACCGTGTTATTCCACAGCTATTATTATGTAGTTATTAAGACCACCAATTAAGTCTACTACAAGGAACAGGTGCCAGGAACTAAGTCAGTAACCAACAGCTACCGCCTAGATCACACCACAGAACAGAAAGAAGCACAAGAAGTTCCTATATAGTGATATTTTGAGTGTAAGGGCCTTAAACCCCACACACATCAAACCAGCACGAAGTTGCTATACTTCTTTCCGTTCAAGGAAAAGGAAAACCTCACACCATAAGAGATTAATTAAGACATTACAGGGCATTATTACGAAAAGAAGAAGACACCAAGAGTAATGATAATCAGTACACACTACTGGTTAACCACACTAACTAGAAACATACGATTCACACCTTATAGTAACCCCAATTAAAGGTGGAAGATAATGGCTCTTAACATGTGTTAAGACAAGCTATACCTGCATAGAAGAATGTATATATATAAAGTGTATAGGAGTGAGACGCACTACCCGCTTAACGACGACTCAAATAAAGAAGAAGAGTTTATAATAGTTAATTCCCCGGATAAGGAAGACAACCCAGTCAAGTTCATCATGCGAAGTATAACTAAGACGTATTATGTCATTATAACGCTATACTAAAAGCCAGTTCTGTGCCAGCGACCACACTATCTATATAACGCATAGCACTACCATACTATGTTTAATCCAGAAGTGAGACTAAGAACACCACACACAATACAGGTTAACCTATGCAGAGATATGCAGTGCCCATTTACGCCAGCATTATATACGCACGAAGAGGGAAGCACGGAAAAGATAGACATTAAAATACCGCTAGAAGTTCTCCAGCGAATTTATGGAAAGGAGAATACGGACATAAACGATATGCTAAAAAACGACGGAGAGGAGTCCTCTTAAGGCAAAAGACCCCTCAACGGAAGAAGCCTTAGGCTAGATAATTTAACATAATATAGACTCAGTGTTTAACGCCATTAGTCTTCAGCGCCAAACTAGCTAATAAGCCTATATAGATAATGATTAACTATGGAGCCAATTAAGACTACATATTATCAAAGGTAGCAGTAAGATTCAAAATACACGGGAAAAAATAACTATATCCATTACTTATAGCAGATAGAACACCGGCAGAGTACGACGGTGAATGGATACAGAAAGAAATCCGGGACACTTAGTTAGAGATTAGCG